AAAAAAAAAAATCAGAGAGATGGGACCGAAGAGATACTTGTTGACCTAACGAGCACCATACCCACTTCCTCAAGGCTGAGTGTCTATTGTAGAATGGACAAGGACAAATAGAGAGATGACAAACAGTGGCATGGCAGGGAGCACAAAAGCTCTATCCACTGAAGTACCTGAATCCAAGGGAGAGTCAGCAGAGAACATGGGAATTGCTCTAGAAATCAGACTCCAGAAAAGGAGAGGAAAAATATCTTGAAGGAATTGGAGGAAAATCTTTCCACTCTAGTAAGCGTTTTGTTCATCCTTTCAGTAATTTCAGTCATTCTTCTTATATTGTTTAAGGTTTTATATCAGCATAAGAATGCCTTCCAACCTGCCAAGTTATAAAGTAATCTTGGAGCAGCCACTGTATTTAATATACATCAACATAACTCATCTTGGAAAAAAGAGAAGCAGAAAATATTGGAAGTTCCTAAGGTAAACCTACCAGGATGGCAGCTTCTTAAGAAGATATAGTTCTTACAAAAGAGAAAGACTTATAATTTCCTTTTATATTTTTGTGAAGTTTTTGCTAGAGAAACCTTTTGCTCATTTATGCTCTTTGACAAGGATCTAGTATTTTATCAGATAGGTGCAAGTGTTTCTAAGCACAATTGTATGGTAGCTGCAGCAAGTTAACAGAAGAGAAGAAATACTGCAAGAAGAATGTTGAGGAAAGTGGGAATTCCTACTTTTTTGAAATCCTCCCATGAAGATAAGCTCAAATATTAAATCAAAAAGTGATTCATACAAGTATGATATTTAAACAAAAAGCAGATGCTTAAATTGTTCTGGAATAACTATGCCGTCTCCTCAAAACAGCATATTTTCATGAGGAAGAAACAAGAAAAAAAGAAAATGAGGTGGAAAGTAGGACAGAAAGTTTAAGACAGTTTCTTTAATTTAAGGACACACTATGTTAGCAAAAACTATTATTGGCATCCACTAATACTGTAGGTATCTAACAAGACCTCTTATCAACAGCAACACTTGGTCCTTCACTTTAATGAGTTTTTAAACCAGAAAACATACTTGCAATCCTGTATTGAAGCAGTACTTATTCCAAGTAATATTATGAATGACAAGTAAGAAGCATAATTATTATGGATTATGGTATATAAAAGCCTATTAGGAATCCACATAATATATTTGAGGGTATCAGGAAAATTTGATTTTCCTGATCAAAATCCTGTTTGATTTAACAGGAAGAGAGATCGTCCTCTCTCACTATTACACAATTTGAGACATCTTTTCCTGTAATTAAAGAAAATCCCTGTTAGTGCTTACTGCATTGAAAATACAATGAGCTGCACTCCGGACAGTTTGTCTCTGTTGTCTTTTTTATTTTTTTTAATCTGAATAAAAGACTAAAATTCACTCTGCCAAACTAGAAAGCCACAGGGTTAAAATATCACGTATCTTTGCCTCCAATACACACACGTCTTTAATGCATCTTTCCAGGACACTTAATCACAAGAACTGTTAAGTTGCAGAAGCACTACAAAGACTAGAGTTCCCACCATAATGGTTCCATGCAAGAAAAGACCTTCAAGATCATGGAGTCCAACCCACAGGAATGCTCACACAAGCAAACACAAAAAGGCAGGACTAGGGAATAGAAGTGGAGCTTTCAGTGACAAACCCTGTTTCACTTACTCTGCATTTTAGGATAACTTCTGAATCTTCTTCCCAGCAAACTGAAAAACCATGTGTTCTAGATATGCACTTATCCTCAGAATACACATAATGCAAAACAATTTCACATTTAAAAATCAAATAACAAATCTTGGTTGGCACCATGAAGCACATTTATATCCCCCTAAAAAACAAGCACAGGTCTGAAGAGACATGATGAAAAGCCTCTTGATCTCTTTTAGTCCAGTGATAAGCTATGCAGCATTAACAGATGGCAGCCATCAGCAGTGCCAGGATTCAGAAGAGCTGTAAAATGAATATTTTAAATCAGAGATTTAAAATGAGACATGTACAGGGGTAATGGGTTTGGGAAGCTGTATGAAAACACTTGCCTTGCTTCTACATTTGAAGCACAGGTTATTTTTCCTCCATTTCTAGGTATTGAAGTCAGTGCTCCAAATATAAAGATTTTTGAAGAGATTTGACACTTCTGGTCTAGCAATGTTCCACAGGGCCAATGGCCCTAAAACGTCCAAAAAAATGGTGGTGGTAAAAATCATTCCCTCTTGTGGTCACCTTATACAAAAGGACTTCTGCTGCATATCTGTCATCATGTTTCATAAGCTGACAGTCTCTGCAACAGCCAGTAGCAATCCCACTTGCCTTTCAGTTCAAGAAAAGGCTTGGCTGAGAGACATGCACATAAGCTCTCTTTTGCTTCCAGCTGTGCTGATAGATATGAACCAAATTTGTTTCCAGGAAGTTGGGGCCTCTGACTCTCTTACTCCTTGCTTCCTGCCAAAGATCTGCTGAGTTTCCCTGCCTTTTTCAAAGGGACAAGGACCATGGCAATAAACTAGAGAGTACGAATTTTCATCCTCAACATTAAACACTTCCCAATCAAACAGAAATAAAGCATTCTTGCATGAGAAGAAAGAAAGGGAATAAAGCACTGTTTGGAATCCAAAATACAAGTTCTGAGTAGCTTCTGAGTATCCAACTTTGCAACTTAAATAATGTTTTTTGCGTAGATATAGAGCGTCAGTTCCTAGATTTCCAAATGAACATGAGCTAGAAGCTGTAATCCTACTGCTGAAACCTCAGACAAGTATGCTATGGGAATAACTAATATTCTGACGGAAACTGCACGATACTGTTAGGAAGCCTTGGTCTCATTTATGTAAAAACAAGGAAGTTCCAAGTCTCACTGTGTCCCAGAGGAGAGCACACAGACCAAAATGGAATCTCTGGAAATTTAGCAGTTAAAGAAATCCCACTGAACACAAGCAAAGTGAAGATTTTTTTTCAAGGCAACAATTTGCTGTTAGCAAAAAAGCACAATAAACTCAGAGGTTAAACTGACATGAAAATGAAGGATCACATTTCTACCATTGAAAAAAAGGACAAAGATTTTGCTGAGGGCTGCAGCTGACACTTGCTTCATTCAAAGTACTCATACGGATGCAAAGTATGGAAGAAAGAGTTCCATTTCCTGTTCCTCCACACAGACCATAGCCAAGGATAACAGACTGCTGTTCAGCAAGTTCATCTTTTTATCTCCTAAATGTTTGACAGGGTCTTCCTGCATCCCACATCACAAGGCCATTCTTCCTATTTGACTTTGTTAGTTCACACTCTCTAATCCTGATTAATCTCATTGCTGCCTCATACACTATTTTCTGCCTTACCAGGGCAGCTCACTAATTGGTATGGAAGACACATGCTGTTGCTGGGATAGAAAAGGTGAAATAACCAGGTAATGAACTACATGAAAACTGCAATATCCATAAAAAGGGACAACATGAATTCCAGAAGTCTTTGCTCATGGTTTGTCATCTGCCAACCAGACAGCAGGAGAAAGCACACACACACACAAAAGTTTCTGTTTGAAAGAAATGAGATCCAAACAACACATGAAACAAATCAGGAAACAGACAACAGGCAGTTGTGCTGCACTGTGGTTCAGCTTGCCACTAACACTGGAATACTACAGCTACATCAAAAATGGGGATGAATTTCAATTTACAACTCTTGTTCCAGAAAATACCATCCAGTTTTGCATGTATATGGAAGACTTCCATGTTCCCCATGCAATCCTGACTACACCCCAAACATTCATTTCTTTTGTGCATTACTTCACCTTTGAACGAAATGATGGGTGGACAAAATACAGTGCCTTCAAGTTCCTCTTGTACCTGATTCAAAGAAAAAAAGAAAACATACACACATACACACACAGAGTGATTAGTCATGTCTTCTAATTAAGCTCACCTATACAACATAACCATCAAAACATAAGTCATTTTGCTTAAGGTTTTTTTTTTTTTTTTTTTTTTTTTTTTTTTTTTTTTTTTTTTTTATTCTGCGCTTAAAGCTGGCTCATATCTAACAGCATATGTCAGGAAAGAAAGTGTAAAGCAAACAAACAAATTATAAAACCCACAACTAAAGCCTGCTGCAGTCTGTTATGTGAACAGTGAAAATGATGGGCTTATGATTACCTGTGTTACCCAATGAGACACCACCAAAAAAAGAGAATGGCTCAAACATTTGCAGAGCACAGAAGAAAACCAGACTTTTTCTCCTCCCCTCTGCTGCCACTCACTTGATATCAACAACATCATAGAGTTTCTTCAAGAAATTAGAGTCTAGTTGATTGTAATCATTTGTGAGCGTATGGAAGTACACCAGGACATATTCCTTCACTGCAATATGATCCATGACATGGATGAAATACAGAAGAGCCTGAATTGGAAAGAAGACAAGTTCATATTTGCAATAAAGAACTCTTTCATGACGACATACATTTTAATATGCTTCTTTTAACTCATTCACAGATCAGGAATGATAAGGCTGGGTAATATTGTCTGAGCTATAAAAATAAAGAAAACATTCAAAATCTTGAACTTCACCCTAATCAATTAGATATTTCTTTGCGTGGACCTGATTTAATAGATGTAAAGTCTTCTTACTGTTTCCATGAAAAAATTATTTGGTTGGTTACTCTCCAGTTATGGAAGCATGACAAGTTTTTTGCTCCTGCCTCAAGAAACAAAAAGATTCTCTATTAGGCCTGTTTCTCTGAAAATAACCCAGTTCCTCCTCCAGAAATGCTGCCCCAACACACACAAAGAAGAATAAAGTTTGATCTGCCTACAAAAATAGTTCCTATTTATGCTGTTGACACATCTCCTACAGATAACTTCTCCAGCACTAACACTGCTAAACTTCAGCTAGCAGTGTTAGGCTGCATTAGTTACGTTAGACTTTCATGTTCCAAATAAATATTTAAAATATTTAAATATTTAAATATTTAATATTAATATTTTTGATTATTAACATTTTATTTATTAATTAATATTTATTTAACATTAATGTTTTAAATATTTAAAAATATTTAAATATTTAAAATATATTTAAACTACATGGTGCTGAAGTTTTACAAAACCTTACCTTTTCCATGTCTATCAATGTTACAGGAATATTCCTTCCAACAACTACCATAACTGTGCGACCACAGTTATCCACACCTACAAAACAAAAAGATAACTCATAGCTCAGAAACTTTACAGCACAGCCCATTTCCAACTAGAGAAAAAATATGCTAGACTTGCTGTTCTCACTGTATCAGTAGTTGTTTTGATCACCAAAACAAAGGATGCATCACATCCTAGAAACCTGAATTTTAAGAACTGCAATATTACATTGACTTGTATATTCTACATTTACCCGAAGTAAATATGACTCCACATTTACTCCAACGTGTGCACTCCACATTTGCCTTTACTAGAGTACTTTATTCTCAAGTAGTAATTGTCAGTGAAATGTTTTTTTTTTTTTTAAAACCTTTACTTGCAATTCTACTATCAGAATAAACTTTCTAAAAACCTAGCTCAGAGGCCAGACACATACTTTCACATGGCACACCTTATGGACCAAGAGGAGCCAAATAGAGCCTTGTCCAAAACCAGTAGAAGAATTTAAATTTGCAACTACCAACGGCAAGGTATCATACAGCATCAGCAGCTGCACAAAGATTGAGGTGTCTGTTTTTTCAGTCGGCCAGAGATAGGAGCTAGAGTGCTCAACCGACTTGCTCTGTAGAGCAAGTCATAAACAAAACTATGTTTTTGAGACCTTGAGTACTAACTAATTTCTTCCTATCACTGTGCAAAGCAGCAATAAGCCCCTGGGACCAGGACAAGTTTCTGATTTCAGCACTACCTGGAGAACAAAAGACAACAGAAGTGGACATACTACCTGACACTTCTTTGTTTCCTTGGCTGCAAAAACCTAGGAGGGATTATGTTCCAAGGAACTCTCAAACTGGATGTTGATTCTCTCCCTAATGTTACCATTAACTGAATGCAAGGTTAAAGGAGATACTGCCTATGGGATTGCATAATTAGTAGGTTCCATCAGACATGGAGGAGAGCAACTCAAACTCTGCCTAGCCTAAGGTAGCAAGCAGCTTTAAGCAAGAAAGCTGTGTCAAAAGTTTTTTTGTTAACTTTGGCTTCTCTACAAATCATTTGAAAGCAACATTTATTTCTTTGTAGCAAAAGACTGGAGATAAATCAGGCCAAGATACCAATTATCTTGCATACAATATTACCTTGTATACAACACCTAATAAATTGGCTTCATCTAACAATATTGATTCACAATCACTGAAATCACTAGCAAGAAAGTCCTTGGGCACTGAAAGACAGAGCCATGATGCTCCTGCTATATCACTGCCAAACACTAATCACAATAGCAATATTTGTGGTGGTAGGTTTTTTTCCCTCCCTCTTTTCCCCCTCATTCAAACTCCCATACATACCTAATTCATTCTCCTCAACCTATTACTGGTCAATTGCATAGCTAAATTCAGGATACATCTTAAATTGTTACTAGGAGCTGTTTGGGAGTTAACTGCACAGTTTTCAAAGCCAATCAAGAGCCAATCACCTGCTTTAGTGTGGAGATGTTGCCTCATTTTCAGCCATGTTTCTAGCTTGACGACTTACTCGGAGCTCAAAGAAACTGGATTTTTATTTTGTATTTTTCCTTTAGGACAATGCACATCAACCATCAATAACCTGAACTTACCTGTCTGATACAAGGCTTTAAGGGAAGCAATATCAGATAGGTCTTCAGCTCTTGCCTGACACAGCCAACGATTGTAACTAGAAAGTTAAAAACATCTAAAGTCAGATCTAACTCTGCTTTAGAACAGCATTAGAAGTCTGAAGAAGTATTTAGGAAGTGAAGGCCAAAGCAGCTCTCAGTGGCTGAGCTATCACTCTAATATGGAGGTTTTCTGAACAATGGAGTCACTTTCAAACTGATATAGAAGGAAGTGTTGGAATCCTTCTCCTCCACAAAATACCACTAGTGGAGAGGCAACACTTAAAAGCACATGAACCCATTATAGAAAGTAATGGTGAAACACTGTCATCTTGTGGCAGAGATGAGGCAGCTTGTCCCATCTACAGGTCACGCTAGTGTTGTCACTGGCTTCTTTTTTCCTTCTGTTGCCCCTTCCCTTCTCTCCAAAGGTGCTACTATGAGCTACAGGTGGTAATAGGTTTTTACCTATATTTCCTTGCCAGAAGATCAGACTTCATATTAACAAATTATTATGCCTCTGAGCAGCTGGCTAATCCAAGTCATTTACAGAGACAAAAAAAAAACAACAACAGAACAAAAAAGAACCAAAAAAACCCTCACTTCCTCTGATGCTGTTTTTGCAATGCTGCCTCTGACAACTGTCCCTGCAGGATGAGGCGTCTCTGTTTATCAACATCTCCCTCCATACGAGCAAAAGCGTGAGAACCAATGAAAGACAAATCTGCCTCCAGCCCTTCTTCATCCGAAGCATCTGCAGTAGAAAGAAAGGTAGCATAACATGTTTAAGCTACATATAGAGAATAGCAAAGCTGTCGATGAATTGCTATGTATTTCACGATGGCAGCCCATTCATTGTGTTAGAAACTAACGGAAAAAAAACAAAACCACCATCTATCCTGATGGGGCTCCAATATCTCACTTGCACCATTGAAAGCATTTACAGCATGTGATCGAGTAACTATGAACTCCGTTAGAATGTCAGTCATCAGTTTGTAATGAAGGAATAATGGGAGATTCTCTCACTAGGACTCCAGAATAGATTTTGGAAAGAATGACATGGGGTTTACAATTTCCAAGGTGTTGTCATTACCATACCATAAGAGCAGTTCAGTTCTTCCTTTCAAATTGACACGACTTGAATAAATGTTCTAGAGCTGGTGATAACTTCAGTTTGAACATTTTTACAGTATCATTCACAAACTTACTGTGTGCTGAAGTATAACAGCATGTGCTCACTTGCTTGGAACAACACCATAATGCTCCACTGAACTTGCATGCCATTAAGAAATACTGCTAAGGAACTGCTCTTTGAGCAGTGAGGATTGGAGGAAGTTTCATCTCCATGTGAGGAAGAACTTGTTTACTCTGAGGGTGACAGAGCCCTGGAACATGCTGCCCAGGAAGGCTGTCGAGTCTCCTCTGGAGATCTTCCAAACCCGCCTGGATGCCACCCTGTGCCATGTGCTCTAGGTGTCCCTGCTCGAGCAGGGGGTTGGACTAGATAATCTCCAGAGGTCCCTTCCAACCTCAACTACTCTGTGATTCTGTGAATTGAGTTCTCCAGTGTTACAGCAACAATATTATAATGACCTTGGGGAAACAGAACAAGGGTTCTGCTCCACCTCTTTGCTACTGTAGCTGTGAAAACTAAGCATCATAAATAATCAGTTAATAATTGAATGCCTCACAGCTATCAGCCAGAGTTACAAATACTACCCTAACCTGAAATCTGGAGATGAAAAAGAAAACAGACTGGAGTCTGAACAGGAAGAATACGTACATCTAGAATCACACAGTGAACAGGAAAATTGTCTGTACCCTTGTTGCATATTCAGCCTTATCTCAACTGGTCATGTAAAAATCAGAGTATCTTTGAATACATTTCACATTCTCCATTTTTAATGCTCTAGGACTTCATGAGAGAAGTGCAAGCCTTGCACAGTGCTGCCACATGAAGATAACAGAATGTACCAGCTATGCCTGTTTACCTTTATTCAAGTGTTTTGTCATTCATCCCTCACCATCCCAAGCCTGACACGTTTCTTTTGAGTATTTACCAGTTCAGCATACATGCTATCTTTAGCCTGAGGAGATTATGCAGTATTTTGTTAACGTATGGTAAGATAGCTCATTGACAACAATAATGCCTGTTTCAGTAACAGCCTGCAGAAGGTAGGGAAAAAAAAAGTCTTAATCAATTAATTACCTTGAGAGAAAGTTTGCAAAAGAAAAGGAACAATATTTCTACCACATCCTCTAAGTACTGCATGCAATGAGGCAGACAGGGGAAGTTACGCAGCTAACAATCAGGCAGCTTGTTTCTCTTCATTATAGCCTATCTTAGGTGAGGAGGGGTGAAAAGGACATTTCTTTGCTCTCTGTGTGCTTTTTCTGTCTCATTGGCCTTCACAGGTGGATACTTATTCCTAAGTTCAGTTTAAGTACTCACCATCTGGAACACCTGGCTTTTCAGTAATCCTGATCTGCCGCTCTGGTACTACTGGCTCTCCTTCTGCATTGCCAATATCTGCAGGGAGGCAAGGCAAGGATTGTATTTCTTCTTCCAATGATCTTGGAAAATACAGAGGCATCAGCTTCTGGTAAGTGGCCTACAAATAAGAAAAGCACATGAAGGGCTATCCTTGCTCTTCAGTTATGTATTACCTGCTCTAGTAGCAGGGATCTTCTCTGAGATTTTGAGGCAACGTATTAACTCCCTTGCTGGCTTATTTTGGGCTCCTAACAATAAAGGCAGATAGCCCAAACAACAAGCTTAATATTTGAAAAACTGTGGGGTTTAAAAATTGTGGGTTATCTATAGGCATGCTGAACTGGAAGTCGAGATCATTTTAAAGCATGGAAAAAGCAATGTCACAACTGCCAGCATAATGTACAATGCTGACTCCTATCATGGCTTGGGAACATAGAAATCAGAAGTAGAAAAGGCAATATCCATGGCAATTGCTGAAAGTCAGAGCAACAGCATTGGAAGAGATAGTAGACAGACACATAAGAATGCTGAGGGTCCAAGAGTCCATGTGAGACAGGATAATTTGAAGGAAAAAAAACAAAATCAGCACCAAGGTGCAAAAGATAACACTGTCACAGAGAAGATCACATATAACCATGACTTTTGGTGGAATCAATATGAAGAAAATACCTCTTCAAGCTCAGAGACTGCAAACACCACCTTCTCCAGGGTCTCCCCATGAATCTCCAAGAACCTTCTGACAGTACCTGCAAAAAATTAAATGCAGTTAGCAAAAGGCACCTTTGTCTACTCTTGTTGACATTCTCTGTACTTCTTCTAGCTCTGCTATATTCTTGATTAGGCAGTTTAAAGATGTGGACAATCCATGGTTTTATAGTATAACAGTATAACATCCTTCATTTTGTCCTCTTTTACAACACTCAGCTTGGTCTTTCAAATATTACTGAGCTGATGTTTCTATTGAATTATCATAACCTCAAGTTTTTTTGTTCCCCCTCAAAGTACTTCCATCATTTTGTGAGGCAGACCTACATGGAAGAAAACCATCACTTTACATTTGCCTACATTGATTTGGCACTAAAATAACAGATGAAATTCACTCTGTTGCTTAAAATCCATCTACAGTTGTTCATAGTAAGGCCTCATCTTTACTATCCTGAAGAATTTAATAAAATCAGCAAACTCTTACTGCTTATCACCTGTTCAGAGTCATTAAACACTGCAAGGCCCAACAGAAATCCCCATGGATGCCTACTGATGATCTCTCAACAGAGAAAGGACCATCTATTTTTATTCTCTATTTCCTAATCCATCCATGGATGGATTGGCAGGCTTTAACACACTGCTGATTACAGCCACATAGTTTATGACACTTTCTAGCATCAACTTACGCAGTGCTATGTGGGTTGCATCCTCCAAAGGGTAACATCTTTTCAGAGAGTTTATGACACAGAATCCTACCGAGCACATTGCCTGTTCCCTGAAATCCAGAGAACAGATACAAGTGAAAAGAAGCATAATTTGAGATGAAACCAAACTATGATGGCAGATAACACCAGCTGTTTTCTTCCACCTCCATGCAACAGCAAATCTCTTGCAGGTTTGAACAAAAGGATTTTAAGGTTTTTTGCTGACAAGATGCATACATACATCCTAAAGCAAAGAGTGATGAAATTATTAATTATTTCACCCTGTTTTCTCTTGTTTGTTCTCAGGTTTCTCTTTTTACCTCAGCTATGCTGTTCCTGCAATTTCTTCATATCCTGAATGAAGAGGTTCTCTCAAGTTCCTTGCAATGTTTTCCAAAATCCTTTCTTCCTATGTAGGACTGATGGCAAGGGAAAGTAGGGGAAAATAAGGTGTTCTTTACAGCAAGCATTTTCCTATTCTTCCACCTCACCTACTGCTATTTTAAGCCTGATGTAGCCTTCTTGATTCTAGGACTAGGCAACTGTCATCAAGGAATGAAAAACAAATAAAAGCAGAGACAAATGCAAGACTTTTTCAGCACAGACACATATTTCTAGGAAATCGAAGTAGAGGTTTTGCCAACAATTATTTGAGGGGTTTGGCAGCGAATTTTAAGTGTCAAAAGTTACTCCTGAAATTAGACAAACTAAAGGACACTCAGGATTCAATAAACAGAATCATTTATTTTCACCGTTTTAAGAGGTCCAGGCCTGACCTTCCTTGTCAATTCTGAGGCAGAAGAAAATGACATATATTAGAAAATACTTAGTTGTAATCTTAGTTATGAAACAGTTGCTACCACAGCGTTGCAGACAGCTCTCAGAAGAATTGATCTTTTCAATTCTGAGGAGATGTGTAGTTACATGTTCTGATATAGCCATTGTTTAAATACTTATTTCTGAATGCTAATATTAGAAAGAGCCATCATGAGAGAAGAAGAAAATATAGAAAAGAATGAAGAACAGAAATCAGAAAGATCAATAATAAACTTCCTTTAAATTATAGTGTGGAAACTGTCACAGATTAAACACCAATACAGACCCATCTTCAACTATGGATTTGGAAATGATCTTTCACTCTCACTCAAAATTTTAGGTGACTGTGGCATGAAGACACAGAGGTCAAACAAGAAATGATAAAACAGTCAGATCTGCCTGTAGGGAATAGCAATGCAGTTGCATTGTCATATGTCAGCTGCTTCAGCAAACTCATTTAAAACTGTTTGCAGCATGGAGCACAGCACAGTTATATTAATGATGCTTTTTTTCAGAGTGACTGAATGCTGCACAGCTCTAGCTACACGGTTCCAGTACGCCAACCAGTTCAGACCTCTCAGCATGCTTTTTTCACTCTGCAATATAGATAGAAAAAGACAAGATGCTAGTCATATTCTTATGGTCTCACCGAAATGCTGTAGATGTGAGAAAATATTCAGGGCCATATGGCACCATATGCAGTCCAAGGTATCTAGAAGATGAGCTGCAACATGGATGGTACAAACCTAAGTTGTCATACACTTACTTTGCAAGCTGCAAGACATTGCGGTAACAGCTGTATAAGGAGCTCTCAGCTGCTGTGCGATATCGGCTCTTGTATTTGGGTCCCACTGTGTGAATGATGAATCGTGCAGCCAAATTAAATCCTTTGGTGAGTTTGGCCTCCCCTGTCCTGCACCCTGAAGAAAGAAGCGTGACATATAAAAACACCAATGATCCTAATAAGAAGGCTAGAATTATTCACATTCCTTGTTTTCTCCACTTTCACACAAGCCTCTGTCAGAAGATGATATACAGAAGGCAGTATTTCGAACATCAAATACTTTGATGTTCAAATACTTTAAGGATAGCTTTCTACTTCTTAATATAGCTGCCCAGTATCACTTATTCAAGCTAAAGAGATGACGGCAGTGCTCATTCCTCTCCCTCCTTTAAAATCTACACATACAAAGAGAAACCAGAAGTTGCTAGAAATGTTATCTTGATTGCAGTGCTTACCACATTGCTTTTAGAGACAAGAGGGAAAAATGAATAACCCCAAAAGTAATGCACAAATATGCTATACAACCACCACCAACAACAAAAAAGTCCTTCCAAATTTAATTGGTTTTGGGAATTTGCTTTTCGGATGAAAGGACAACAGTGTCCTTAATCAAGTGGGCCAGCTGACGGCAAAACTATTTGAAATAAAAAAAAAAATTAGCAATTTTTATCTCCTAGCTCAAGGCAACTTTGTTTGTTATGCAAATTTCTCAGTGTCCAAGAGGCAGGAATATCATTTTAGGAGATCACACCTTTCTTGACAATCTAGGATCACAAAGTTCAAACTACCCAGTTGACTGTTCCACACTTGGCCCTCTCCAGTTTTGTGCTCTGGGATCATTTACGGCATGCTATCATTCTTTACATCACTACCTCACTGGGGTTACATTGCTCTTTGGCTACTCTTTGCATGTTATATAGTTTTTGAACTAAGAAAGCAGAGCACTAAAAAAGCACTAGAGAAGAGCATTTTGTCAAAACTGCCAAACTGATTCACAGATCTCTCAACTACCTCCAACTCATCAATAAATTTCTGATAACTGAAACAAATACTGTTTTGAAAAAGTTTGGTCTTTTTCTTCATTGCACATAAAAAAGACATCTCAAAAGGTTTGTGAACTCTCTCCTTCTCCCCTCCAACATGAAATTTAATTCAGTCCAATTCCTGGACAGCTGCTAAAGAATTACTTCCACTCTTTCTCTCTAGCCTCCACCATACAGCCACCCTCACCCTTCCAGTTGTACTGCTGTGCAGAGACATTTTAGCCTGCTGATCTTGCCCAAACTAATCTTTTCTTTAGATTGGCTTTCAATATGATCTTACAGGTTGCTAGTGCAAATGATAAGTAATGGGATGTGAACAAGTGGCTGCAACTACCCCTTCAGCAAGCAGTACTGCTGTAGTTTGGCTCAAGGTCATGAAACTCCACTCTGCATAGGAGTATTTTTTTCCTCTCCCACTCCACTCTGTTCCTTGCAGTGCTCAGGCATGCTAACAAAATAAGTGAAATTTATTTAATGGCAATAAACTTTCCACACTGAGAATCTCTCTTATCCAGAGATTTTAGCATGTCTTTTTAATAGCAATACCACACTGCCTATAAACCATCATTTTGTAAATATTTAGAACCTATAAATCAGATCATTCCTTTCTGTAGACTTTCATTTTTTTTTCTCTGAATTAAGCAGAAAGGATAAAATAACATACTAAGCACACTTTTCTGAATTACTGTGCCTCTTTAAAAAAAAATCAAAAGAACAATTAGGTAAGTGCAACATGGAACAAAATAAGTAAAAGGAAACATCTAGTGCATAAAGTAATGTTCTTCCTCCTTGATATATCAAAATTGCACAATTTTAAAAGAAAAAAATGAAGGCCTGTAATTAAAGAAAAATATCTTAAATATTTTCTCCTTTGGAAAAGGATGAAGCAAGTTTGAGTGAGGTATATCTGTGACCTCAATAGAGAATAATAAATCCAGATGACTAGATTTACTAAGAGTAATCTGTAATTACACCTAGATCACACTTAGCACTTTCCAATGTTTTCTATGTGAAGATCTCTATTAGATTTATAAAAATAAACAGCAATACCTCTTTTACGATAGAAAACTAGGTGAGCTTGTAGGGTGAGGTATACAAGGTCAAGATCTGTAGCAAAATGAGGAGCAAAGGCACAATTTTACTTCTTACTCCAGTGATATTCAAAATCATTAGAACAGCCTCACTCCAAACTTAAAATCGAAAGTCGGAGCCTTTCATATAAAGACTGCAGTAGAGGAAAAAGTCTTACTGTATAACAGCACTGCTGTTAGAATGAGACAGCAATAAGTATGTGTACATAAAATGGAAGGTGATACATATTGATTGCAGTCCACTTACAAGTCTGGACCCTGGCTACAATATTTCTGGGTTTATAGAAACTACACACTGCTTCCAGAAACACAAGAGTTAACTGAGCCTTAAAGAACACAGGCATTTGGAAGGACAGCATATCACATGCTTTCAATCATTTTTTTTTTTCTTAGAGTTTATAAAGTGTAGATAAACATGAAGTAGCAGCAGGGAAAGCAAACAAACAAAAAACAACCAACGAAAAACCCACACAAACACAAAAACATCTCCCGCAAGACACCAGGAGTTACCACTTCACCCACTGGGCTGCTTTTGGACAACGTCCATCTGTTTTTACTATTTCCCAAAAATTCTGCTGGGCAGAAAGTTCAAAAGAAAGAGGAAAAGAGTGCAAAAATGAAGTAGAAATAACAGAAGAACTACAGACTAGTTCTTTAACTTACCTCCATTTCCGTGACCCACTCATTAAGGGTACAAAGCCATAACTGTAACACAGGCCCTCTTATTTTCCCCATACAACATGCCAGTAAAGCATTTCAAAAGAACTGTTTTCTGAAAGGACTCAGTAACTGGATTAAGAGGAAACTATCCTGTATGTATGTATGTCCCAAATACATTACACAGAGGAAGCCATCAGTGCTAGTAAGGGTAGAGACTGTGAAATAGCATGGAAGTTAAAGCAGCTCAACTCAACTTTTACAAAGAACTCTCTACAGAGCTAACAAATCACAAGTTTATTTTAGAAGAGTGAATGCTGAAGTTGGTTCCAGCCTAGCAGGACCCAACTACTCTAATTTCCTGATGTACTTTTAACTGTTGTTTCTGTTCAAAGGACGTACACAGAACTTTCTCCTCTCTTTTGCAACTTTTCCTCCTTCTTTTTTTCCAGGTCACTAGTAAAATGAATCAGTCAATAAAAGTTTTACAAAATACAAGGATGTCCATCTTACCACAGTGTAAGCTACTGATAACTTGTGTTAAAAACATTCCAACCCTTCTAACTACCCTGTTACTACACGAGGAGGAGATAGAGATGTTACTCAAGAGTCACTGGTGCTAATCAAGGAACAGTTTGGTCTTGAAATTCAGTTTAGCACCATAGTTACTAAAGCTCTGAACTTAACTGCAAACTATCAGACTTCTGGATGACCTTGGATAACTATAAGCTTTTAGTTCCTCATACACCAAATAAGGCAACTTTTCTTTTCATCTAATAGACACTGAAAATGAAGCATATTATTTGTAAATCTTGTTATCAGCCATAAACTCTGTTGACAAAGAATTTATGTAAAGCAAACTTCATGTCAGTGTTTTCTCAGAATAGCTTTGCATTAGAGCTGCTCTTGTGCCATTGCAGTAAAAACATCTGAGAATCACACACAGGTGAACTGAAGAGTTTAACAGGTCACTAATACTTCAGACATACGTTCCTTTATCAATCCATCTGCTGTTGCCATTGTTTATGGGGCTGCATATTAATAGACTGAGAGATGTACAGAGTACATACTAGAACCCACTTAACTTCTACAACAGTGAACTTCAGTTCCCATCTCCCACTTGCCAAAGGATATGCACTGAACAGAACACAAAAGCAAGCTCTGAAGCTGTACAAGACTGGTTCTCACAGTAAACGCTTTGATAAGCTAACTGCTTTGACTAGCTTTAGATAACAATGGGAATTACTGTATCACACACAAAATGAATGTTCAACAATCTGAATATCTGCCAAAGGTTTTCCACGATCTGTCTCATGAATGACAAAAGCAGGGGAAATACACAGCAGAGTCTATCCAAAGCTTTCACTCTTTCTTTTGCATTAATACCAGATACCAGGAAAAGTTACACCTTTATTTCAGTGTGTGAACAAACGCAGTTGCTTTGTACAAAGAAAGGACAGTAGCTTTTTTATATAAGAAGTCTCTGAACATTTACCTTTGAGCTTCTGGAGTTCATCCCTCAGATCAGGCCCAGCATGCATGAAGACACTTTCAGATACTGGATTCTTATCTGTGAGAGACTCATTGCTAGTATTTACTATGGCTGTGCAGTTCAGTAGTGCTACGTCTCCTTTCCTGAGGAAACAAAGAAGCAGTTTACTGGAGGCTGCTTGTCAAATTAAGCAAGATATCCTCAACAAAAGCGCTATCAAGCAAAGGAATGCTAAGTTAAAGAAAAAACTTTTAACAGTACTCCAGTGCCCACAAAGCATAGCGTTCATTGACCTGCTCACCACGCAGAACCATGCTTTGCATCTAAGTAATAGAGAAAGACTGCATGCAATGTCTTATTGCCTTAAAACTTCCCAGCTTCACAGTACCTTAATGTCGCCCATAGAAAAGGCCATGCTGCAGTATTACACAGCATAGTTCTGTTAACAGAACATAAAAAACAGTGTGTAAAATTGTTGGAGTATAACATGTTCCCAAATCAAATTTTATCCCTTAAAGAAGAACAGATAGCTTTTGAAAATTGAACATTGAAATTATTCAATGTGGTCTCTTCTGTTTGCAGACACATTATCTAGGGCGCCCTGCTACTGCTTGTTATGTTCACTCTGCTGCTCAAGGATCAAAAAAGCAGAAGATACACAATGTGGAGATGCATGAGAGAAAAGGAAATAGCAAAATTCTGATCTATTAATTGCAGATATTTACTATATATAAGCCCAAGTAACAGGAGAAGTCTAAATGTTCTTTCTTTATTTCTTGTTCTTGACCAGGTTCAGGGGATATCCGAACAGCCCTAGTTTACTGCATGCATAAGCCAGGAAAGAGGATTGTTCCCTGAACTGTATCTCTACAAAATCCTTTTCTCTCCATATTAATTGTCAGTGTTACCCTTTTTGAGAGCAAGTAAAAGAATCTAGTAGCAGGAAGAAAAAAATAATGGAGAAACTATATCTCAGCACTGTGCACCTGCCAACAAATTTTGGTAGAAAAACAGAGATGGAACACAGGGAATGTAGACAGAGAAGGGAAGAAAAAAAAATCCCCAAACAAGCCTCAAGAAACGTATGAAAAAAATACCGATCTGAAAGAGAAGCTAAAGTGACAGAATCAAAGGAATAAAGCCAGCAAAGCAAATAAATCAAAAAAGCTCCTCGACAACAAGTATATTTTAAGAATCGTGTTGTATAGAAGTGACTCATCAGGTTTTCTATCAAATATCCACATACGACAAATGGCAAGAAGCATTGCTCATTTGCTGTATCTAGGAATGCCGATGCACATTTAATTTATAATATATATATACAAATCTCAGGCTTGCAGGTTTACAGTGAATAAGTAATTACTTTCCACTCAGATGTGAAGTGTTTGAATCAAGAAAGAGAGAGTTTAAAGGCTTTATTCCACAGCAATGGTCATTGCTACACTGACAGTAAGATCCTACGATAAAGGAACGAAGTCGTGACAGTCACATGGAACTTACCATAAGATTATTTTTGCATTGATGTCTTTCCTATATGGAAAAGGTGATCTAACATTGACTTGAGCTCTTTCAGCAGAGTTTTCATGAGAGTCCAGATGCTTAGCCTCATAGACATCAGTCCAACTTGGCAAACTATCAACATCCACAAATTGGGAAGGAGCACCCAAGGGATCCATGGAACAGAAGGTACAACTTCTTTTTTTTTTTTTTTCTTTTTTTTTTTTTTTTCTCCCTGGCTAACTTGTCACACTCCAATTCTCACTGGAGTCTTCCACATGCTTTAAAGGAAAGAAAATAAAGCAGGGTCACCAGGTGTTTACTAAGAGCAATTCCCCAAAGCAAGACCTTTCCACAAGGCTGCAGTACAATTACAGAAAACAGAAGACAGGAAAGAAGATCAACTCATCCTCCCTCTCTCTCTCTCTCTCTCTCTCACATACACACACATGCACACACATTTTGTTATTCATATACAAAAAGATAATGCAGTGCTTTTGAAACGCTTGCAGCAAGACAAGCTTTTTCCAAACTTGTAAGATGTAAACACTTGAAAACATTTTCTTTATCATCAAATTGGTCCAGTAGGTTTGTGATCTTTATCTTGAAAATGATGAACAAAATTGTCAGGATGACTAAGTCCTTTTGATACTTTGAAATTTATTTATTTAAAGTAGCAGAAAATCCGCAGCAGAGTGTACATAATCTATTCCTTCAGATATTTATTGGTCTCATCCCAGGACATGTTAAACCAACTAACAAAGACAAAACAAAACAAAACAATCTACACAGCCTTCAAATCTCACAACCCTTCATGTTCAATGAATTCCGCAGATCTGCAGATTAGAGCTACACTCAGTTCTTACAGTCCTGCACTTCAGCATGGAAACCCTTCTCACAATTAGGTTTTGCAAAGCAGAGAACAAAGATGTAAATTTGAACACTGGCTAAGGAACTGCACCAAGGCATGCTGCCCCCTGCACCTACGTGACTCTTTTTCAGTAGGCGAGGACAAGACTGCTTGCTAGAGGAAGTGCTTTATCTCCTTGAAGTGTAGATTTCAGTTGCTGACACAAATAATTACTGAGCTACTGTATTTTCATGGATCATGGAAGTGATCTAGTGATTTGCTATTAGCAAATTAAACTACCATAAGTACTCTAGTTTCAGTTACCGGTAACTTCAGCTTGCCACGGACATATCAATTTATTTAACCCTTTTTTTTTCAGTTTCATCACTAATGACAATTTTGATAAAATAATATCCACATTCCAGAACATAAATACTAACAAAGATGCAATAGCTAGGGGAAAAAAAAAAAAAAAAAGGAAAAAGAAAAAAAGGAAAGGAAAAAAAGCGCAACGCAAACCGCCAAGCAATAAAAGCATGCACTACACAGGTAGACAAAACAGCACCTAAGTATGCACCTAATTAAACAGCACCTAAGAGCACCTAATTAAAAAAACCCACAAAATCCTAACCATTTCCAAACAGCTTATAATGTCTTCACTATAAACTACCAGCAAAACTAAGGGTATCCCTTCTGCCATTTCCCTCCTACCCCTCTGTACGGTTTCCTGCCTTCATGACCGTTATTACACCCCCTCTCCTTCGCTCTCCTGCCATGACAGGTGAACCGCCAGAGAAACTAAACCGCCGGTCAAACCACGTCCTCCTCCTCCCCCGACAGGGCACTTCCTCATGGCGACCAGCACCAAGGCGGGACTCCTCGCCCCACCAAGGAAGCTACCGAAGCAGACACCAAGCAGTAGTGGTGCCTGAGCACCTAAAGAAACCACCGCAGGCTGCCCCTCCGCAGACCGGGGCGAAGGCAACGGCCGCCGCAACGGCCGCCGCAACGGCCGCCTCTCCCTGCGCCCTCCGGCCCGGCCCTTAGCAACGCGCCGCCGCCACGCCTAGCAACGGCAGCTCCTCTCGCGAGGCGGCCGCGCAGCTACTCACGGGCGGCGGGCGCTGACCCCGCCCAGCCGGAGGGGCTCGCGCGACGCCGGGACGGCGGCATCACCCAGCGCGCAAGATGAAGAGAAAGAAGAAACTAAACACGGACGGGGCACCCCGCGCCCACTTCCGCTTCCGGGAGCTTCTACCCCTTCCGCCCAGCTGCAGGCACAGGCCGTCAGCTTCGCAACGCCACTTCCGGCGCGCCGTCCTCCCGCCCTCTGACGCGGCTCCGATCTCGCCGTGAGCGGAGGAAGGGAGGCGCATGCGCAGTAGCGGCCACGTGCGGGCGCGGCCGGCGGGGCCGGTTGCTGCTCCCTGCTCCGTGTTCCCTGCTCCCTGCTCCCGGGGGCCCCGGGGCGGCTCGCTCTGAGGCGTCACGGCCATCGCCACAGCCGTTGCCCGCCCTCCTCTTCCCTTCCTCCCCGCCTCCCTCCCTCCCTCGAGCTGTAGCGGTCTCGCGGGGCCGCGTGGAGCCCGGAGCGCCTCCGCGCCGCCCTGCGCGCCGCCATGGGGCTCACGAAGCAGTACCTGCGCTATGGGCCGGCTGCGCTCTTCGGGCTCGTGGGCAGCGCTCGGGGAAACGCGGCCTTCGTGGCGCTGCGTGGCGAGCGGGGCCGCTGCGTGGCCGTGCCGGCCTGCGAGCACGTCTTCGTGTGGGACACGCGGAAAGGCGAGAAGGTGAGAGCTGGCAAGCGCTGCTGCGAGGAGTGGGCCAGGTAGGGCTGCAGCAGAAGCTGTGCCTCACTTGGCGGCATTTTGCCCAGGAAGTGAGGCTTCTGATGTGACCCCTGTGCCTAGGAGAGCCTGGGAGCTGCAGCACTGCAGGCTTTGGCCTGGCTTTGCCTCCTGCCAGGTCCTGAAATCCTAAATTCTCCTGTCAGATACCATCTGTTTTCAGGATTTACTTTGGCGGTTGCCAGAGTGGCCAGACTAGCAGCGTGATGTTTTGGGGGTGGTTTTATAGTTCCCAGGCTCTTTTGTGGTCAGTGGAAAAGCAGATCTGTCCTGTGCCTGAAAAGAGGAGGCCAAGTGGGAGGGGGTGGGTCAGTGAGAAGCTTGCAGGCTTTTGAGCAAAGGTTCTTGCTCTCTTGACAGTTAAAATGTGAACAAGAAAGCTTCTGACTTATAGAAGCCATGCTAGACCTTTGTTCCTGTTTCCTGTTTGGTTATGAGAAATTACTTCTCGTCTAGCTGCTCTTCTTGTAAAATGGAACTTGCTACATTTTATTTAGCACTGGGATCTGGGAAATGAGCTTATAGGCAGCAGAAGCTTTCAGTGGGGAGTGCACTAGATGGGCAGAATATATTCTTTTTGCTGTGTGTGTCCAGTTCTGATATGTTATTTATCACCACGATACAAGTTTCATTTCCTTAAAATTGCAGGTCCTTATCCTTAAAGGTCTCAAGCATGAGGTCAGTTGTCTCTGCCCTTCTCCAGATGGGTTACACTTAGCGGTAGGGTATGAAGATGGATCAATCCGTGTCTTCAGCCTCGTAAGTGGAGAAGCAAATGTCACCTTCAATGGACACAAGGCTGCAGTGACAGCCCTGAAGTACGACCACCTAGGGGGCCGCCTGGTGTCTGGCTCAAAGGTGAGAGTTTAACATGAAGTGCAAGAATGTCATTTAAATCAGTCATTGCTAATGTTCAAATTTTGGGAAGGAAGCTGTCGTAGTATATTGAGCCTAGAGAGGTGGACATTTTGCAGAGACGGATACTGCTCTGTTGGAAACACCTTATCTGTTGCAGGACACAGATGTCATTGTGTGGGATGTCATCAATGAGAGCGGTTTGTACCGACTGAAAGGGCACAAGGATGCGGTCACGCAAGTCCTGTTCCTGAAGAGGAACCTGCTGGTTACCAGGTGAGCCAGGCCGTATATATTTTTTTCAGGCCCACAGTTCTTACTGTGCTTGTCTTTTTTCAAAAGCGTGATCTTGGCTATATGAGACCTGTACTGTAATACTATAATAGAATAATGGTATTTCTGACTCACTAGCATCTTAAAATATTATTTTGGCACATCCGTGTATTTAGTAAGTCTGGTGCCTGCATCCAGGTATTTTGCTTAAAAGGGAAACGGCTGTACCAGAAAGTATAGTTTGAGTTGGTTTGGCATTTTTCTAGCACTTAAAATTTTTGTAGTGATAAATAATAGCAATATGGTGAATAACAGCAATATATTTATTTTGTGTGTGACCATTTTTACTGTTTATCTGGAAAAATTAAGTAGGTTAATCTTCTATGTGTAACGTGCAGTTCACTCAGTAACGTAAAAGACAAATTGCTACCTATAATAGTAATTATACGAAGTAATTAAAAGATGATAAATTCTTTTTTTAATTAGATACCCCTTGGGAGTTGACTGTGTCTCTTTTTTTAATTATCAGTTGACATGAGTTAGTTATGCTCAAATATCTTTCAGTAATTGGTTATTAATATGTCAATTAAAAGTTTAATAGAAAAGTGCATCTGATCTGCTCAGGATAAAACTAGAAAACTTTTTTTTTTTGATGTAATGGAAAAAACAATCTTTTAGTGGACTGGTAAATGGTCCATGTTTTCTAATACAATTTCAAGTCTTTTGAGACCAGCGTTAGAAATGTTTCTCAAATCTCAACAGCTAAGCTGAGATACATATTGCTTTTGCATCCTTTTATTAACAAAGTGGAGAAATCATAATATTCTGGAGGTGCAAAATTTACCTTCCTTATTTCAGTTTTTTTTCAAGAAACAGACCTCATTCTACTGTGAGGATAATAGTGTGTGTTTTGCCTGAGCAACTCCTTGAGAGCTCTCCTCTGTGTACAGAATTTTTTGTCTGACTCTGTACGATTAACAAGTACCTTTGACTCCTTTGTGATGAAATGTAACAAAAAAGAGAGGTATTACCAATAAATATTACTTTTGATCAGATTTTTTTTTGTCCTGAGTGAACTTAATAAAAGAACACCAATTATTTCAATTTACTTGATAATTTCACTTAGTTGAAGTTTATTAGAGAAATAAGTGTTAATTATCATAGGGTATACAGAAAGGACCTGAATGCCTTCAAGTAACTGCTCTCTGGAACTCTTGTAGTATTTGGGTAGCAAAATAGCCAGGAATATATATTCAAAGGAGGGTTGACCTTATGGCAACTTAAAAAAAAAAAACAAAAAAAAAACCAAAAAAAAAACAGTAAAACAGCTCTTATTTTGCATTAGCTGTATGGAGCAACTCCGTATCTTTGTCCAAAATGAATGCAGCTTCTTCTCATGTATACTGATATGCAAGGTGTGTAGAAATGGGTTGATGTACAGGTTGCGGTAGCTCTCATTAGTTCAGAGGCAGCTTTGGGATTTGACCAACATTTTGTGCTTATTATTCTCATTTAAAATAAGATACAAAAGAGGCCTTGTGAGACCATAACTTGGTGTTGGACCCAGGGGATAAAGCACTTTTTAATGATTTGCCTATTACCCTTTTCTTTTGGAGTATTTCCATATTGTGTATTTATGCTTATGCAGCTTGCGAAATTTGATGTGTTCTTCACCTGAGCAGACCATCTGTGATATGTTGCAGCATGTTTTAGACTATTACATGTCCTCTAGTGGCATTCCCTCATATCCTAAGTGCTGATTTTTTTTTCCCCCTCCTTCAGTGGCAAAGATGCAATGGTGAAATGGTGGGACTTGGATACCCATCACTGCTTCAAAACTCTGGTTGGACACCGTACAGAGGTAAAGAGAATGTGAGGGCTTTGGATTGTCTGTCATAGCTTGCTTTGTGCTTACCGATGTATTTTTTGCTTACTTATTACTCTTTAAGGGTGAGCAATTGAGAGCTCTCCAGCATTCCCAGGAACTTTCATATCTATGCACAAGTTGGTGATTCCAAGGCAGATGTCATTGGTGGAGGTCCTATCTGGATATTCTTCTCACTCAGTTCAATTTAAATAAATCTATCAAAGTCTTTTTTGTTTGTTTGTTTGTTGGGTTTTTTTTTTCTGGTATTGTTAAGATAGGGGAAGCAGCTGTGTACCATTTCCTCAAATTGTGCCTCTGGATAGGTCTGGGGACTGGCTTTGGTGTCAGAGGAGAAACGTCTGATCACTGGGACTGCTGACAGTGAGCTGAGAGTGTGGGATATCACTTATATCCAAGAGGTAAGACTGTTTCCTCTGTAATCCCTCATAATTTTTGCTTTGCTTTGGACCAATATGGGATGGGAACACATCACATCTTCATGACTTTCTGGGAAACAGAGATAAGAGTCTTTGCTGTTTGAAAGTCTATAAGATGCTATTAGGGGAGACTTTGCCGTTTTCTGTAGTTTTTTAGCCTGCAAGTGAAGCTGCAGGCACTGTGAGACAAGGTTTCCAGAGCATTCTTCGGTCTTCTTGCTAGTTTACAGATAGAAAAGACACTTCTGTGAGTGGAGAAAAGGGTTTGGTGCTTACGGGCATGGTGTAGGCCACTCTTGTTTTGCAGTGTAGACTACCTATGGGCATGGCCAAGCCCATTCTTTTGTTGCAGTGTAGCCTAACCACTTGTTCTTTCAGTGAAATAAAGTGTGAGTGGATCATGTAAGAACTGGAACACCCTAGGTCTTGTGCTTTAAGGTGTTCCTTATGTGTGTGGGGTTTTTTTTTTTTTTTCTGGTCCAGGAACAGATCAAAGACCCTGATGAACCAGAATCCAAGAAAAGCAAAGGGTCATCACTTGGAGCAGATGAAAATACCGAAGAAGATGAGACTCTAGAGCTGGATGAGAGTCCTGAGGATGTAAGCTCATTTTTCCACACTGGCCGTGGATTGACATATCTAAATCCATTTGCACAGTGCCCCTTGCAAAGCTAGCAGGGCATTGAAAGCTGTTCTCATGCTGCTGCTCTGTGTTGAGCTTATGCCCTGAGTGTCATATTTAGTATATTAGCAAAGATATGCTGGTTCTGTCTTGCTTTTTAACACTTTCCTCAGCAGTGGTTGCTTCTCCATCTGCTTACAAAACATCAGCGCAATACATGTGCTGAAACATGTGCAGATGTTTTTATTACCCACTGAAAGCTTTATTTTTGTCCTCTGCTTGGGGAGTCTAGTAGGTCTTTAAAGTTTGACGGTGTTACTAAATAGCTGTTTGATAACTGGTCAGTTCAGTGCCCATGCCCATTTTTGCAGTTCAGTAACAGAAAGTGAAAGGTCAGAGGGGCACCACTGCTATGTCACTCACCCTCGCACACACGCACACAATGGTTAAGGTTGGAAGGGACCTCTAGAGATCATCTAGTCCAACCCCCATGATCAAGCACTAAAGCACTACGTGTGGAATCATAGCCTGTAGTGGGAAGCCATTTCTATTGTGCTGGTGGTAGAGATTTCCTTGAGTATCTCCTTCTAGGGAAGATTTCTGAATCCCCTTACATTTCAGGCTCCTTTGTAATTATGGTGAATACTTGATGTTATTAAATACTTTACCCCACTTCTATTTTCAAATGATTTCTGTCCCTTTAATTGCCTGTTTAAAAGTCTTTGTTCTCCACCTTGCTTCTGCCTCCTCTCACAGCACAACTAAGTTCTGTTGCCATTGTAGTGTTCAAATTCAGTCATGTCTTTTATGTGGTTCTGGTTTATCACTTTGCTGACAATCTTAGTTCATAGTAATTGTTTTTCAGCTAAAATGCAAGAAACATAAGGAGGTAAACCTGCAGGTCATGTAAATGCTTACTGCTCTACCAGGCCCTTGTATGTTTATTTATCAGCACACTTCTCAGTTTGCCTAAGATCTCTTTATCTTCCAGACCAATGTTCTCGTTTTCCCTATAGCGTCTCCTAACTTGCAGCAAAGTTGGATCCATCATGCGAGAAGGGAGAGACCGAGTAGTCACTCTAGCCGCGGACCAAACAGGCAAAATTTTGGCTTGCCATGTAAGTAATGGAGGGCCCTGCTAGTGAATCACAGAGATATCTGTAAGAGACCAGTTAATCTCTGCAAGGGCCAGCCTATGACTGTTTGCCTTGTTTCTAGGGAACAGATGCTGTGTTGGAAGTGTTCTCTGTTCTTTCTGAAGAGGAAGTCCAAAAGAAATTGGAAAAGAAAACAAAGAAAGCAAAGAAAAAAGCGAAGTAAGCAGTCTTAATGGCCTATAGGCTTCTCGGTGTTTATATGCTATCTGTGCCTTGAGAACTGTCAGGAAGCCCCTCAAGTATCACTGATACAGGGGTTGGACTGCCATTGGTCATCTTGTATCTGGGAGCTGCTGCATTATTGGGGCACTGTTCCTGTGCATTCTTGGTTCTTGTTTGATTAACTCTTCTCTGGTCCTAGAGACTGTAAGGAAATACTTTTCATTCTCAGTCTTATCCCTGCAAAAAAACCCTCATGTGCAAAGGAATGGCTAGAAAATGCATTTTTGCAGAGCCATTCACTTACGTTTGATCTTTATGTTTACTGTACTTGCTGCTTGAATTAAGTACCTGATAGGACGTTCAGATATGGGAGATTCATGTGAAAAATCAGAGTGAACTTGACACCTTCTGGTCCTCTTTCAAAGCAGGCAAGGATACCAGTGAGAGCTTTACTACATGGCTAATTTGTATTAATTTGCTCTCTGGGTATTTTGGCACTTAACAGATGTCTCCAACAGCTCTCTGGATCCGGTCTGGAACTCAAGCATGGGCCCGGTAATTCCAGAGCTGTACTTTGGCAGCAACTGAGAACTTCTGGAGATAGAAGGGTGGTGCGAGATGAGCAGAGCATGATGATCCCAGTTGAACATGGCTTTCTGCTGTTTTTTTTTTTTTTTTTTTTTTTTTTTTGTATCCGTCTTTATGATGGGACTTTGTCAAGTGACTTTGTGCAATTCAGTTCCAGAAGAGGAACTTGTCCAGTTTGTCTTATGCGGACAGTTTGTCTTTGACTATTCTGCAAATGGGCATGAGCTTTTGTCTCATGCAGGCAGGACTGCTAGATAAAGGGGCAGTTAATTTCAGCAGGCTAAGTGTTGTCGTTATATTAATATCCATACTTCTGTTAGTTTATGGTGGCTGTGCCGTGTTATTTGAATCTGCCCCCTTAATTGATGTTTCTAGGCAGAAATCTGAAGAACAACCTGAAGGGACTGTGGAGCTGAGCCTGCAGGAGGAGATTCAGCGGGTTGCTAACGTCAGAGCTTCTGCTAAAATCAAGTGAGTGGAAAAGCCTGCTGTAGAAGCTGGACTGTGGTTATGCAGCTGCTTAGGAAGGGCTTAGGAACAGCTTGTTGCAGGGGGAAGATTCTCTCTGTGAGAGCTGTTCAGCTCAGAGCTGGAGAGAGGCCTGCCATGAGCTGCTACTCCAGCCGCACTTCCACAGGCAGTGCTGTTACATAATGGCTTAGCGTACACTTGCTTGCTCCCTCCCCCTTGCTGTTTGATTTCTCCTAAATTTTGTCCTAACTACGGCTCTGATTTTGTTTAATCAAACAGGTCATTTGACTTGACTCTCTTTCCAAAAGGAGAGCTGAAGATTGTATTGCTGCTCCAGAACAACATCATTGAGTCATATAACCTGAACCTGTCAGCGCAAGTCCCACAGGCTGTCCGTACATCTAAGATAACCATTGGAGGCCACCGCAGTGATGTCAGGACGTTGGCTTTTAGCTCTGACAACATTGCCATTCTCTCAGCAGCTGCAGAGTCTGTAAAGATTTGGAACAGGTCTGCGATCTCCTTGTGTCAGTCTCCACATTTTATGTATGACCATTTCCTATGTGTGACCAGAATTCAGGGGTGCTTTGTTCTCAGTGATAAGGAAGACTGAATGATAGATAAATATAAAATACTCAGTGTAGGAATACCTGCAATGTACTCCTCTCTTTTTCCGCTCCTTCCTGGATATGGAAACTGAGAAGCCAGAGAACTAAAACTGTGCAATTAACTCATGGAATTTCATGCTGTAAAACAACACTCAGGCTAAGTTTAGTGGCAGGCACAGAAGAACAAATCACTGAAGACATAACAATATGTTTTAGGGGTTTTGTTTCCCTCTTTAAGATTTGATCAATCTGTATACATACCTGAGGGGAGAATGTAAAGAAGAGGAGACCAAACTCTTCATAGTGGTGGCCAGTGACAGGACAAGGAGTAATGACAAGGTGGCCAGTGACAGGACAAGGAGTATAAATTAAAACACAGGAAGTTCCATCTCCACATGAGGAAGAACTTCTTTACTGTGATGGTAATAGAGCCCTGGAACAGGCTGCCCAGGGTGAGTTGTGGAGTTTCCTTCTCTGGAGGTCTTTGAAACCTGGCTAAATGCCACCCTGTGCTGTCTCTGCTTGAGCAAGAAGGTTGGACTAGGTGATCTCTAGGGGTCCCTTCCAAGCACAACTGTTTGGTGGTTCTATACCAACTGTTAGGCTAAGCAGTAGCTACGGCCTGTTCTTTAGGGAGCATTTGTGTTTCTTACCATATGCTCTAAGGCATCTAGTCTTGAACTGGGTGGACTCCTATTTTGATTTGATGTTCTCCCAGAGTTTCCTGAGTGCTGCTGATTCCAAGCTCTGTTTCATTTGGGAGTGCTATCTCAAAATTGCTCCCTCCTCTCCAGAATGGGAAGAATTACAGTTTGATAACAGTGGCTCTGTCCTTGCTTACAATGACAATGTCAGGAGTACTATGTGATGATAGCCTATTTTTGTGGAAAATGTCAGTAATAATGCTTTAGCATTTAGAGTGGCCTGCTGGTCTGTGGGCTGGCAGTGCTGTACCTTCTGGCCCCAGATGAAAAGAAAGAGGAGAGACTGCTTTGAAAGATATTTCTGGATCATGTCACACAAATGGGCCAGGATTTTTATGTAATGAGAGATTCTGGACTCTGTTTGCAGATCAACCTTACAGTGCATCCGAACAATGGAATGTGATTATGCGCTATGCTCACTCTTTGTGCCTGGAGATCGGCAGGTCATTGTTGGCACTAAGGTAAATCGTGTCCTTTCTGCAGCTCCAGAATATGCCCAAGTATGTTCTGAAAATGTCACTAAGCCAGCCTTACTGAAAATGCATTACACCTTCTGTTCTGGAGCAATCTGTTTTAGCGATAAAAATCTCTGACAGTATCTGTTATGTTACTGGGCCCTTAGTGTACTTTCTATAGCTTGAGCAAGACAGATGAGTGGAGCTTTGCGTAGTCTCTGATATAGATGAGGAGTTTAGCCTGTTGTGGCTGTTCGAGAGATAGGCAGCAGGGGTGCTTACCTGCTAGGAGCTGTCAAGGTTTGGAGGGGCAGAGACTGGTGCTGACCAGAAGTGACTCCTATGTAGAGCTGCAAATGCAGCAGGGGCTCAACCTGGCTCTCAGCAGAGCTCTGCTGCAGTTCTTCCTGTGAGTTGGCAGTCTGGGAGGGTTCCCTCTGAGCTCTCCTCTGCCCTTGGAGCTGACTGTTGCAATACAAATGGCTGCGTTGTCATTGTGGGAGTCTCATCTTTGCTAGCTCAGACCTTTGGTCTCTGGACTCTGCTTTGAGCTTTTCTTTTTGCCATTTGTGAGAGGGTTGTAGCATGAGGCTCAGGTGTGTTTGCAGATCTGATTAACATTCCCGAAGCAGTTCAGGATTGTGCAGTGAAAGTCAAGAGGCTGATTTGTCTCTGATATCTTTCTCCCAGACAGGGAAGTTGCAGCTGTATGACCTGGCTTCTGGAAGTCTGATGGAGACACTGGCAGCTCATGATGGGGCAGTGTGGTCCATTGCTCTTTCACCAGACCAGGTAACTCATCCAGCTTTCTAAGTATGACCTCTTGCATTTTCCTGTAGTGTTGTGTTTGTGCTGCTGATGAGAGTATGGGAACCTCCCTGCTCCTGGGAGGCAGAAGGTGCAGCTGGTACTATTTAAGATAAATGCAGAAGTGGATATCTGCACAAGTTCAAAATATTTCTCTGCTCTTATGTGGCACATCACAGTGAACCACTAGGCTGAGAGTTGCTGTCCTCAACACCCGCTGTGATTTTTGAATGATTGAGAGCACTCAGACTTCCACAACAGTGTGTGTGTGTGTGTGTGTTATAGCTGTAGAGACCTCCAGCCTTTTGTAATCCGTTGCAGTGCCTCATTATTCTCCTTGTTAAATTTTCTGCTTGAAACTAGCTCACCAAGCTAGTTTCAGCTTGCTGAGCTTTAACTCAAACTCATTAGAACTGTTGGTACCTTTGTTGGATTAAAAATTTGGTTAGCATAGTGTTTCTTGTTCGCCTTGCACTGTTGTCCAGTGCAACCAAATCGCTCTCCCTATCTATCCGATATGGTGGTTGAACTCGTGTGTGTGTCCCAGCAGGATGTGTTTTCCAGACTCGTAATTGTTTCTGTGACCTTTTAAAGTAAGCACCATCTTTTTTTGCCTAGTGGACCCTGGAGGAGGATGTGTTGTAGAAAGTTTAGCAGTACCAAGTGCACCATTACCTTTTGAATCCAGTCAAGCACTTATTTAGCTCTTTGATTATAGGTCTGCAGTGAGAACATGTAGTCAGCTAATAATCCACTGTGTCCCCTTCCAAAGGCAATTTTTGGGCTTCCCAGTGGAGGGTTTGTGTCTGTGGCTTTTAAGGTTGTTGACCCATAAGCACATAAATTAACTTTTTTCTCTCTGTCCATTTTCGTCAGGTGGCTTGGATAACTTAAGTGCTATTATAGAGAAATCATTTTCTTGGTTACTTTTCCAGTCATCCTTGCGTTGCCTGTAGGCTTCCTTTTATCTTTAGCTTTCTCCCATATCACAGATAAAATCTGTAAGCAGCGCAATGTCAATTTATTAGGTATTTTTCATTTAAAATGCACTTTTGAGATTTGTTAGCATTGTCTTTTATGCATATCATATGTGCTCTGCTCAAAATGTAGTGCAAGAGCAAGTGGTATGCCTTGCATAAGCAACACTATAACTCCATTAGCAACTGCAAGTTTAATCCTAAAGGATAATAAGTGAAGTTAATTTTCCATAAACTCATGTGAATTGATACTCGGTGTGTCCCCTTGGTCTGAGAAAATCCACAGTTGCCTCTTCCTTCCTTGCACGACTATTCTTGCAGTTACCAGTCCTACCTATTTATTCTTTCTGAGTTACGGTGTTATATTATTTTCCTCCAAGATTTCCCCCTGTATTTCAATAATTGCTGAGAGTTAACATTCATGATTTCGAGAACCCCAGAGGATCTGAAACACTGATTTAGAAGTGTCTGACATGTTAAGGCTGTCAAAAAGCAGCTACCTGAGTTTTTGGAGCAGTGTTTCATCACTTGGTGATGTGACTATGGTGCATTGCTTTCCTTAGTCGTAACAGATAAGAAATGCTTCCTGAACCCACACACTTTGAGTGTTGCTCACAAGTAGTAGTAAAGATGAATAATAATAATAAAGACTTTATATTTCTGTTTCACATACTGTGTGAATCTGTGTGATTCAAAGTAGCCTGTCTGTAGAGATCTGCTTTTGTCTTTTTATTTCCTTCATCACTTTATCTCCAGTACCAGAGTCTGGTTCGTATTCGTTGCTATCACCATCCTCTTCTGTTTGTTAATGAACCTTTCTTATTTTTGTTAGGTGGTCATGTTGTGCTAGAAGTTGCAGTGTTGTTTTTTTAGTGGAATCAAAACCCTAGCTACTAGTAACCTACTGGGATTCACTTATTCCACCAATTAAAACATATTGGACAGTTTCATGCTTGTTCTTGGCACAAGAATTCTTGTCTGAGATGTGGTTCCTTTAGCAGGCTGCTCTTGTTGGGTGGTGGTAAGATGTGTGTGATCCAGGAGCAATGAGGATGTCAGCTTACCACTAAACATATGCACTACATTGCCTGCAGCTGAGATGACTGCTTTCAGTTGCAAAGTTTCAGCCCAGATGCATTTGGAGTCTTAGACTCCGACCTGCCTCTCAAATTCACCTTCTGAAATTGATGTGGCTCTTGCTTAACCCCTAGGCAGTGCGTGCTGCAAGCAGAGTATGTGCTCCTTGTGATGTTCTTCTAAACATTAATGCTGTGGGAATATAGAGCATTTCCAAAACCTCCTCGCACGTTGGCTTTTCCTCGAGTGTGAGATTTTTCTGGGCTATAGTGAAATGTGTTTTTGGTTTTATTTTAATTTTAAATGCTTATTCTCTGCAGCATGGCTTTGTGACAGGAGGTGCTGATAAATGTGTCAAGTTCTGGGAGTTTGAGCTTGTGAAGGATGAAAGCAGCATTCAAAAAAGGTGAGAAAAAAACTTTCTATGCTGCATTTAGCTGCAGTAATCTTTCTCTTTAATGAATAGTTTGGCCTTTGCTGTGCATTGTAAGAAATGCCCATGGCATGTGCATGGAACTTGAAGAGGAAAGTTCCAAGAGGAAACTTCAGAGTTATTTTGTAAAGATCTGAGTTTAGTTGAAAAAGGAGTCTTGTTACAGACTTTAACCTTCCTTCTGTGTGTGTTTAGCCTCTAATCACAGGCAGGGCATCCAGATCATTAAGCACTGGATTAAGCAGTGAGATCTATTAGCCTTCAGGGTCATGCAGTTTTCTGATCCTTTTTTGTTCAATTCCTAATGGAATGGAGATGCTGCATATTAGAGTAAGCTTGTGTTCCCAGAGTGCAAGAGCAGGGGAGGAGTGAACACAAGTTCATGCCTCTTTCTGTCTTTTAACTACTAAAGAAAAATGATTTTATTTTTTGTCTTTGCCAGGCTCTCTATGAAACAGATGCGCATCTTGCAGCTGGATGAAGATGTTCTCTGTGTGCGGTACAGCCCCAACCAGAAGTTGCTGGCTGTCTCTTTACTAGATTGCACTGTGAAAATTTTCTACACTGACACACTCAAGGTATGTAGCCAGATGGACTGTGATACTTTGCAGAGAGTGATGTAATTGCAACCTGAAAGTGCCCACTTATTCCAAAACACTAAACAGAATCAGAGAGGCGAGCATCCCATTTCAGGTGCCCGTTTGTTAACAAACGTGACAGAAGCAGGGTTGGCCTGTGCTGGGGAGGAAATCTGTGTTTGATCCGGAAAGCATTGAGAAACTGCAGGTGGCAAGGCCCACCCTAGGCCTGCAGGCATGATGGTATTTCAAAGCTGTGTGGCATTTTGAGAGTGGGGGCACATGGGTGTCACATATGGCTCTTAAATGGGGCATAGCAGAGGCAAAACTCAGGGAAGAGAACCTTCCTTTTGAGCAGTGTGAGTTGTGCACTGTGTCACTTGTGTGTGTGTCACTTTGAGCAGTGATCTTGTGACTTGTGTACGAGCACGTGAAAACAAAGGAATGACACAAGACAGAGCAGCACAGTTAGATACGCTGATGAACGACACCGAGGTCACTCAGCTTGAGTACTTCCAGCCCAGTCTCAGTTCTGCCATCGTGGCCCTGCTGCTATCCACCTGCAGGGCGAGAGGGTGTTGGAGAGGAAGGACAGTGCTGCTGAGGCAGAGGAAGACTAGCCTCGTATTCAAGGTTTTCACAAGTCTGCCCAGTGTGGTCTGACTGAGATGCTTTTCTCTCCTTCAGTTTTTCCTTTCCTTGTATGGACACAAGCTGCCAGTGCTGTGCATGGACATTTCCTATGTAAGTACTGTTAAGACTGCAGGTGGAATTATGGTAGTGTTGATGACCGTGAGAACCATTTGTTAGGTTGCACCTCTAGGATGGTGCTTTCTTATCACCTTCTTGCTATTCACTTAACAGTGAGTGCTTTCTTAATGAGACTAGGCAAACCCGTCATGATGCCACAATCCTATGCTTGCTGGAAAGGATCACAGAATGGGGGTTGTGGCAGGAGTGACCAAGTTATTTTATGAGGAGTATAAACTGTCATAATCCTGGCTCATTTTATGATCTTTGCTAAAGATCTGGTCTTTGCTAAACTTATTGTCCAGACTCTTACTGCCTTAGTTGTGTTTGAATCACTTTTTTGGTGGGAGCAGTACTGAGAGGGAGTGATGTCTTCATGCCTGTTCATTCCTGGCCTGTCTTGATCTGAGATGTAGCTTCTGGGAAGGCAGAAATGTCAAGCTTTTTGCTAAGGTCTTAAATACCTACAGAAGCTCAAAGAAGAGCAAGGGTGCTGTTTGGGTGCTGTACCAGTATCACAAACATATGCAACCCTGCTGAAAAGATGGCCTCTGCAGCATGCTTTCCTGATCCTTTTTCCAAGTATCTGTCCACTTAGTGTGGTTAGTTACTGGTTCAGCCATGACTTCTGCAACTGCTTGTAGACTGTCACACCCTTCCTCTCTCCACCTTGCTCTCTAGGATGGGACTCTTATCGCCACTGGCTCTGCTGACAGGAATGTGAAAATTTGGGGATTGGACTTTGGAGACTGTCACCGTTCTCTCTTTGCTCACGACGACAGGTCAGTCAATTCCTACAGCATCTCTGGCCTGTGGCCAAGTTTCCATACAAATGCTTATGACCCTTATGACACAAAAGTGACCCTTTTGTCCACTGTGGAGTACAGGGAAGTTGCTAGGCAGACTGTCATTAGTCACAGGAAGTTCTCCAGGTGGGTGAATTTAAGCTCTGGCTAGTTTGGTTTTGTGGTGCCCTATATATATATGTATTTATTTATTTATATATATATATATATATTAGCACTGAGCTTGTGAGCTAGGCTTTTCAGGGATCATCTTAGGCAGTGTGCCACATGCATAGAGGTTGCAAGGGCTCTCTGGAAGTGCTGAACCCACAGGTTTTTTCTGCTTAACAGCAGCAGCTACACTGGGTGCTTCTGCTCTGCAGCAGCGTCAGGTGCTGCTTGACCCAGGCTAGATACCCCAGTACAAGGACATGTCCATGCTGTGTAGCAAATCTAGCAGAGGGCCACAGAGATGATTAAGAGACTGAAACTGTCTGAACTGACTGAAACTGACTGAAAGAGACTGAATCTGTCATATGAGGAGAGGCAGAGACACCTGGGGTTGTTTAGCCTCTAGAAGAGAAGACTTGGGGTGAGGTTTGGTGTTTATAGGTCCCTGATGGGAGATTGTAAAGAAAATGGAGTCATGCTCCTTTCAGTGGTATCAAGTGGAAGGATAGGAAGCAATGGGCACAAATTGAAATGCAAGAAATGCTATTTAGAGAGAAAAAATAAATTACAGTGAGAGGGGTTAAGCACTGCAGCAGGTTGCCCAGAGAGCATGTGAAGTCACGATATTTGGAGATATTCCGACTCCAGCTGGTTGCGCAGAATGTTGCCCTTCTCCAGCTGACCCTGCTTTGAGCAGGTGCATTGGACTAGATGATCTCTAAAAGTCCCTTCTGACCTCAACTGTTCTGTGATTCTGTGAACTCTTTCTAGGATAATATGGTGGCAACTGGGACTACAGTGAATGTTGGTGTCGGGGGAATTTTTTTAGAGATAACTGGTGATAAGAGCTATGAGATAGAGATCTGTGGGGCACTCAGCTGTCTGTGTCTAACATGCATGGGTTAGGACCCTTTCTCCCCAACTTTCTTTTTCCCCTCCCCAGTGTGATGCATCTCCAGTTTGTTGCCAAATCCCATCTCTTCTTCACTGCTGGGAAGGACAACAAGATTAAGCAGTGGGATGCAGATAAATTTGAGCACATCCAGACGTTGGAGGTAGGAGGTTTTGGAGGTCGTTAAAAAGAGGCATTATCCCAATGTGAGCTGCTCTTCTCTCGGAACTGGGAGCTGGATTTTCATGTCTTATTTCCTCTCCCTACCATGCAGGGACATCACCAAGAGGTGTGGTGCTTGGCACTCAGTCCTAATGGAGACTATGTGGTTTCAGCATCCCATGACAAGTCCTTGCGCCTCTGGGAAAGAACGAGAGAGCCCCTCATACTGGAAGAGGAAAGGGAGATGGTGAGTGTTGCATTCTTCCTGCCCAAAGATAGCTGTTGCTCAACAGGGTATCTTGTTACCCAAAAGGGTGTCCTCTTGGGTGCAGTTTGTCTTGTTTGTCCCTTTTTCAAGTGTGAGAGATCTATGCTATGTCAGTAGCGTGTCTTGGAGCTCGGGGATGCTGGAAGAGGCCCCTCCTTCTTGCTTTGCAAAGGCTAGTGAACTCAAAGATTTGATTGGGATAGGCTTTGTAGGTCTCTAGTTCAATGTCCTCTTCCAGTGCTAGACCATCCTTGAGATGTAAAAGTGTCCCCCTCCTCTATATGTCCAATTGGAAATTCTCTTCCAGCAATTGTCTTTTGACTCATCTTTTTATTTCCATGGTATTTTTTCAGAGGAGTCTGACTGTCACCCTATCTTAAAACATTTCTCAAACCATACTGGGAGAAGAATGTAGCTGTATGTGGTGGGGCAGGAATAGATGAGAAACTTGCAAGAAATAGTTTTGACCCAGCCCTTCTGCAGAGCACTGAGGTGACCAATAGGCAGCATCTTAATGTCCAGTAGTTGGTGTACTAGCAATGAGGGAGGTCACAGGAGATGAGAGACAATGTCTTCCTGATGTGTATTTTGGTGCAACTTCCAATAGCAAGGTGGACATGAATTCATTGGCAGTGAATTACTAATAGGGCCCCATTAACATGAGAGATGCCTGACAGGGCTCTTTCATCTTACAGGTTAGAGTAATCCTCAGACTTTCCTAGGTTTGTTTCTTCTGTGTTGCATTCCAGGTGGTAAGGTCTGTTTCTGAATTGCTTTTCTTTCAGTCTCAGCTTTGTGAACTGTGTGGACTGCTGCTGTATCCTGAGTGGTGACACTAATTTCTGTCCTAGAAAACAACAGATTTCTCTATGCAGGGAAACAGGGATGAGCAAACATTTTTCACTTGCACTGTTGGCCTGTGATGGTTTGTCCCGACTTCTGTGCTGGGCTGCAAGGTTCTGCAGTTAGTCTGTGAAGGAAGCCACACACACCTTGCTCAATCACTCTGTAGCAGACTTTTAGTTTTGCTTGCTGCTTGCCCACCTGTGTTAACATATTGTGTTTTCCTTCATTACAGCAAAGAGAAGCTGAATATGAGGAGAGTGTGGCAAAGGAAGAGCAGCCTGTGGTGAGTAACACCATCTTGATGGGTGTCCATCTGTATTGAGTAATTCTGTGAGAAACATAGAAGAGTTGTCAGAGGGGACTGGTAATGCCCTTTCTTTGTGAGGTGCATTGTGAAAAGTGCTGGTGAAACTGTGTTCCCTCAGGTGATTCCAGTGCTACTGACAATCTGATGTGGTTTTGGAGAATGTTCAGGGCTGGCCAGACTGCTACACAGTAACCGGAAATTCTTAAGCCCTACTGTCCAGCTGGTGGTTGTGTGTGCACAGCTGATGTCTGCAGCAACTTTCTAGCAAAGACTGGTTGCCTTTAGACAGCTGCTTGCAGGTTAAGTGCGATAGGTGTGAAGCCTGGTCCACCCAGCTCAGATGCTTGGGTTGTATTGCCAACAATAGATCTGACAAATGATCAGAGCTGACTCTGATCAGCTCACTCAGCCCTGAGGTTGAGCAAAGGCTGTGCAAAGGCCCTGACTTTCAGAGCTTAGCATTAGCTCAATACCTCTATTCTGAAAAGAGCTTTGCATCTGAGAAGTCATGTATTTCTCCAGAGAAGTGAGTTCAGCCTATGGGGTTGATATTTTCTTTAGCAGGGAGTGTGATGGAATATGCTGTATCAGCCCCTTGGCTGACTGAAGGAAGGAGCTACAGACTCTCTCTTTTGTAGGTGGCTGGAGAGACACAAGGAGAGACAGGGCTAGCAGGAAAGAAAACTATTGAAACGATCAAAGCGGTAAGTTTGTGTGGGTCCCCCAATGTTGCTTTTTGCCTTGTCAATCTGTCAAGATGGGAGAGTCACAGGGCTTGAGCAGCAGTTTGCAGAGAAGTGCCTTGTGCCATTGTGTAAGGACAGCAACTAAAAGAAGCTGCTGTTTGAGACGAAAAGGTGCAGATGCAGATCCAGCTGCCAGAGCAGGTTGTCCTGCACCCTGGCCAATGGGAGATATCTCTCTAGGGGACAAAGCATGAGTTTCTGTTGATAGTCAGGCTGCAGGTTTTTTTGCCTGCTGCATGTGGGACAGGCAGGCCTGATCCTGCCAGTGCTTGCTGGAGGGATAGTACAATGTCAAGGCAGCATGTGAAACTGCAGCAGAACATTGTTGCAGAGCTGCTGGAGGGGATTGCAGGTGGTACTTGACTCCTTTAAGACACTACAGGACTATCCAGAATAGCAGTAATGTCTGGAACAAAGGTTATCTTTTTGAGCAAGATGTGTCTGTGATGCTGCACATCAGCCCATGTTCTTTCTCCTTCATTGGTTTATTTGGACTTGAAATTTGCTTCTTTTTTTTTTTTTTGCTTACTGTTGGTGACTGATGTACCTGTCATGTACCACACAGGCTGAACGGATCATGGAAGCTATTGAACTGTACAGAGAAGAGATGGCAAAACTCAAGGAGCACAAGGCCATATGCAAAGCTGCAGGAAAAGAGGTAAAAGACAGGAATTTGTCACACCGGAAGCATGTATCTTGACAGCTCTGTCATTTTGGCAGAAAGTCCTAGCACACACATAAAATCAGGAAATAGAAAATAAGAAGTGGAGGAAAATGAGTTAAACTTGCATGTTTGAGAACTAGGTTTATCTTGTAGCTGCAATTGAAGCCTTCTTTGAAGTCCTGCAGAGGATAGAAATGTGGGAATCTGAGAATTTTTTATTTGATTTTTTTTTTTTTTGATTTTTTTCCTCTGATTTTTTTCTTTGATTAGAAACTATCTTCTACTGTGGGTTAACATTTTCTCTGGGAATATGTGTTTGTACACATGTATATGTATGTGCCTCCTTTTAATCCATTTTTTGTCTTCAGGTTCCCCTTCCTGTTAATCCCATCCTCCGTGCCTATGGAAATATTACCGTAAGTGGAATGCGTAGGCCACAGGCTCCAGCTGTCTATTTTCATTTGCTGGCTGAACCAAAATACTGGGTTGTGCTGGGGAGGGAGGATTAGTTTAGATCAGCCTGAAAGGAAAATTTTACTCTCTTATAAAATGAACACATTTAGATATATTTTTTTCATCTTGCATGTGTGTAATAAAAGTACTTTTTTGCACATATACAGTACAATAAAAGTACTTTTTGCACATAACAGGGTTTGGTGGCCTTGATGTTATCATGTGCACACTGAGCTGGCAGTTACTGTATTTTCTCAGGGTATAAGAAAATAGGGAATAGGGGTTCAGGCCCTTCTGGTGACAAATGTATCTCCCTCTTGCCAGGAGGGTGCAGTTACCTTGCTACATTGCATTTCAGTGGAGTGGTGACATCTTACACGAAATACTTGAACATCTGTTGAAATCGTGACTTGAGAATCCATTTCACTGTGTCCCCCTCACCCCTGCCCACCTGCGTGGCATCTGTAACCACAGAATCAGAGCTGTTCTCTCCCTTCTTCTGTGGCTATGGGTAGTTTTAACTGCAAGTTGAAGAGATAGAGGAGGGATAAATACAATGCCATGATTTAATAGTTAAGCACTTTGAGGAGTGGGTGAGGTTAGATTCAGTTTCCTTATACGGAGAAGAATGTTGCAATGTGAGATGAAACTGCCTTTTGGTTTCCTTCTAACGGCTTCCCAGATCTGTATCCTGTGATAAAAAAAGTACCTACAGCAGATAAACAACAGTAGCAGGAATTAAATCTGTAGGAATTGAGTTTGTGTAAAGTTTTGTACATACAATTTAGCAGTTTTACCAAATTTTTATCCAGTTTGTACAAGACTTAAACCACTAAGTATGAGATAATTTAGCTAATTGTATGTAGTTAAGCTTTCACAATAATCTTCACCATTCAGAGTATCAACAGACTGGGATTATGGTCTGTGGAGGGAGAATGAGAACTTCCCAGACTGGCAGCTATTGGGAGCTGAAGAGATTTCCACTTTATCTGTTACATTCAGACTGATCAATCACAAGATGTGATTGCCTGTGTTTAATTGGATGAAATGGATCATAAAATACATGTTTTTCTTGGAATGTTTTTTAATATGCAGAGCTGATGTCTTCCTTCTCTTACAGCCTTCTGCATATGTGCTAGAAGTTTTCAAGAAGGTCAAGTCAAGGTGAGTCAAAAGAGCCTTGCTGCTGAACAGGTTTGTGTCTGACCATTGGATTGCTGTGACTGATGCGAAGTGGGGTCCTGGTGTGGATTTTGCTGCCGAGCATGGGGAATGCAGGAGAAATGAGTTACTGTGTCTGGCAGCCTTTCTGGGGAATGTGCAGTTGGGGAATAAAAATGGTTCCTTTCATGGGCAGTGCTGGATGAAGCTTGCATATGACTACATTGAAGGGAGAGAACAGCTCTGGTTCTGTGGTTACAGATGCCATGCAGGTGGGCAGGGGTGAGGGGGACACAGTGAAATGGATTTTCAAGTCACTATTTCAATGGATGAACAGGTATTTTGTATAAGATGTCACCACTCCACTGAAATGCAATGTTGACTGCTTGGAGGTGCACATGTACATGAAGAGCAGCTTGAGGATACTAGGGTGGGAAGGTGGTTTATGTGCCTGCTCCCTGTGCCAGAAGGTGTTTGCATGGACTGTAGTCTGTGAGGGTGCACTTCCTTTGCCTGTAGGTAGTCATAGACCAGCAGTGGGATTCAGCAGAGCCTTTGTATGAGAAACTTCTTGCACCATTCCCCTCTCCCTGCTTTTTTCTTAGTGAGCTGGAAGAGTCTCTCCTGGTACTGCCTTTCTCCTATGTCCCTGATCTCCTCAGGCTCTTCAGTGAACACATTCATCTGGGCTCAGAGGTGGAACTCCTGTGCCGAGCTCTCATCTTCCTTCTCAAGTGAGTCTTGCACCAAGCAAATCTGCTAGTTTTACTGCTAGCAGAACATGGGCCTCAGGAAGCTCTAACAGGGCTTTGGTCATAGTGGGTTGCTCTTCCCCTCTTGCTGATATGTGTCATGAGCTCACTTTGTGTCAGTTCTGTGACAGAGGTAGTCCTTTCTCCTGAGCTGTCAGTCAGCACTTTAGGACACTACAGAGTTGGGGAATGTTCCCTATTCTTGCAGCTGCAAGGACTCTGTTGCTTTCCATGAACACTCATAGAAGTGTGTTAGAAAATGTGTTTTTCTCATCTATTTCTGGCATTAAAGCTCTTGAGACCTTTCCCTTGGTGTGTTAAAGAGAAATTTCATGAAATAGCTTTTTCAACTGAATCTCTCCATACCTGTTAAATCTGTATAGAAAAATTAAGAAAAAATCCTATTTTTAGAAAATAGAGGCTCAGAAGAGTGACTGATTGTCTGCCACTAAGAACAACATAGCTGCATATATCATAACTCACTGTCTGCTGTGTTTTTAGGATACATTTTGGGCAGATCACAAGCAACCATATGCTGGTGAGTGTGATAGAGAATTTGAAGAAAACCACCATCTCCAGAGTCAGTGAGGCCCGGGTGAGTGTCACAGTCTCTCCTTTTCCAGTTTCTTCAATAACAGGATGTGCCGATGGATGGGGTTGTGAATTGTCCATGGTGCTCTTTGGAAAAGATGTTAGGGGTCTGAGCTCATCTCACTTTCTTCCTTTACAAATAAAGTCTGTCTGTCTTCTTATTTTCCTGCTGTGATGAACCACTGCCGTGATTCTGCTATCACACACACACGCACTCCACTTTTGGTTTTCAGGACAGAAATGTGCGAAACAGAGGCACTATTCTGGGTTCTGGTTGTTCCCCCTGTTAAGATAGAGCTTGCATTTAAATAATACTGCATTATTTAAGTCTGTGGGATGGTCTTGATTTCATAGTCTCTCAGTAGAGAGTGGACACAGTGTCTCCTATTCCAGGCGTCCTCTGCCTCCTAACAAGCTTGAGACAGGTCAAACAGTGTGGTGGTGGTTTCTCTCTACAGGATGTGTTGGGATTCAACATGGCAGGTCTCCAGTACCTGAAGAGGGAGATTGAGGCCAAAGATGAGGTGAAATTTTTTGCTGATGCTACTGACCGTTTTGAGGAGAAGAGGAGGAAGAGGAAGAAGAAGGAGAAGATGGTTCTTGCAGTGGTTTAGCATTTGCTGCCCATAACCCACACTGAGATGGATTCATGTAGCCTCTATGCTGGCTGTGGAACTGCTTTTGTGGCTGACTGTCTGTGATGATGCCCAGTGACTGGGCTGAAGGCTGGCTTGTCCCCTTGTCGAATAACTCACCTTTCACCAGGGAACAGTGCCAACCGGGAATGAATTTTTCTAGTGACATGAACTCTCTATGGTCTGTTGTATATGAAAGTATTTGAGCTGTTTCTGGGGTGGTTGCCATGTTTCAAAATGCTTTATGAGCATATTGAGGAATATAGCATTTTATCCTGCTATTTCTCTCTAGTACAACCTCAGCTGCCTGGCTGTGATGGTCAGTTCTCATAGCCTTTTTTTTGTTTTGTTGTTTTTTCCAGGAAATAAAATCTGTGGGTACAAATTAAAGGGTTGCAGTCAAAGATCGTGGTATTTTGTACAGCTGGCAGACTGAATGCTTGGGAAGCATTGTATTTGCACTCTCCTTCTTGCAGTTCACCAGATGTTTTACAATATTGGTACAATGTTGTACATGTCCTGTGTCAGATAAAGGTTTATTTTTATGAGCCGGTGGGGAGGGAGTGATGAAAGTGAAGAAGTCTCTGCTGCTTGTTCGTTTGTAGCATGTGTTTTTTTAATGGTTATCATAAGGTTCATGAATGTGGTAGAGACTGCTTCCATGTACTTTGGAAAAAACAGTTACATACTGGACTTATGGGTCTGACTTGGATACTCAAAGCTGGATTTCTTTCTAGCTTGAGCTTCAACTGGATTTTTATAGCATCTCAGTTATTGACTGAGATGCTATAAACCTTGCCTACCTTATGTTTTCTATTATTAACAATTATGCACAAGGTAAGCAGTTCTGTTAACAGTTCTTTCTCTGCCAGTCTTTGATAGCTCCTCAGATTGAATAACTACATCTCTTAAAAAACGCTTGCTGCTAGTAAATAACCTTTTTGGGAATAATGGTTCACTTGTTCCTTTCCTGAGTAATTTAGATCAGCAGTTCATGCTCCAGTTACAGGAGATGGGAATTGGACATTTTTACAAATAGTCATCTTCATATAGTTCTGCCAGTTGTTCCCAGGTATAATTGCATGTTTGTTTAGTTGTGGATGGGGTTTTGGATCAAGCAGTTACATTCAAACATGTTTCCATCCTGACAGTTATTAAACTATTCATTTGCTGTTTCCAAAGGAGATAGTTATAAGAGAAGTCACTGTGGTGTGAGGAAGAGGATGCATTGTGTAGTCGTAGGATGATGAAGTGTTGGTAACTGCAGTTGGCATCTTGTTTCCATGACAGCTTCTGTTGAAATGAGCTGGACAGTTAGTAACGCAAGGATGAAGAGTGTTCACCCAGTGAAGAAGTGCGAGGTTCGTGATACCAATTGCATCTTCTGCAGTGATGACTGAGGAGAGGGATACCAAAAGCAGGTACCTAAAGGGAAACACTGACTCTCTATCTCCTTATGATGTGCTCTGTTTTTTTTACATTGATGCCAGAAGAGCTTATCCTGGAGCTTAGATAAGGAGCTGCTCTGAAAACCCCAGGAGAAAAGGTATGGCCAAAGGTACACTTGAACTCAAGAACTAATGACGATTCCATAGATAGTGTCAGAGAATAGTGATCTAGGACAGAGTCATCTCATGATGACAGATTCTTTCCTCTGATCTATGACATTGGAGGAGATAGAATTCCTTAACCAGCTTCTCTGTTTCCTGTCACTGGGACTCTAGAAGAATCCTTGGAAGTAGTCCAAGGATTACACTTTGGAGGGTGATTGTCCTTGCTGTAGGTACTGACAAGGGCTTCCCTCCTGAACTTTCCTGCTCATTCTGTGATTTGTATCACTTGTGACCTACCAGCAACTGTGATGTACTTGAATGCTGAGAAAGTATAACTGAGAGGCCTGATGTAGAACTACTGACTATCTGTAGAAAGCAGTGAAAAGCATTAGGGCAGGAATCAGCACAGTTAGTAGCAAAATCATTAGTACTGGACAATCCCAGATCAAGTTTGGCGCTGCTTCCTATGGTTTCTTCCAGAAGGTAAGTAAAGTTAAAATCATGTTTACAGTTGTGTGTCTGTTTCAGCATTTTCCTGAGCTGCCCTTCAAACTTGGTTAATAGGCCAAATCTTCTGACTCAAAGGAAAATCTGAGGGATGACACAGTTATGTCTAGCAGTGCAGTGTAGTGCACTGATCCTCATCGTCTACTCAGTGGTGAGATTCTGTCTGGACTGCTGTTTCCAGTTCTGAGCTCCCCAGTATAAGAGGGACATGGATCTACTGGAGTGAGTCTAGCATAGACTCATGATTAGAGGTCTGGAGCATTTCCTCTATGAGGAAAGACAGAGAGCTGGGGCAGTTTAACCTAGCTGAGCAGTTTAACCTAGCTGAGCAAGTCTGAGCAGTGATCTTACTAGTGTGTACAAATACCCTAAAGGAGAGCCAAGAGGATGGGCCAGGCTATTTTCAATGGTGGCCAGCAAGAAATGAGACAACGGGCCCAAGAAGGATATGCCTGAATGTGCAGAAAAGCTTCTTTGAGGGTGTCAGAGCATTGGAACAGGTTGTCCAGAGAGGATGCAGAACTTCTTTCGCTGGAGATACTTAAAACCCAGCTGGATGTGATCCTGCGTCACCTAGATGTGATCCTGAAGGGACCTCCAGTGTTCGGAGGTCCCTTCCAACCTCAGTGATTTTGTGAAGAGGATAAAAATGGAATTCCTCAATGTCATTAATGTCACTGGTGCCAGTATATTCACCTAAGGGTCCCCTGTGTCCAGTGCAGTACTGTGTACTCACAGCCCCTATCTTGTGTCTGCAGGTAATTAAAGATAGGTGAACAGTCTGTGCACAGAAAGAATATTGATGATTGGAAAGCAAACCGCAACTTAAAAATACAAAGGCTAGAGCAGCTCAGTAATATTTGCTACAGAGTCTTTCTCCAAGAGTCACAGCTGACTCCAGTGAAAATTGCCACATGTTCAGTCCCAAAGAAAGGTGTCCAGTACCTCACCAAGTTATACTTATCTAACTCCTGTTTAAAAATGCAAACCTATCGGGAGTCACTCAGCACACTTCTGAAGTGCACAGTATCAAACATTAGGCTTGTAATCATTATCAGGATTAGGATTGTAACAATATCTCCACTGTCATGTTTCAGGCAGCCATGTCTGAAGTCAGAATGTAGTGCAACTTCTGGGTCATCTTTATTATTAATAGGAGACAGACAAAATATTTATTCATGTTATTTTGATTAAATGAGAAAGACCATATAGGGATGTCTTCATAAACACATTCAAGTAAAATTCCAGTATTTCATTATTTGATGATACTCACATCATTCTTTCTAGTTAATCTGGAACTTGGCCTTGGGGCTTGTAGAAATTAGCCGGACAGTTGCTGACATCCCACCCTGGGGATATCCTTGTGGGCGGTGCTCATAAATGTCATTAGTTAACACAGGTAGAATATTAGGTTAAGGATCTAACCATTTCTGTACATTTGTATAGCTAAAACATCTATGGAAATGGGAATGAATTCTGGAAATTAGACTGTGAAAGGACTTGAATCTCAACTACTGAACTCAGCTCAAAGAATAGAGGCCAAGTAAAATATTAAGGAAGGAGAAGGTACATATGTTTCAAGGCTGAGTCTGGAAGTGTGTGACTGAGGACTGGGAGAAAGGGAATGAAGCAGGGACTGGTTTTGCTGCTATGGTACTAGTTATTGTATTGCCCAGCTCAGCAAAGAGCATTGGCAAAGATGATTTTGTGTCACTACAGAATAAATTAGGAGAGTTTCAGTCTAGCTTCCAGAACGTGTAGAGCTCCAGCACAGCTGTAATTAGCAATCCCTTTGTCAGTCTCAACTGATACTGAATCCCTTTTTTTTGGTAAGGGTGAATCTTAACAAAGCAAGAGTTTCTGGCATGGCAATGTGTATGGAGGCACTTATAGCTTTTCAGAAGACTTTTTCCCGAGGCTTTAATTAGAAAATTTGCTTAAAGGACAAACAGATCATCACCCTTTCCATCTCCTCTCAACTTGTCCTTAAGGAATGAGTCTTCAAATATATCTGAAAAACAGTAATTACAACTACTGGAGTGCAAAGGAAGATGTAATATTTGTTTTTCTATTTTCTTTTATTGTAACTGTCTTGAATTAAAAACTAATTTCTACTGAAACAGGGATAGTATCATCTTTCCTTTTGTATCCACAGTGTTGAGATTTTTGTTTCTGGTGAAGCTGCCCTATCATGTCCTACTATAGGTTAAAAACCTGCAAATAAAAAAAAAAATCCTTTAAAGAATTTCTATCAGTGAGAAAAATTCTTTTTTTTTTTTTTTTTCCCTTTATATATTTCCTAAAAGCCATATCCTCTGGGCTTCCAACCACTTGTTTTCAATATCTTGTCCCTCTGAGTTGAATTACTTTTGGAATCATAAATTCTCCATTGTTGTGTTCTGTGTTTCCAAAAAGGGGCAATAAAAGCTTGCCTGCATCAGAAATCATGCTTACAACTCCTAAAGGTAGACACTTCCTGGGACTGATGCTATTGGAGGAATGGCATGGGAGAATTTAAAGGATATTTGCCCTCACTGGAAGTAGAAGAGTCTCTGCTTCTGTTAATATTTCAATATGATGGGAAACTTCTTCAAGGCCATCGGTATCTTCTCTTCCATTTGCCATTGCAAAAATCTCTATCTCCAGTTCAACCTGCAAACCTGCTGCCACCTAGGAGAGATGGAAGATTGTCCTCAAATAAGATGTATGTTTCAACCCCTTCAGCAATGCTTGGTTCTTGTTCTACCTGGTCTGTGAAAGGAAAGGCTTAGTACACTGCACACATTACAGCTCTTGCCAGTGATTGTCACTAGCGAATTCAAATTGCCATACTTTTTTTTTTTTTTTTTTTTTTTGCTCGTTCTCATTTATTTCCCTTTGACTTTCTTTTTAGGATCCAGAAGGAACTGGAGAATTGAGAAAGTTGGAAGGCAATCAAAAAAGAACAAAGGTGTAGGAAGAAAATGGAGATAAGAAAGGGATGTATGTGTGGAAAGGAAAAGAGAAGTGCAAGTGTTGGATTGTGTTTGGGGCTCTGGGCTGGGAGGTGTAACTTGTATTTTGGTGGCTCTCCTTACACAGGTCATTGCTGCTTGAATCCATGACTTAAACCTGGGCAAAGATAGCTTCTGATCTTACCTGGGTGCTCTGAGGATACCAGCCAGCATACAGGATTTGCTCAGACACAGCAGGGAGGTAAAAAGCAAAATGACAAACTGAACAAAGGCAGAATGCATTATAGCTTTGTACTTGATGGGATAATTTAATGTGTTATGGGACTTGTGCTAGATAAAGAGAGTAGAGCAAGTGGAAAAACAGGAAAAGAAATGAGAGGTGAGAGTTTACCAGGTTCAGCTCTTTAGACTTATTTAGACACGGAAATAAAGTCCAGGCATGACACATAGAGCAGATATACCTAAACCATGGGAAAAATCAGAGATGGTGGTAGAGTATCCTGTTTGCATCAAATAGAAAGCTCTTTTTAGCCTCAGGGCTTGACCTGTTACCTTCCACAGAGCTTATGATGTTCATGCTTCTGTCCTCTGGGTAGGATCTCATGGCACAATGGGCTTGAGAAAGGAAAGCAGAAGGATAGCAGAAGGCTTGAAATGAGCTTTAAACAGTTCATGTATCCTGGCCAGCTATACTCCTAGAGAGCTGGTGAGGGAGCATCTATGCATGACCTTGAAGGCTGTATGATGAGCATAATAGAATCTTCTGTATAACTTACAGGTCCTGGTTTGTATATCACTCTCAGTCCTGTGTGTGGAGGTGGTGGTTTCACCCAAAATCTGTGAGAAAGAAAAGAATATCAGTTTGCCAGGAAACACCCCAGGCAGGCAGGTGGAACTACTAGGAACCCCAGGCTTCTAGCCAAGCACCATTTAAGAAATTTTGAACAAAAAAGCAAAGCGGTATATTAATAAGTTGAGGTTTCCGAAGAGCTTGTTAAACTGCTGAGTTCTTACAACAGAATGTGAAACACCTACATTTTAAGTTTATGTACACAAAAGAAACAAGTATAAATTCCACTTTTTTCTGGCAAAGTCGTGTGTGCATGTGTGTAGACCCAGAGATCTGTTTAATGTTCTGTGATATGATTCTCCTGCAGACAGCATGATACTGGTATACATTTGTTGTAAACATATCTCTTTTAACTACCCACTAAAGTAATGGTTTTACTTCTTCATTCCTATTTCGTGGATATACATCTCTGCAGTCCTTTTTCAGTCTGCATGCAACAACACTACTGAAAATCACTGTGACAGGACATCACCTCCAGCATGAAAATAGGTTTGTTCTATGCAAAAAAAAAAAAAAAAAACAATCACTGTTAAGACCTCTCTACTTTTGCATCACTGTAGACTATACTGGGAGATTTTTTATTTCCACCTCAAGAACAGCACCCAGCAAGCGCTTACACAAAAAGCTGTTAAAAAAGGAGGGAGAGGTATTTTCAGTATAAGGCTCAGTGCTATGGAAAGTTCTGGTAGAATTACAGAAATGCTGCCACAATTTCTGTAGTTTCTATGGAACTCTGGTGGTTATGAGAAACTAGACAGAGATAAGGCTGACTGCCCTGTGCTTTCCTGGGCTCTCCTTCTTGCCTTCTTTTGAAGACTGGTGTGATATTTGCTTTCTTCCAGTCTCCAGGCACCACTTTTGTTCTCAATGACCTTTCAAAGATGATGGAGATGATAACCTAGCAATAATAAGTACCAGCTCCCTCAGTACTGATGGGTGCATCCCATTGGGGCCCATGGATTTGTGAGTGTCAAATTTGCCTAAGTGAGCAATCATTGTCAAGCAAGGGAAAGTCTATCTTTCTCCTAACTTTCTCTCATTTCCAGGGTTTGGGATTCCTGAGGGCTGACCTTAGCAGTAAAGACTGGATACTCACACTATTTAGGACAAATAGTGGGAAGATAGCTTATTTAGCAGTTAACTGAAAGTGCCTGTTTAGACTTAAGAATCTTTCCAGTTGCAGGTGGTAACTGGGGCTAAGTGAGACAAAGAGGCTGATGTTGGACAATGTCTTGCTTGGAGCTCAGGAATTTTGAAAGTTTTTTTTTTGTTTGTTTGTTTTTCAGCTTTTAACCCTTTCCCAAGCAATAAAAATGTCAGCTGCAGCCTTCTGAAATGAAATCTTGCCACCAAGCAAGCTGGTGGCAAGTTGCTTGGCCAACCAGCTGCAATCTGGTTTTGCAGATTGCCGTTGTACAGATGAACCCATTTTGAAGTGACAAACTTTAGGTTGAAGCCCCCGAACTGTAAGAACTTAACTGTTGCAGGCTCTCCTGTAAGCTAAATGCCAAAGTACACATAGAAAAGATAAAATAAATGCTATGGGGAAAAAAAAGAACAGTAAGAAAATGCTTTGCCCTCTTTAGTGTTACATGTATGGTGTGTAAGAAGACGAGGGTCACAAGCACACCTGTCTATTAACTGCTGAATTTAGTAAAGACAGAGACTGTACTTGTGCAGGAGAGGACCTAGTGAATGAACAAATATGCAGTCACTCAAATAGGGAACTTTGTAGCATAGAAGAAAAAGCAGATATAAGCATCTTTTACTGTGTTTACATGATCTCTAAATTCCAGCTCCAGTCAAGTAATTCAAGGACAATTTGCTGGACTGTGGACCTAAAATGGCCTGGTCCTCACTAGACTAGAATGCAATGCAGAGCTATCAACCACTAATAGGGTGTGGATGCAAGTGGAATGTATTTATAAGTAAATGCTTTGTTTCAACTGTTTCATCTTCTGCCTGCTCCTGGTTTTATCACTGAAACTGTTTTTCAATGCAGCCAAAGCTATATGGCTGCCTGACTGCAGTTGTTCCAGTTTGCATCATCAGACTTGGAGCAATCAGCAGCATTCCTCAAAGGCAAGAGTAATATCAGTTACCATGACAGAGTTTAGTCCCTGAAAAAGTGAACTTCTATAAAAAAACTGTAAGTCACCCACTATAGGCGCAGGTCTATGCATATGAAACTTACTGTTCTTTACTACTTTCCATCTTCATTATTATTAGTAATACATGAAATTATCAATATTCAAAAAACATTAAATATTTCTAACATTATCTTTTCTGAATCTGGTCTGTCATCATCAAGTGAATCCAAACATAAAAATACCATATTATCTCTTATTAATCAGATCAGATTGCAATAATTTACAAACAATGCATATTTGGACAATCAAAAGCGAATTCCTGAGAATCTGAACCAACCTGGAGAAGTTCACCCCAACATTCTTCAGGATTACAGTGGCAGTGTAGGTGCAGCCTTCCTTCAGTACACCAAATGTCACGTTAGGTGGAATGAGATGGAATGAACTCAGCTGCTGTTTCGTTCTTGCAAGGGAACATGTCTTGACATGTCCCCCAACAGGATTATCTACCTTTGCAAATAAAATTACACAGTAAAGTTGGTGGCATAAGTCAGGTTCTGAATAAGCAATACTCAGATAATATTTGTCACTTTTTCTACATTTGACTCTACTTGTCATGAAGCTATCACAAAAAGACACAAATTTGAATAAAAAGAAGAGGGTAAAGCTAATTACTTTTGATATCGTTTGCCAATTTATACTAGTCTGAGATCTTGGACATAATGAGCCATTCAGGTGTCTTGGTGGGGGAATTGAGGATGTGCTCTCTTTTGAAAATCAGGGCTGTCATGTGGATGGCTGGTACAGAGTTCTGCTTTCAGCATACAACAGTCTTTTGCCAGTGCTAAAAACTGTCATTGCTAAAAATAAATTGCCAGTGCTATTGTTCACTAAACAGACACAAAATGCTTTACAGTGTTGATGCAGAGTGAAGGGGTATCTAGCATCTCATCAAAGGAGATGACTAAGAGGATAACTAAAAACCTGTTATTTTACTTGTTTATTTGGTATGGAGTCTGGCATCCTCCCCTGGAGAGATGGTGATAATTTTACTTTCTCTTTGCTTGACTGCCTTGTAGCATTTACCAGCAGACTTTGAATTGTAGGTCTAAAGGGTGCCTTGTGTAATCTTTCAGCCATGCTCAGATAGCCTGTTGCTGAAAAAAAAAAAAAAAGATTTTCAACGGCATAAAAAAAGAGCCCAATTGTGAAGTTCTTCTTCAAATAAAACCTTTATTTACCTGTAGAGTTTGATTAGCGCTACAGCAGCAGGCTAGGTTTCTTTTTTTTTTTTATGTAACAAAGCAATTTAGGGGAAAGATGGTCACTTTTAGATACCTCTAATAAATAATCAGAATTGAAACAATAAGTACAAATGTACTATAATTAGTACAATTAAATAGTTGAAGACATCACAGTGAAAACCAACAATGAAGGTATAAAAATCCTATGAAAGTGTTCAAAAATGGGAAGTAACAAAAACTCCAAGCGTTAAAATCAAGCCTAGGAACTAATCCAAAGCACGGCTACAATGCACAGTGATCAGACTGTGCAGACAGATTGTGCAGAAATGGCCAAGTTTGTCAAGCCAAATCTATACATTCATTTAATAACAAATTCTTGCCAAGGTCCCAAAGCAGGACAACTGTGGTAGTACAAAGCTATAATCAATTTACAGACCCTGTCTCTGAGCAGGATTTACTAGCTTGAAAGCAACAACATGTGGATGAGTTTGCATGCTTTTAGATTCTGGAACTGAAAAACATTCTGATCTGTGTCCCACTGTATAATGTAAGTAGATTGAGCTCTGGATTACCAGAGCAGTTAGTTACTACACAATTTAACTGCTGTTTTGAAAACTGGATCTAAACTTCTTTTGCTTGACGGCTTAAGATACATATAGCTTTTTGTAAAAGTTGTAAAGTGTGATCACCTTTGTAGCATAAACACAACAATGGTGACTACATTTTCGCCAAGAGTCAGTTTCTGGATCAATACTTTGTAATGAAGAAAATTGATTTTTTTCAGTTTGGGCTGTGAGAAATCATGCCATTATGTATCTGGTCAGTTAGTCATTTTGAGAAGGCAGAAATATAATTGGAGAGTAGGTTTTTCTCCAGGTTCCTTCTCTCAACAGGTTCTTATTTCCAAACAATAGAAGGGTAGGTTGTAGAGGAAGAGGGGACTCCCATTTGACAATAAATAGCCTGGGGCTTATAAAAATGCTAAGCATGGATGTAGTGGAGAAAGCATACTAATGTTTGTTGTTTTGCCTAAAGGTTAGCAATCTTTATGCTTTGTTGAAGTTTGTGTAGTTTTAGAATATCACACATATACAGACACACGGAAAACTGCTTTTCATTTTTCATTAGAGTGTCTGCCCTGAGGTCTAGCAAGTGAGTATACATCGTAGGGGAAGTTTAGCAGCTTTTAATGCAACTGCTGTTGCAAAGACCTCTTAAGAGCATTCTTAAGAAAGAATGCTAATTGGTAATGGGAGGGAAAGGAAGTAGAGAGGAAGAATCTTCAGGTTAGAAGGTGAGATGCAGAAACAGTTTTTTTTTTTCAGTGTGCACTGCTAAGACTCAGCTGGTGTGGCATATATGTGGGAGCCAAAGCTTAGGTCTAATTAAAGCAGACTAGTGACTGCTTTAAAAAAACAATAAATAAAACAATAACATAGATGCAGCCAGGAAAGCAAAACTCACTTGGGTCATTGAATGGCAAAGACCATGTAACAAACTCCGTTTCTGAAGTCCTGTCTTACCAGCCTTTATAAGCAGGAAAAGTTGGCTCGTGTATTTTTAGCATAGGACTTCTTATCTGAGTATCCAGTTCTACAGTCCCCATGTTGTTCTAACAGTCTGCTAGTGTAAGAAGAGAATCCCTCCTAATATTTTTATAGCACATTGCTCTCTCTCTTTCTGCCAGTCTTGCCTTAGATGTATTCAGAATGCTGAATAGAATAACTGGCTTTAAATTTCTTGTAGCTATTTTGTCAAGCTTTAAGAAACTAGAAAATAACCTGCTCCAAACTACATTCTGGACGGTAGCTTTACCTGTTGGCAAGTGCGTGCTGGGACCTTCACTTTCATGTGAGTGAATCTGTAGCAGAAAACCAGGTGAAGGTGAGGAATCACTTGTGATATTGAGATAATCAGATACTAAAGGAAAAACAAGAATATACATTGACAAGTGTCACGATCATCATTGTTGCCAGGAAAGTATATAAAAAAAAGCAGAGTATTTGGCACTTCATTTTAGACAGCCTTTGTTGTCTAAGTTCAGTTTATTTGAAAGCATAATCACCAAGGATGATGGTTAAATTTTTCATGTGTTAATTCACTTCCCTGGCCAACAGGGATCAAAAATGTGTGTTATATTTTGTGATAATTCATATCTTGTTCTTTGGTGAATTGAGAAGTACACCCAAAAGGTCTAAAAGACAGTCCAACATAGCCATTCTGGTGACAGCAAAATGAGGAAACATGGGAATAAACATTATCTGATAGAAACTTAAGGAGGACTACTTTCCTAATATGTTGCTTTGCTGTGTATGTCAGGATGCTTTTACTCTCATAATGTCATTTCAGTAACTTGTCAGGGCTTTTTTTTCAAATAGAACTGAAGCATTCCTCTCAGTGCTTTAAGGCTCAAACCTCAGATGGTTTACATGTTCTCTGCTTACCATTATCCACTCCCTGCTTTCTTTTTCTTCAGTCTTCCTTATTGTATCCTACAAACTGCCCTCACCCTGCATATTTCCTGTTCTATTTCCCTTCTACCACATTCCCAAAACTGCTTCCTTAACATTTTATTTCATTTTTTTTCCAACTCCCAGATGTTACCTATACAGACATTACTCTTTTTCCAAATGTAGTCTCCTCATCCACCCCAGGCCATGCAGTGGAGAACATTTTGCATTCATTTACCTCCTCATTCACAACCCAGTTCTTTTGCTTTGTATCCAAAACCTATGGTTCTTACTCATTTAGTTAAATATACAGAGACTCCTTTAACACACTAAACATAGAGATTACAGTTATATTAGTGAATTAAACAGGAACATTCCCAGGTACTGAAACATAATTTATACTGCTAAACTGTTAGAACATTGGCATGATACTGACCTGTGCCTCTTCAGTCTAGTCACAAGACACTGTGAGGCACAAGATCTTGGTCCAGGGATAAGGTTTCCCTGGGTTTGAAGACTGCATTTACCAACACAAGAGCAGCCTACTCCATGCTGCTGGGCATGTTTTATTTATCAGATATGTAGCCAGAGCAATCTGAGAAGATCATGTGCCTGGGAATGCCTGGGAATACATAGTGTCAGATAATTTAATCTTAAATTTTACTACAATATGAAAAGAGACAACTGAAAAAACAATAAAGATGATTTTGAAACACGCAAACATTCAAGCTCAAATTACCCATTGTAGTGTTTCTGATGATCTGTGAAGGCAGATTGCCATTTTCTTTTTTTGGAACTGTAGGAAGTTTCTTAGATAGTGATTCCATATCAAGAAACTAAAGAAAAAGAAGAAACAGGGTTTAGGTCTCCCAAGCAGACATGCCACTGAAAATGACGCTATGCAAACTAACACATTCTAAAAAGGTGCAAAGGAAGGAAACAAACAGAACCAAATCAGTAACAATAAAACTGGTATGCATAAGGATTCCTCAGATTCTGAAGTATATACTTTTTAGTATGCTTTAGACTTTCAGAGAATTGATCAGGCTGTAAGGCCTGATCATAGGAATGATCCCAGGGCCAGCTTTAATGTAGAAAGGTTAGCCTTCTTGATTTCCTCCCTAAGTAACAAGAAAGAGGCTTTCCGGATGTGGGTCAAAACACCCAAGGTTCAGCTTCTGCTCTGAATCAGGCTCTCTTCAGACATTATAAAAGGAATCTAGAGGGTCTGATCTCAGTAAACAAAAATCCTCCCTGAGATATATTTTCTTTGATAAATACATACAATTCCCAGGGTTTAATCAGTCACAGTTGTCCTCTGTAACGGCTTCTTGCCATAATAAATTGAGGCTGAAATGTAAAACCACAACTGGCTTTCTGTAACTATGATTGAAATTACCTGAACTAACACAAACTCATCCAGTTTTTAGCTCCATTACCTTTTTCAGAAGAAATTCATGGCCAAATTCTGACTCAAAATATGGAGGAATTATTTTGTTTCTTAGTTCTAGTAAACACTTCTTTCCTTCATCAAGTTCCTTCCTAAGAAAGTATTGCCATTGTGGGTAGGAAAAGAAAGAAAAGCACATTATAACTACATTCATTCTGTTTTCCAGTATTATATCTGAAACAACAAGGAATATAAGTGATAAAGGTAAGCTGCATTTTTTTCTGGCTAATCACATTGAATTATATTCTTGTAATTGGCAATTTTCTCAGCTACTTGTTTGAGAAAGCACACACAAGTGAAGACAGAAAGGACCATCTACTAACTCAGCTACGAGGTTTGGATATGTTATGAGGTTGGTTCAGCTGCTAGAGCCTTGAAGCGTACCATGAGAAGTACAAAGCCTTGTACCCGAGAAAGAAGTTGGACAGAGGTAAGATGAAAACAGCAGGCAGATTAAGCATCAGCTGGCCAGGCATGCTGAGACAGACTCCTCTTCATATGCTGATTTATAAAGGATCTGATCTAAATGCATATAAATTGTGGAGTGGTTCTTGTAAAGAACTCCTCAAAACTTCCTCTGGTTCTCTAGATCTTGTTGAACATGTCTGAGTGCTGATAGTGTATTTAAACTTTCCAAAAAGCTTCTACATCTGAGAATCACTACCTCAGATGCACTATGACTGCTAAAATTTATAATACAAAATGAAGCTAAATTTCCCCTTTTAATGCGTAGAGAAATTTTGTGGGTACGCAGAAGTCTGTCCAAATTCCTGAACATAAGATTCACCAGAGTGCTCTCTGGTGAATATAATATAGTGTTCTCTGCAATAGAGGCTCTGAATGAATGCTTTATTGGTATAAAAATGGTCTAAATCAAACTGAAACCATGACCAATCTTTCTCAGTTTAAACAATGTTTATATTATTTGCAGGTGAACCGGAAGAACACTATCCAAGATGTTATGAAAGCAGCAGCAGTCTTCCAGCAGTCATTCCAGACTTCATTGTCTCTTAAAAGAATTAACTTTAACTTTCTGTTGTCTTAATACGGTACCTGTGTTCTTCTAGTCTGCTCTTCCACTTAGACATCGTTTTTAGTTCAGTGCTGAGTAAGCAGTAAAAGAAAATGCAAAGAAAATGAGAAAAGTAATATAATATTCTGTAAGACCTCCCCGCCATCCCTCCTTTCCCCCAATATTTGCAGGATAACTCTGGAATGAAAACTACTTACACAAGTACGTTATATTAGTATTTTTAATGACTTCTGAATTGTACTCATATGTTTTGCAGCAAAACTGTTCATGAGCTTCTCTACTTTTATTATGTTGTTCAACAACAAGAAACAAACAACACCCTCACCCCCCGAAAAAAAACCACAAACTCAAAGCATTTTTCTAACATACCTTAAAGTATTTTTGAGATAAGGAGGGGCACAGGGAGACAAAATCACCGGGAAAACTAGTAAAGTATTGTGATATGTATCTAGAGATATAGGTCATTGTTCTTAATGAAAGCATGCAGAGTGCATTGCCTCTGCTGCCTGCTTATTCATCTTCTGCATTATTTACAGCTACATCTATTTTCACTGGACTGTCCTACCTGAATGTCTGCCAGTGGTCCTTTGGTTGCTTAGAGATTGTCTTCCCTGCGGAGCACTGGAACTGAGAAGCCACTGCCTTTTCATATAACTCACATATGTGAACTGTAAGGTAAATGCAGATGATTAATACTGAGTATGCATGTTCAGTTAAGCACTGATAAGTGTTAAGAATAGTAAAAATAGGATATATTTTTAATGCATTTTTCTGTCCCTTGATTAAAAAATAGAGCTTAAATAGTAAATATACAAATAGTTCTTATTCATTGGATTGATTTTTATTCAAATTAAAATTTCATTTCCAGGGTAGTACTGCTAAGCCAACGAAAGAGAGACTTGTTCGCTTCTCTGGTTTAAGGACAACCAATCCCCTTTGTGAGGAAGGCCAGTTGCAGACTCTTCAAGGCTGTGAGGTAGGAGGTAGAAAGGACACTCCAGAATTAAATGAAGAACATAAGCAGAAAATAAATTCAGTAGGGAAAAAAAAAATGCACAAAGCAGATGAAATACATATCCCAAACCCATATTACCTGAAATAGCTTTATATTCTTTTAAGAAAAAAAAAATCTCATGAATAGGAAAAACTGCTGACATTCAACCAATTTCTGACCGGGAACGACATTGAAGGCCTCTCTCTCTAGCTGAAGAAAATAAGACATGCATTCAGTGGCCTTTATTACTGTCAGCTTAGTTAAGTTGAGCTTAAATGTGGCTCTGAAGGAATACTTGTCTATTTGATCTTTTTGGTTAACTTTTTTGCCAAAAAAGCATACTTCTATTTTCCTTCTTTTTCTTTGCATCTGTTTAAGAGCTTCTCTTTTACACTGTATTCTTCATTAATAAATCTATAAGTCCAATTCCATTTTAGTATTTTTTTAGGCAGGAAACTGTGTAGTGAGCATTTGTTGAAGCAGTTTCTCTTTGCATTGGACAGTATGCTCTGCTATTTATGGACAAATAGAAATACTCTTGGACAGCGAGGAGATGAAAAACAAGGCTCTGAAGGCTAGTATTACTAGGGGACTGAATACTACAGATTTTTCTATAGAAAAAATCAACTTATATTTTAAAGAAAGAAACAACTTCCTTAATTTTTATTTGTACCTATTGAAAATATTAATAGATGCTAGTGAGTATCATGTTCTTAACTTTTATAGAAAATCACGAGGGATGATTAATACGTTATTTCATATTTTCCCTGAGGTAAGGAAATACTAAAATATTTAATTGTTTGAGATCAGATTTTCAAATGTGATAAACAATCAGGAGCTGTGCAGTTACTTTGAAAAAGTTATCTGACACATTAATATATGTATAAATCTAACTACACAGAGCTGTGTCCATAGTTGTCATACCAGAGAATGTGAGTCAAAATGACAAATACATATGCCTAAAATTGGCAATTAAGTGGTCTTTAGATGTACTATATCATTGATGATAGCAATTTCCAATCACCTGTGAAAAGCATGCCATTCACTTTCAGTCCTCAATGTAACCATTTTTGAATACGTAATTTCTGAAGATGTGTGGTACTTACCAGACAAGGTCTTCGATGAAATACTGAAATATTTAATTAGTTAAGCGTCACCTCTACTCTCCTGAGTTGGTTAGCAGTTTTTAATTTACAACATTTTATAAATGAATGTATCACACATGTAAGAAAAGTATCAGGAACAGAAGACACCTAACACAAATCAAACCTAACAGCAGACAGACCTAACAGAAATAAACTCTAAAAAGATTACTTTAGTGCTTTACAATTTGCTATGCAGAATAGCATTTTACAATTTTAAAAGGCTGTCGTCAACTACTATTACCTCCAGTGCTGAGATCTTTGGATAACTTCTCCAAGTTAGGGAAGGACTGCAAAGAAGGAGGAATAATCATGGCTATGTGGTGGGAAACAGACCCCACAAAAAGAAAACAAACAAACAAAAAAAAGCAGCCTCTTCAAAAGCCTTCTGTCCTAAACATATTTTCTTTTGTTACTTGAAAGTGTGACTACAAGAATAGGGGAACTGCTGCATGTGACAAAACATGAACTGGGAAAAATAGAAACGAAGTAGAAATTTCCCTGTCTAAATATATATTTGTTTACTTCATAAGTGGCTTTGTATTTTAAATGTTTGTGGCTTTTTAGATCAGTTCAGCTATTTCAAAAGCTCAGGCAGAAGATTTTGAAGGACAAGTCCTTCCGTGAAGGATTTGAACTGAATCCAAAATTCATGGGCTTGACAAGGAGGCACATGGGAAATGTGTTCAGGACTATTTAGGTTTCATTACTAAGAAGCTCTCCTGTTGTTTGGATTACAATAAAGTGTCAGAAGAGTAACAGACTCTTTCACTCAGCTGTAATTTCCTTGTTTTATTGTCATGTTGCTGCTGCCATAGCTAACTGGAAGCTAAAGTCCCTATAACTAGGCTAAGTGTGGGTGTAGCAGAGCTAGGCTAGAAGAGTACTAGAGGCTTCAGTAGAGTCTTGGGAAGAGCGTGATACCAGTTCCTCTGTCATGGAAGATATACAGCAGGACTCTACAGCTGAGAAAAAGTTGTCCAGTGTGAAATCAATACCTGGAAATGTGCTCAGGGTAGCTATGACAACAAACAATATTTAGTCATTAGACAAGTCTATTCGAACATGTGAGATTCACCAACTCAGTAGGTCTCATCAAAGCAATGACATGTCTGCCTGGAGGATAGAGATAGACCAAGTCACTGATGGATTAGAGTGTTCCTCTTTCCAGAAATGCTGAGTTCCTTCCTGCTATTTTGCTAGATATTTCTTTTCTCCACTCTGAACTCTCTTTAATACTTGTATGCAACTTGAAAACACTGAGAAAATATCTAAATGAAAGCCTTTAATATTTAAAAAAGGCTTTAGTTTGAATCAGTGAATGAAAATACTAGCTTGGCTAAAAAGGACACATTCTATAATTATATTTTTTAATCTTGAAAGGAAAAACTAATAAAGATTTATCTAGACATCTAGGAAAAAGAAATCAACATCATTAATGACTGAAACGATCTCATGTTTAATGTCATTGCATGCTGAGATAAGGTGAATTGGTAGACTCAAAGCCTAGGATGATATTTATTTGCTACAGTACACTCATTTTTGATATATTATCTGGCAATGAATATTTAAATTTAAAGGACCAGATATTATTTTAGAAATGCCAGACTTTTTAATTGTGTTTTAGCTCACTATATGTTTGCTATTTATGTAAAAAGGAATAAAGTATTTTCTATATGAGACAAAAAAAATCTGTGTTTAGTAACTAGTAAAAATCTAGAGTGAATTTACATAATGACAGATAACCAAATGTAAAGAAAGTTTTAGGAAACAAATGTTTTAAAGTACTGAAATACAGCAAACTGATCATTCTGCATGTGAGGTATAAAGTGTCTGTTAAATATCCTAACACATCCTAATTCCCACTCACTACCTGATCTACCTAATCTACCTGAATCTACCTTCTAATCTACCTTTGTTATCCATTTCCCACTAATCTCACCATTTTCTGTTACCCTGTCCCTCTTCCCTTATTTTCCTACCTTTTTCACTTGTTATTCCCCTCCCTTTGCTTCTCACTCTCAAATTAGCAGAGCACATTTCCCAAAAGTTTATGTGTTGCTCACCACAGACAGGTGATAACAGTATTTTCACATTACTCCAAAAGCAGGTTTAAATTCTCATTACTGATGAGGAGGTAGTGGTTCAAAGACAAGTCACCAAGGTGCAGTATTAACAGATTGCAAATGTTCTTATCTTAATGTCGGTGGGCATATGAATTTCAGTCTCTTTAGCCTGCGTGTTTAGGAATTCATTATTCTGAAGAATCAAACTTTTAAATTTTTTTTATTATTTTTCTCCAATATGGCAGTAGTGTGATTCATTAAAAATGTTAAAGGCCAAGCACTGCCAGGCTCTGCATTATTATTATATTACAGCAGAGCTGGCATTCTATCATCCTGCTATTCTAACATTTATTACTTTATTAATGTGACACTAGTAATGCAGTGCAATATATTTGTTGAAAAACTTTTATAAATATTTATTCTCACTGTGACCAGTTCAAGGAGATCTGCAGCATTCTTCTTTTCCTCTTCTGTTCTTGGTTCTTTTACATTCATCTCTTGCAGATCATTTTCCTGCTTCAGAATGATGTCTATGTATTCCTGGTGTAGCAATGAATGGAGAAACAACAGGAGAGATACTTGCAGAGGCAAACTTCATGGACATATACAGAAAGAAAAGAGTTTGTGGTAGTATTAATCTGCATATTTTTCAAAGTCATAAGGGCTCCTTCTGTGTGAGTGAGTATATGCAGAGGTTCTAAGAAATAGTTACAAAACAAAAACAAAACAACAGATTAAAGAAAAAAATATGTGGTAAGAAAATAGCCTGTGAAAATTTGACAAGGACTATTCAGCTCTGAGGACTAGCAATCCTGTTGAATTGTCAGCAACTGATGAACTGAGGACACCAAATGACTGCTGAATCTCTACCAGGCCACTTGCACAGCCACAATGATCTGGACAACTCAGACCATATCCAAGAGAGTCTAGTTGCTCTGAAAAGTTTCTGGAGCACCCTAGTGTGCTCCTAGTGTGCAGTCAGGGTTGGCTTCCCAACAGTTGCACCAACCAGTATGCACCAACAAGTATGTTAAAGTGTGTGTGTGAGTAAACTGTGTGAGCAATAAAACAATGTTTTGACTAAAACAGAGCACACACTTCAGCACAATGAGCACACACTTTGGCAGAAGGCTACATAGCTATTTGCTAGACATCAATAGGGTGATAGAACTCAGAATGTCATATTTTTATATTAGCTGTCCCAGAGCACTGTAGGCAGTTACATATGAAACAGTGAAAGCCAATTAGAAGAACACTGTATGACAGCTCTGGGAAACAATGTTGGTGGAAGCTAGGGAAGCTATGTTATATTGCAGACCTGCAGTCAAGTCTGAGCTACCTACACCATTCTGAGCAAAGTCTGAGTTTATTTGTGAAAATGAAATACACAGAAATATGGAGTAGAGAAGAGGATACATACTACTGCCTCTTGTTTTTTTTCCTTCCCCGTAGAGACTATTTAATGAACATCTCAGTCTTCTCTGTGGAACACTGACGGATGTGAACTGCAGTCTGTTCCCATTTTTAAGAGAATTCACATTTAAGGGCTCTAGTAGAAACAATCATCTCAGAACTGGGATAATGTAAATTATGATTGAGCTTTTTGAAGAAATACACATTTTCTTCTTGACATTTTTCTCAGTGTTTTGTTGCTTATTTGTTGAGTGAGGGTATACTTAATATGCAAATATTAATACGCAAAGTGAGACATACTGAACCTCACAAACCGTCATTTGGGAAATGCACCTCTGCAGAAACTCGATCAGTACCGTACTGATCTATGGACCTGATACATAACAAAGACTACAGTGTGTCTCAGTGAAGTAAACGGTAGAGTTATGGTAGGTTAGAAATTCTTGTATGGTTTTACAGAGCTAACTTTCTAAGGTTTTTGGTAGAAAAACAAACCCTAAGCAAAGTAAGAATATTAGATACTAATTTTGACAAGAAGGAAACTAGTGCACTATCCATGATGGGTACTTCAGTGTACCTCGGGTAAAAGAGTTGAGCTGCTTCAGAAATACATTTCTCTTACAGCACCTGTCTGAATATGAAATGATGCATCTTCTTCAAATGCATTAGTACTCTTGTCTCAAGCATATATTGCAAATTCATGCCACCCAATTTGTCTGTTGCCTATTTTTCACTGGAAGAATGAATTAACAGTACTACCTTGAGGGAAAGCTGCAGCTTTTCTCTTAGTTCATCACTGAGTGGCTCATACTGGAACAGCTGACGGATTTGCAGTTTATTAGGACATTTTCGCACAGGTACTGGCAAGCAGGTCTGCTCTTCAGATCCAATGCAGAGACCCTTCCAAACATGTGCTTTGACTGTGGGAACTGTCTTCTTCTGAAGACAAACAAGAACAAACGAAAAGAACAAGAGGTTACTTAAATTACTGGCTTGTCAAAAGCCATCTATGTATCTACATCCAGCTGACAAAACATGATCTGCATTCTGAGTGAAAAACAGTTCATTGCATTCTGGACTTGAGTCAAGGAACTTACTAAATTTAAATCAAATGCTCTCATGTTGTGGTTATTCTAGAGAACATAACTGGAATGTAGAATTTTAATCCAAATGCTGAGAGATGTGTGTAGATTCTAGGTTGCTGGTTGTACATACAGGCAGAAAATGTGACTGGAAACACTAACCAGTGGATAGTGAACAAACTGAAAGGCTGATGTCTCAGCTGCTAAGCATTTCTCCCTTTACAGCAGTGCAGATCTAGATCATGTAGTGTGCAAGACTTTGAGTACATTTTATCTATTGTAAAATCACTTTGTTTGGCAAGATAAATTCTTCCTAAAATTGCTATATTACCTTATTGAATATAAAAGAAGTTAAGGTGGCTGCATTTTGTGTGAACTCCATCCTGCATGCCCTGAGTTTATTTAGTAAAATGAGGTTAATATGTGGTTAAGTGACTTTCACTTAATCTAGTCATATTTGTTAAGAATAATACCTTCATAATTTTTAGGAATAAGGATGATTTTATAACTAAAATATGAGATTTGTAAGGTAAGAGTTGGGTTTCTGGTTCCAGTCTAGAAACACTTGCTTACTGGGAGACTGTCTATGTGATCTTGGTAGTGAAACTTTCCAAATTACCAAGATGCAAGACAAGTGGTCCAATATCTGGTACTTGTGCTAACACAGCAGTGAGCGTAAGTCAGTAATTTCTCTGGAATTAATCATAAAGCTTTTGAATTGGAACTGATCATATCTTACAACTTCAGGTTGTAGGAAACTGGGCACATATCTGTCTAGAACAAATTGTGCAGTGAATCTCATGTAACTTGTGCTAATTCACCACATTCTGTGCTTTAGTATTGTATCTAGAAATCTGGAATGTAATTTTCCTACTTTACAAGTTTTGAATGTAATTAATCAGCTTCACAGAGATTTGAAAATTCTCAAATGGAAGTTAATAATGATGTTGTAATCTGAAGGGAATCAGATTAATCAAATACCATGATCTGTAATGAACTAATGATCTATTAACACAGAAGGTGATAAACATATAAATATGAACATGAAATATGAAAATACAAGTACTACCATGACCTCATCTCAACCAAAAGCTGAGTATGATGCAACCAGGAACTGTGTATAATGAACCATGCCTGATATGACAATGCAAACAAGAACCAAACATTGCAATCTGTGGCATGGGTCAACAGCAGGCAGGAGAGTAATACCTGAACCTGAAGCAAAGATGTATCGTGGTATCATTACAGACTGATATGATGGACAGCCTGTGTAGACATTTGGCTAATAAGGACCTCTGGTGTTAGAAACTGGGATAAGGGTAATGTTATGCAGATATCTGACAAGGCGTAGAAGACAGGCAGAAAAATTAGATGGTGGAGCCGATCCGCCACCCAAGAGCTGAATGCTAAGAATGGTTGAAAGGAACGTCACATTCCTCTATACGATCTTCCCATCTTCTGTCATCTTCCTGGAGTGGTAACCAGCATGTTTCTCAGCTGATGATGTCTGTGTGTGTGTGTGTGTGTGTGTGTGTGCGCGCACGCACATGTCAGAGAGAGAGAGAGAGAGACAGAGACAGAATTCTTCCTGATATCCTATTATTAAGCAGAGGAAGCCTATCTCTGGCTTCCTCTGCTTAATAAATTGAATGTGTTAGTCTCACCTTTATTTGTTTCTCAACATCTATAGCTTATCTATAGCTTAAGCAGCAACATACTTTTTAAAGTAATTATACCTCAAAAGGAGAAAGCTTATCCCAGTTTCTTGATTGGAGATTTGGAGGAACAATACTCTCTGGTTTTTTATTCATTATCCAGGGAGAGGCTTCAACCAAAGGACGGAGGATAGTAATATTTAAAACACCTGGTTCAAAGAAACATTTTGCTAAAAATCAATTTAAATAAATAAATAAAAGATGTGTATATGTCTCAAACTTCCAAAAAACAAATGCTTATCTAAGTGTAAAGAAACTTACTATCAGGTGATAAACTCAACATGCAAATGTGATACTGGTGGCTACAGATAATACTACAGATAATATCACTGAGGTAATTATAGAATATTAGGACAACCAGATTACCCAGACTACGTTCAACAATAAATTGCATTTGTTATTTGGAGTCTTGGGTAACATCTCTGTTGAAAAGAGTGCATAATATCTAAAGCACATAGGGCAGACCATAAACCCATATTTACTGAGTATTACTTTCAGGAAGATGTACTTCCTATTCAGAAAAAGAATTGGTCTTGACTATATTTTACATTTCATTAACAGATGACTGAATTTGAGATGATTATCTCCTTTTATTGTTTTGATTTTAGGATTAGGAATTGGCTCAATGGCAGGGTGCAGAGAGTGGTTGTCAATGGTGCGGAGTCCAGCTGGAGGCCTGTACTTAGTGGTGTCCCCCAGGGGTCAGTTCTCGGTCCGGTCCTGTTCAACTTATTCATTAACGACCTGGATGAAGGGCTGGAGTGCTCCCTCAGCAAGTTTGCCGACGATACCAAACTGGGTGGAGTAGCTGATAGCCCTGAGGGCTGTGCTGCCATCCAGAGGGACCTGGACAGACTGGAGGACTGGGCGGCGAGAAACCTCATGAGGTTCAACAAGGGCAAGTGCAGGGTCCTGCACTTGGGGAGGAATAACCCTGGACACCAGTACAGATTAGGCGTGGACCTGCTGGAGAGCAGTCCCGCAGAGAGGGACCTGGGTGTCATGGTGGACGACAAGTTGACCATGAGGCAGCAGTGTGCCCTGGTGGCCAAGAAGGCCAACGGGATCCTGGGGTGCATTAAGAAGAGCGTCTCCAGCAGGTCGAGGGAAGTGATCATCCCCCTCTACTCAGCCCTGGTGAGGCCACATCTGGAGTACTGCGTCCAGTTCTGGGCTCCCCAGTACAAGAGGGATGTGGAGCTGCTGGAGAGAGTCCAGCGCAGGGCTACCAGGATGATCAGGGGCCTGGAACATCTGCCCTATGAGCAAAGGCTGAGAGAGCTGGGCCTGTTCAGCCTGGAGAAGAGAAGGCTGAGGGGGGACCTGATCAGTGTGTATAAATACCTCAAGGGAGGCAGTGAGGGGGGCGGCCTCTTTTCAGTGGTGGACAGGGATAGGACTAGAGGAAATGGCTTCAAACTGAAGCATCGGAAGTTCCACAGGAACTTAAGGAAGCATTTCTTCACTGTGCGGGTGACAAAGCACTGGAACAGGCTGCCCAGAGAGGTTGTGGAGTCTCCTTCTTTGGAGATCTTTAAAACCCGCTTGGATGCAGCCCTGTGCCACGTGCTCTAGGTGACCCTGCGTGAGCAGGGAGGTTGGACTCGATGACCTCTGAGGTCCCTTCCAACCTTCGGCATTCTATGATTCTATGATTTATTTTAATGTACCTCAAAACATTTTTTTCCAACCCCAAAGTCCATTTTGTCCTCTATTTCCCACTCCATATGTATGGATTTAGAAGTTAATATCACCAGTGAGATGCTTTGTCCCAGGGATACAAAACCTTGCTGTCAAGGGAAATAGAGCCAATATTGAGGAAGGTGAATTATGAAGTCTGGAAAAACATCCTAATAACTGTTCAATGAAAATCTGTGGGAATTGTTATTATTCTTCTACTGTTCTTTAACCTGAGATTTGAATACTTTCATGAGAATCATTTTCCTTGGGGGGCTATAGAGTGCTACTTCAACAAATGTCAACATCTTTTCTTTCTTAAAATTGTTATGAAAAGAAGCAGCATTTAAAAATATATAAAACCTGTGAGCATGGTAGGTGGGAAAGATCTTCCTTGTGCTTATGATTACAAATTTTGAGAAAACTGTTTTAGTATCCTACAGCTCAAAGAAATCTCTCTACATGATCTCCCTTTCTGTTTCTCTGTCTCGATGTTTAAAAATATGTTTAATTTGTTTAGGTGTTACCCTACACTGTATTCAATGGAACACAGCATTTCCAAATAGCTTCACAAAGATAATCAGCCAGTTCAAATTCTCTGCATTGCTGTATCACTGTCTTCATTCATAAATACTCCCAGATCATTAGATGAAGACTGAGAAACATTCAGTGTTTTTTGACAGCAAATACAAAGGGAATCTATGTATTTGGTAATTATTTTTGTTTTTATGTTTAACAGTAGATAAAGATATGCCAGTTGTCTGTTCATTTATCCCACTCCTAGAGATGTGCACTTCTCTGTTTACCAGATTTTGTATTCATAAGCTCAACCTTCCCTATTCTTCACTGACAGAAGTTTGGAAGTCTACCCATATGGGTGAAATACATTTTCAAATTTCCTGTCCAAAGTGGCTTCTGATTCCACCAATGCAGTGTTTTTGGTTATTTTGTCAGAACAGAAATTAAACTGTTATACCTGGACATTCTTGCACAGAGTCTTGCAAGACAGCAGTAGCTGGATCACTATAGGCCTCAGCAAGATGCTCCTCTACATCCTTGCTCCTAAGAAGCTCAGTCCCAGATCCATCAGCATAGACAATGAAGAACCTGAGAACCGTTAGAAAAATCTGGACAAATACAATGGCTTTCAAATTGCACTGTTTTCTAGACGGCAAATAGGAAAAAGCGCTGTGAGGACATAATGAGAATATGGAAATTCAAGATGAGGACATCAAGTGTGCAGATACTGAGTACTGAATAAAGAATATGCAAATCTGCACATTCCTGCAGATGCAAATACAACATCGTAAAGAAACAGTGAATATAAATGTGCGAAGCTGGGAGATTTTACCTGGGAACATGCTCATCGCAAGTGATAGATTCATTATTTTCTGGCAGTACTAACGCTGAACTTCTGTCTCCCTTGTCACCAAGGTCAATGCTAGGAACAAATACAGACGTGGTGCCATCTGCCATGACCTAAAATAGAAATTACAAAAAAGTATTTGAATTGCATGATATACTTAAATAGGAATTGGTTTCTGAACTGTAATATGGTATTGTCCATTGAAAGAAATAGAAAAAACATATTTCAAGTTGAGCAGCTAAACACTCACGCATAAAAGTAATGTAAAGAAAAGATAAAACAAAGGTTCTAGAAAGACGTGTCCTATCACATATATCACATTGCTGATATTTAATAAATGCCCAAGGATTGTTGGTTGTCAAACAGAGCCAAACTTGTTTAAATTTCATCCTCAACATATACAAGTACTAAGAGATGACCTTACAGGAATATATACTCACTCTTTGGACCAAGTAAATGCACACACAAACAGGCACTGATAGAACTCTGCGGACTGCACATATATGCATATATAAATAAATACGTACAATATATATGCACACGTAGCTACATGTACATAGATATATTCATACACATATAACCAGAAATATATATGTATACATAGATATTTAGATACCTCTATATATCTATATAGCAGTCCCTCTTCAGGCGTTCATTTATTTTTAAAAAAATGTCCCAGGTACTCCCACAATATTGCTAATTGAATTTCTATATTATTTTCCATCTTGTATATATCATGTGATTATTAACTACATATTAATATATACACACAAAGTAAATAACAAAGAATCCTATCAAGGAGCATTGTTGTCTAAATTTCTTAATATTGTCAGTTGGAGGACAGAGTCCTATGGAAGAAACTGTTTGGACTGGAGTGATTCGAAGGACAGTTTGTGAGCTGAATCTGACACGCTCAGAACATACCCATCTTGCTTTAGCCTCACGTGTAATTTGGACCAAGAATGAACCTATCCAATTATCTGCAATAATAGATACTAACTTGTACCTGGATGTCATACCTAGCAACTATGTTGAATATGTCTAGTATGCATTACTGCATATATAATTTGCATAGACACATAATTTGCATATATACACATTTACATACATGTAAATATGTCTAATATTGCATTATACTTCTTTTTCTTTCTACATCTAATATCCATTGTGATCACTTCTTCCACAATACCTTCAACTACCTAACAGCCACCTCAAGCTCCTTCTTCCTTCCCTAAGCACTGCCTGGCAAAAATTAGGATGTGCTATGATTGATGCTAAGAAACTTCACTCCTAATTTGTAGAATTAGATCAGCTAAAAAAAAAAGGTGTATTACAATGCAGATGTTCAATAGAGTCTTAGTGCAATTTCACAGGAATGTGGAAAAAATGCCAATCATTACAATTGGAACAATAGAAATAATATTTTGAGGTTTTCATATTTAGAATCACAATGCTACTTGATGCCACACACAGGATAACATTATTGAGGCATGAAAAAAATAATAACCCTTAATTAGAAAACAATATGCAAGTCAAAGACCTCTAGAGAATTTTTCTAGAACTCAAAACTAAGCACTAGTCTAATGTAAATTATCTATTTTAGATGAGAAAGAGTCGCTATCATTTTACACAACTACTGCTTTTAAAGATTGAATCATTGCTTTTATAATGGTAGTTGTCCTACCAGGCAGACTAGAATTTTTTTGAGGCGAGATAAAATGTAGACCACAGTGTAGTCTGTGTTCACACTGCATAAAGTCTAGACCTGTGTGCTTTGCTCTAAAGCAAAAGGAAATACAAAGAGAAGAAATCTTGAGACCCATCTTGAGACCCTCAAGAACATTTCGGAGAGCTGGTTCAGGAGCTGCTGCTTCTAGTTAGCCAGACTGCCTTAGGAATTAGTAACCACAAGCATACAAGCTGACTTTGAAGGATGTGTACGAGACAATATTGCACAACCTGCAAAAACTTGTTTCCTTCGATGTATTTTACCTTGAAAAGATTTCCTTCGGGATCCATCACCTCACATATGATGCTAGAAGTGTGTTTCATAACATATCTCCCTGATTGCTTCCCCTCTTGCTTGCTGATGAATTTATTATTATTACAAACTTCATGGGTATAAACTGCTGAACAATCTTCATCAATGAAAAGGGAGCCTACCCTCATGGGTAAAACCTGTCAAATTAAGAAAGGAGTAGGTTCAGTCTTTAATGGTGAAATCATCAGTTTAGATGAAACTAATGAGATGATCAGTTTAGTAGCATGACAATGAAGAATAGATACAAATCAAGAGGAAAGCTTGATCATCTGGTTTGCAGGGAGAGAAAGAAGGAAGATGAGGTCCAGGAAATAGGCAGATGAAATTTTTGTAACTTAAGACAATTTAAGATTTATATTTAAATAAAAGAGAAACTATATAGTTGTGAGTGTATTGGCAGTCTGAGGGCATTGTCAGACTATAAAAGAAATGGAGTCAAAGGAACTGGGAAGGCTACAGGGAGGAAGCTAAAATAGTCAAGGTGAGAGAAGCTGACGGTGAAGACATGCTATTTGGAACATAAAGATTAATTAAACTGTTACAAACTAATTCCCACCTGATATGTTCCCTGTGGCTTTGCTATAATAGATGTCCCATCTCCAAAGATGGTACAACAGGTACTGTCCTCGCAATTTGTTATAACAGTTGCAAACGCAGGATTCTCCACTCGCATACATTTCACCTTTCTTGTGATGGCTTGTGGACATTCATCTAAGAAACAGTACAGAGCAACTGGACAGGAGTATGTGAACCATGAAAAAGTCTTAAGATTCAATTTGAGTTGTCTCATAAGGCTGAGCCTTTATCTCCTCAGTATAAGATCCTGATAAACTTTTCTTCATAAAATCTCTTTTTTTCACATAGTGTTATGTTATATAAGTAATACGCAATATTCACATTTTTGGACTGTGCACTTAATAAAGGCAAATCCAACAATCCAAATGACTTGGATATACATGGCATACAAGCTGGACCACTGAAATTCCTTATGTCTATGATTTAAGCTATAGAATATGAAAGAATTCCTATTCAGCAGCACAAGCCATGAAAAACACATCAAATGATATGCTAATCCGGCTATTGGTTTTCTGTTGAATGATGAGATCATTTAAAGGCTGTTGTTTTGATTTTTAAGATCTCACAGGGAAATATTCCTATCTACTAGAATATTTCTTTTTTCCCACACAACCAAAACTTCCTAGTGCATTTGAACACAACAGGCCTGATATTTACTGTCCACCTAGTAAATCTACAGTCCATGTTAAGTTACAGAAGATAGAACTCATTCAGCAAATAAACCAAGTATACAGAATATACTAACAGTCATCAGAAACACAAATTGTTGATAGCTTCAATTGTTTCAAGGAAATGTAAGTATCACCTCTCTTTTGCCAACTGATTGTGGCGGGTGGTGAGGGAAAGAACCAGACACCAATGGAAAGAATGGTCTTATTTCACTATTAATATTAAAGGCAATAAAGAACGATACATTTAACAAAACTATTACTAAGCACTTACTAAGCGCTCAGTTTTAGCAACAGACAAAATAAGCAAGGTAATGCACCTAGCCATTAGTATATGAGAGAATAGTGATTAAGAAAAAGATACATCACCAATTGCCTAAATACATTACCATCATCCAGATCTGCAATCATTGGGGAGCCCTGGTTGCAGTGAGGATTTGGAGAGCCTTCCTGGCAACTGGGAGGTCTTATGCGGTGCGTGCACTCGTAAGTGAGGTCTCCAAAGTTGCAGGAAGAGGGTCCAGCTTTTATAGAGCCAATTCAGCAAATCATGATAACTTGCATTTTCTCTGTGAGCGCTAACATCTGATATGGCATACTTTCCCTATCATCTGGAACCAGGACGTGGCCAGAGTCCAGGCCTTGGGTGGGAGGGTTCCTATCAAGAACAAAAATACTTGCACAAGAGCCTACAAGAGCTACAGTTTAGGAAGGCTATGTGCAGCTTGCATAAACAGTTTTATAGGCGCATTTGTGTACTTCTACAAGGGCTGTGCCGTATTCATCTGTAAGTCTATCCCGACTCAGGCCTGTCGTTCAGGCCCTGGCACTTCACCTCTCTAGGATTGGTATTGTCCAGAGTCATATCCAATCACATTTTGAGTATCCTCAAGGATGGAGAGTCTACATACTCCCTGAAAATATGAGGATGCCCTGTCCTCATACACTTGTTCAGTAAGAATCAATGCAGTTTACTTACTGGTGTCAGGGAAAATGGAGAGAGGACAGTGAACATTTAAGAACTCCCAGGACACACCACAGTCTTATGGTGAAAAAGGGTCATGTAAATGTACATGTGGAAAGAAGGAAATTTACTTGCTGGCTACAGCTGAATTTTTGCAATGAATGCTGATGGAAAAATGAGTAAACAGAGAAAACACACCCAGTTTGCATTATTGGATTTGTTACCTCCAATATCAGTATATGCATTTTAATACTACTTTGACAACTTCCTGCTTCATAAGATATAGCAGAGAGATGGTCCCCTTTCAGTTTTACCTGTGTCTTTATTATCCTGAGGTGTAAAAAGTTCTTCACAATCTTGATAAAAAGTGGTGATTCTAGTACCATCCGCATGATCAACAATTCTGCTGCCATCCAACTTTTCAACGATTATCACTGCATCGTCTCGTACAGTCATAATCTGATACAATAAAGGAATACTGATCTATATTAGTACTGGGATATCTGTAACAGCATCAACACAAGACATTATCTAGTGAAATTCTGAATCTAAACCATTACAACTTTATCAGTTTGAAAGACTGAAGATTCACATTTTCTTCTGCAGCTAAAGCTTTTGCATTTTTAAATGTACGATAACACAGCCTGTGTTCAATGAACAAGTTCTATAATGCTTACAATAGCAGCCATCTCTCTTAGCTTACAGGAAGTACTATTATAATAGAAAAATTGTAGTACCGTTCCATCAGCTGGGTCAGTTGCCTGATAGATTAAGAGTGGCTCTAGATCCACTCGCTTTGCTCCCTCCGTGCCCACTTGAAAGCCTGAAGGAGTGGTTGTTATCCAGGTTCCTGACTTATTCTCCTTTGGTTGCTCAGTATTGATCAGACACTGAAGAGCATTTTCAAACAACTCATCCTTGTTTGAGTGTGATAGACTGTTTTTTTGGATGCCCTTTCCTGCAGAAACAAGAATTTCTGTGTCAGATTTGTGTATTGGACTCCAAGGCAAAAGACAAAAATTAGTAAACTGAAAAGTTTCTGCAAGTGTTGGCTTTGGCAGTGTTGAACTATTTATCAGGTTATAGGGAAGCTCTAAGAGCTGTTACTCAAAGATGTGTCCTTGGACCAGTATTATTTGATTCATGAATGACCATGGCAGAATAAGTAAACATTATATAAATGAAATCTGATTATGACATGATATTGGAAGGCATCATCAATGCAGAAGAGCAGAAGAGAATGTGAATGGCTTACAAGAAAAAAAGTAAAAAACCATCCCATGAATAAGCCTGAGAATTAAAATAAATGGAATTGGATAAAAACTTGTAGAATTAGATTTAATGCAGTGAGTACTAAGAAAAATAGTTCCCGCTTCAGACAGTTTGCAACAGCAGAAGAGAAGAAAGACCTGGAAGCACTAGTCAAATACTGAAATACAGGATGACTACAAGTTATTATTATGAAAAAAAAAGACAAGAAAGGCTCATAATCCTATCGTGAGCCAGAAGACGAAAGACAGTGATTTTACTCTGAATGATCTTGTTAGAGAATTCTCTTAGAGAATTTTGGTCACGCATATCCAAGGAAAGGAAATGGACTAAGTGTAGATACAGGACAGTAAATTATAATCCAGACTGTAGTCCAAAGGGTTATAGTATGTATATCTTAACACCACCTCTCCCTCCAAAAAAAAGGGCAAAAAGGAGATAGGACCATTCACTAATTCACAAATTCATCAAGGTTAAGCATAGGAGGGGAAAGGTTTTGGGAAGTGACTGTTAATAAAGGATAAGGAATAAAGGACATAAACTTGTTACAGATATGGAGATGGAAAATCAAAACAAGGTTTCTTAGAGAAGTTCTCATATATCCCTCCAGATGTCTTGGGTAATGTTGTAAGAACAGGGGACTGGACTCCATGAGTCAGAAGTCTCTTTCTGGGAGATTTTTCTATTTAGTAGTAATTTTTGTTCATACACTTCTGAAGTAAATCCAATGTAATTATACATTCTGAGGTATGAAGTCTTGGTACTTGCTCTGTCAAAATATGTAAAAACATAAGAATCGGTATACTGGGACAGACCACAGACCCATGTTTAGGAATACATACTGTGAAATAAAATATAGCAAGTTTTCTGTGATATACTCAACTTGTAGAGAGGGGCTTTTCTCAATACCAAGAGTAAAAACTGTGCAACATATAAAAAAGGATTTCACACTCCTGCAGGTACAAGGATTTCTTTTAAAATATTTTGTGTTGATTCATTCTGCTAATGATGTACTTTCCAAACACTCTCTTATTCCTGAGAGTCTCTGCCTGTGTGAGGAGAACTGAATATAAGAGAAATGACTTGCTATGAAGGTGATGAATTAGGAATGTACAGTAGTTAAGCAGAGAAAATTGCATTTTCATACCGGCAAAATTTTCAGACTTCAAAAAAATGTCCCTTATTAAATATCATTAGACCTTGCTAATTTAAAATCTGCCTGAAGTTCTGGAAATGTTACCTTTTTTAGTGCTAGTCTCAGGCAAAGGCTCTGTTTCTGATAATGATTGAGTGTTATCTGGAATTCCAGGTCGTGGTGTGACTGGGCCAGAATCAGGACTCGTACACACTGTGCCATCAGCAAACAGAATCTATGGAAAACCAAAGACATGCTAGAGGGCTAAAATTATTTCAAATAATAACTGAATATTTCAAAAGAGTGAAGAGCAATGACAGTACAAACTTGAATACTGTGGATGATAGAAGAAATAGGAGAATCTCAGAATCAATACAAGAAAATACAGAAGCTCTCACAAAAAGAGAGGAAATGCTGCAGTTAACATATAATCATTAGAGATTCTAATGCAACTTAGCATTAGCATTATAGCTAATTAGCAATAAACAGGCATAAAAGAAAACAGTTGTGACTGTTCTAAATAATTAGTCAAAGGTTGATGACACTGATGATCTCAGTGTTTTTGTGTGTTTGTGTGTTAGGAAAGGCCTAAAATACCCTACATCACTACATCACTAAATTAACTTGCAAATACTGAATATAGATGTTGGAAGGAGGATGGCACAATGCAATGGCACATTACATTATCTGCAGTGATGGTATCTAGACTATAGCAACTAAAACGTGCCAGAAACCTGGGCAGCCTAAAATACATGAAAAAAAGAAGGCACTGGGGAGTCCTTTTGAGGAAAATTTAGAATGCCTAATTGTGTCAATAAGACTTAAAAATCATTCAGGTCATTTCTGGATCTTGTATGACTATTTAAGTTACGGAAAAAAAATATATGGATGCTTTTGTCAAGAATATGCAATGCACAATTAATCCCCAACTAATTCATGCCTGAGATGTTTAAGTCCAGAAATACATCTCTCAAAAACACTCAGGTATTTCTTTATCCAAAAGTTGCTCAAAATTTACAGAGGCCTAAAACTTTCATCATTAAAGTTCCACAAGTGCCTTAAGTTCTGACAGTGAACAAAGACATTTTAGTCTTCATACTGCTGCAGAGCTCAGAGGTTATTTAACTCCTACATCTACGAATTAGACTCTTTCCTGTCTCATTTGGCAAACAGAAGTTCAAGGGTAATCACATGCAAGCTGCTTCCAATGAATTCCTCTAAGCATACCTGGGTAGATCCATCTGTCATGTACTTTACAACAGTTCCTTGACTGGTGATGACTCTTGACACCTCTTGCTTTATCTCTGTTGTATATAGATGAGAGTGTTTTATCTTTTGGGGATAACTCTGTCTAACCAGAATTTCCAGAGTAGGCTTCTTGGTCTCTTTTCTTTGAGTGTCTTCTTGCTGCATTTCACCTTCTGTAATATCATGTTCCTTCATTGCACTGTCCATGAGTTCCTCTTCCTTGGTTTCATTTGCATTGGCCTTATCTTTCTCAATCTCCTCTTCCATGACTTCATATGCTTCAGTCTCACCAACCTCAGATTCCTCTTCCTTCACTTCATTGACTTTGGTCTCACTTTCGTTTACCACCTCTTTTAAATCTGAAAATAAATTTTGAATGACTAACTACTATGTAGCAGGCATTCATTCAACAATTCTAAGTGTCTATAGAAGATATTCACTTTTTAGGCAGAGAGATTCTTTAATCCATTCATTAAGGGACATTCTCAGAGGACAATTCAAAGCAAACATCTACTCAGATACGCTGCATTCTCCTGTGGAGTTGCCTTTCTTTCCCAAATGAAAATAAGGGAACGTGAACACGACTTAATACAAATGCCGAAATTTTAAAAGGTAAAAAGTAGGTGAGAGAAATTTCTTAGCTGTCTGTAATGGTGAAAAAGTTACTGAGTTCCACCAAGTTTGAAACTGTACAGAAACTGAAGTATATATTTTATCTGATCTAAATAAAGAATTTGTTTACAGCAGTGTGTGAAGGGTACTAATAAGTATAATATGTAATTGTGCCAAGAGACTATATGTACACATCCATAACTGCTCTGTTCCCCTCAGCTACTCAGTATTTCAACTTAAAAATATTTCAACTTTTTTTTAAAAAGGAGAAAATCTGGAAAGTGAAAGATTTTCCCCTGGCTGAAGAGGATTGGCTTAGAGATTATTTATACAAACTAGACATGAACAGATCTATGGGCCCTGATGGGATGCAGTCATGGGTGTTGAGGGAATTGGCAGGCTCAGTCACTTCCTTTCACCTTCAAGAGGTCACAGAAAACAGGAGAGGTACAGGAGGACTGGAAGAAAGCCAACATCACTCAAGTCTTCAAAAAGGTGAATAAGGAGGACCCAGGAAACTATATGTTGTTCAGCCTCACCTCCATCCTTGGAAAGGTGATGGAGCAGCTCATCCTGCAGGCTATCTCCAGGCATATGAAAGAAAAGAAAGTGCTCAGGAGTAGTCAACATGGGTTCACCAAGGGGAAGTCATATTTAATCAACCTGATAGCCTTGTTTGATGGGATGACTGGCTGGATGGATGAGGGGAGAGCAGTGGATTTTGTTTACCTTGACTTCAGCAAGGCTTTCAATGCTGTCTCCTATAACATCCTGATAGGGAAGCTCACAGGGGCAGATTAAGAACAGCCTGGATGACAGAACTCATGTGCTGAGTCTAATTGGAGGCATGTGGCCACTGGTGTCCTCCAAGGGTCACTGCTGGGTCCAGTGCTGTTCAACTTCTTCATCAATGACTTGGCTGAGGGGACAGAGTGCACCCTGAACAAGTTTGCAGATGATACCAAGCTGAGTGGAGTGGCTCACACTCCAGAGGGCTGTGCTGCCATTCAGAGGGACCTAGACAGGTAGGAGAGTTAGCCAGAGAGGAACTTCGTGAGGTTCAACAAAGACAAATGCAGGGTCGTGCACCTGAGGAGGAATAACCCCAAGCACCAGTACAGATTAGGAGTTGACGTGCTGGAGAGCAGCTCTGCAGAGAGGGATTTGGGAGTTCTGGCTGACATCAAGTTAACTACAAGCCAACAATGCACTCTTGTAGCCAATAAGACCAATGAGAAACTGGCCTGCATCAGGAGCAGTGTGACCAGCAGGTCGAGGGAGGGGATTACGCCTTTCTTCTCAGCTCTGGTGAGGCCGCACCTGGAGTACTGGGTGCAGTTCTCGGCTCCCCAGGACAAGAGGGACGTGGAACTTCTAGAGAGGGTCTAGTGTAGAGCTACGAAGATGATTAAAGGACTAGAGCATCTATCTTATGAGGAAAGGCCTCATTAGGCTACATTAGGCTAGAGAAGATTGAGAGGCCTGATTAGGCTAGAGAAGAATGAGAGGGGATCTTATCAACATGTACAAATACCTGAAGGGAGGATGTTAAAGAAGATGGAGCCAAACATTTCTGGTGATGGCTGGCAACAGAACAAGAGGTAATGAGAACAAATTGCAACACAGGAAATTTCACCCACATACGAGAAAGAACTTCTTTACTGTTAGGGTGACAGAGCACTGGAACAGGCTGCCTAGACAGGTTGTAGAGCCTCCTTCTTCAAAATCTGCCTGGATTGATTCCAGTGCCATGTGCTGTAGGGGTCTCTTCTTGAGCTGGGGTTTTGGACTAGATAATCTATTGAGGTCCCTTCCAACCTCAACCATTCTGTTAAGGTTGGTTTAATCATAGAATCATTATAGTTGGAAAAGACCATTGAGTCAACCATAAGCTCCTCAACATTGTATATGTTAAAACATGTTTCTAAGTGCCTCATCTACACTTTTCTTGAACACTGCCAGGGATAGTGACTCCACCTCTTTCCTGGGAATCCTGTTCCAATGCTTCAAATGCTTTCTGTGGTGTCCTAGTACCTAACCTGAACCTCTCCTGGTACAACCTAAGGCCATCTCCTCTTGTCCTATTTTTGGTAGGTATTTTGGAGACCCACCCCAGCCTCACTCACTAAAAACTCCTTTCTGGTAGCTGTAGAGGATGATGACATCTTCCTTGAGCATCCTCTTCTCCAGACTAAATAATTCCAGATCACTCATCTGCTCCTTATATGATCTGTGCTCTAGCTCTTTCATTGGCTTCCTTGCCCATCCTTGGACACACTCAAGTGTCTCCACATCTTTCTTTTAGTGAAGGGCTCAAAACTGAACACAGTATTCGAGGTGTGACCTCACCAGCATCAAGTACAGCATCAAGTACAGATCACTTTGCTAGTGCTGGCTACACTGTTCCCGATACACTATTCCTGATACTACACAGTTCGCTACACTGCTCCTGATACAAAACAGGAGACTGTTGGCCACCTGACCAGACTGCTGGCCACCTAGGAACACTGCTGACTTACATTTAGTTGGCTGTCGGCTATCAGCCAACTCCTCCAGATGCTTTTTCTGCCAAGCAGCTCTCCAACCATTCTGTTCCAAGTCTGTTGTGCTGCATGGTGTTGTTGTGTCCAAAGTGCAGGACCTGGCACTTGGCCTTGTTGAACCTCATAAGGTTGGTCTCAACCCATCGATCCAGCCTGTCCAGACCCATAACTCTGTGATATACTATTCCAAAGATGGTGCAAATGCAGATAACATAACAACCCTCCTATTGTCACCTAAGGTCCTTTTGTATATACATTTACAAATTGAACTAGATAACTTTCGTAAGTATTGCAGTATGTATGCATATTGCACTGACTATTACTTACATGTTCTTTGCAGGATTACTGCTTCCTTATCTTCCAGCCTATTATGTTCAACTACTTGAAATCACAGATTTTACACTGTTGCATTAAAACATACTGTTTGTTTATACTGAGATTACTATCAAATAGACACTACGACAGAATTAACAGTCTAAAATATTAAAGAACTTAACTTTGTTACACATAAACTCATCAAGGAAAAAATCTCTTTCATCTGCTGCAATTTTAACTTCTTTAAGAACTCCTGATTCTATAGTGGCTCAGAAAACTAACCTTCAAAGCTTTCACCAAGGAAAATTAATACGAGGCCATTGGGACAGGAGACATTTAAACTTCGGAAAGCAAGAGAATTTGACATCGCTTGCATTTGGGGAGCTCGTTCTTCCATTTGCACCTACAGAATGAAATGTAAGTTAGTTTTATTCTACATTTTAAAAGAATTCAAAAAACAGGCTGCAAATTTCAATTGCACTGAAACATTTCAAAAAGGTGTTTTCCACCACTTATTTTAACCAATTTGAGAGCTTATGGATTCTGAAGTGGAAAAATTAGCTTATTTTCTAAGATTGTGGTATCTTACTCATGTCATTGCTCTTGGGAAAACAAATAGCAAATAAAAACTTCCCAAGTGTGTAGGAGTTTTTGTGTTTTTAGGGCCTAATAAGGTAGAGAGATTAGCGAAAGTAGATGATATAGTATAGCATAGGGCACTCGGAAGATCTCGCAATGTCACGGGAGTTAGGTGCGTAATTAATTTATGCAGTTTACTGATAACCCCATGCCATACAAGGCGAAAAGTTGAAATTAGTCTCCCGATTGGGCAGTAGGTGAGTCTCCGCATTCAGCTGGAGTATATAGGCAGACTGAACTGCACAATAAAGGCCATTTTGCCGCACCCCCCATACTGGTATCTGTGCTCTAGGGCCCTGGGGTGAGGACAACCCCAGGTCAGTCCAGCTAGCGAACAAGGCTTGCCGACCCCCGTCGGCAACACAAGTGTTTTCCATTTTGCTGAGTCGTTATGCTATTTTGTGCACGAAAAATGATAGTAAATGGAAAATATGAAGTAGAAGAGAGTGAAATAGTTTTAGAATTTGTATCAGCTATTTTATGTCCAGTCATTAAAACAGCACACAGGATAAGTAGAGCAATTCTTCCAGCCTGCTTTAAATACATCATTGACTTGAGGAGTGGACATGAAGGAATCCTTGGTAGTCATAATAAGGTGAAAGTAGTCTTGATGACCAGAAAAGATGAGGATGACCTAAGGAATGTTTGAGGAGCCTGCACCATTTGACAGGAATACAACAATGGACCCTTTGATGTCAATCTTTCCTCATTTTGAAATCTAATCCTATAAGAGGAAAACAATCAATTTCGGATTGCAGCGGGATGTAGCAGAGAGAACTAGCCTTGGTATTATTCTGTATTCTTGATTTCTAAGAATAGCAGAATGATCCTTTGAAATCTGCTGCAATGTTTAAAGACGGACTCTCAGTGCATGCTGAGGGGACTAGTTAGTATTACAAAAATTCTGCAGGATTCTCCTAGGAAAAAAATGCAGATGGTTTGCCAGATCTGTTTTTCTGCATCATAGATACTTAATATTCCATGGTTATTTTATGCTGTATTACTGTCTAACTAAGGATATCCTCAGTGTCCTAGTATCACAGTCACAGAATCATGGGGGAAAAGACACAGAAAACGGTAAAAGGAAACTTCAGCAAACGCCAAATGCTTCTTCCTGCTTAATGGTAAAAAATGATTTACACATCTATCGGTAGTGAAAACTGTTAATTTAACCTCTTCTGAAGGTCTCCACTGCTGGAGGTTTCTTAACTTTCCTAGGCAAGCTATTTCAGTACCTTACCTTGCCTAACATTAGCAAGATTTTCCTATTCATTACACCAAATCTTTCTCACAGAAGATTTGCTTATTTCTTCTGATTCTATGGGCAAGCATAAGAGATGATGATGTTCCTTTAACTTTGAATCAGGTTGTCTCATCTCCCAATCTGCAGATTTGATGTTTCCAGATCAAATGAACAAAAACTAAGTATTTCAATCTCTCCTCACTGGTCAAGCTTTCTAGACCTCTGATCTTTATTGAGGCTCTCCTCTAAACTCTTCAAAAATAGGGCTTATATTTTCTCACAGTGCAGTATCTATAACTGAACACTACATACACACATAAATACTACACCTGAGACCTTATTATCCCTGAATGGAAGAATTACTTCATGTATTTTCCAGGCTATACTCCTATTTATTCATCTCAAGATGGTGTTTGCCCTTTTCACAGCAAGATGGCATTGTTGACTTATGTGTAGCATGTGGTTCATTTACAATGTTGAACTCTTAATGACAGAACTGTTACCCACTCTATATCTATCAATTATTAACATGTAATTGTAGAACCTAATACTCTTATGGAGTTGCATTCTTTTTGCCAGACCATTTCTCTATTAATTTGTCAAGATCATTTTGAATTCTAATCCTGCCCTCCACAGGGCAGACTCTCAGTCTTGTGCCCTCTGCACTGATAAGGATACTCTCTATCGCTCGGAACTTTTATTAAAATAACAAAAGCTACGGACTCAAGACATTCTAAATCAAAGAGCAAAAAATCTTTTGGAAGAAGAGGAGGAACTTTTTGGTTAATGGTTTTGTTTGTACTATACAACCTCTGTACGTTGTGCTCAGTGTTATTTGGCAAAGCTCTACATCACTTTCTGTCCTCAAGTTTTTTAAACACCTAGGTAAACTTGTTGAAATTAGATCAGAAGGACTGTTTGCAGCATGGATCAAATCCATGTTGAATTAAGAGCCAAAGCATTAATTCATCTAATATGTACCATAGAAGCAGCATAGTTACTTTGTATCTAGAGAATCTTCCATAGCCATTCTTACAATTCTCAGTACCAGCAATTCTCATTCTTGCCTTTCTAATTACTTAGTTGCTATGTACTGGAAACAACTGTCTGGCATTTAACCATTTATTTCCATATTGACATTCCATCCCTTTGTATTGCTCAGCCCAAGTTTGTTAACAGGATGATGAGGTCTAGCGGAGTATTGTGTGAAGTTCTGGGCTCCCTAGTATAAGAGGGATGTGGAGCTTCTAGAGAGGGTCCAGTGGAAAGCAACCAAGGTGATTAAGGGACTGGAGCATCTCTCATATGAGGAAAGACTGAGTGAGTTTGGCCTGTTTGGCCTAAGAGAAGATGGAGAGGGGATCTTATCAACATGTACAAATACCTGAGGGGAGAATGTAGGGAGGAAGGGGCCAAACTCTTCTCAGTGGTGGCCAGTGATAGGACAAGGGGCAATGGGTATAAGTTGAAACACAGGAAGTTCATCTGCATGTGAGGAAGAACTTCTTTACTGTGAAGGTTGTTACCTGCGTACTGGAACAGGCTGCCCAGGGTGGGTTGTGGAGTTTACTTCTCCTGCCTGGAGGCCACCCTGAGCCACGTGCTGTAGGTGTGCCTGCTTGAGCAGGGGTGTTAGACTAGATATCTGTAGAGGTCCCTTCCAACCTTAACCATTCTGTGATTCTGTGTGATACTCAGCCAGCTATTCACTTGTGAAGGGAGCTCAGAAGATATCTGATAAAACACTGGTGAGGTCATAATAAGAGTGATTTTGAGAGATGCAGAAAAAGCAATCATAATAGACAAAGATCAGTTTTTCAAGACATAGTTAGGAAAAAGTGTTGTTCAGAGTGTCAAAAGAGTGTCAGAATAGAAAAGAGAACAGTTTAATTTACTTTCCTGCAAAAATTTCTTCACGCAGTTCTTTAAGAACTTTTAATGTAAGCAGTACTCTGACTGGTCTGTAAGATCACTGGGCCAGGCAAACTTCTTGTGGTTTTCTTAATTATTCTGCCAATAGTTAGCTAATGAAATGAAATGATTTAGGTTAGTTGCCTTGCAAAGAGGAACCGTGACCTATTTCTGAACTGATATGTCCTTCCCCATTCACATATTTTAAAGATAAAAAATGTTATAGAGACCTGTGCAAGAAGTTTAAGATAACTGCTGAATAAGAAAAGTCATTTCTGTTTCACAAACTCCTGTAAATCCTGTATTACTCCGTGATAATTGTCCTGTACCAGAAATTCAGAATCTGCTTTTGAATGTTAACACTTTCTGAATGTCTATCCTGCCACAGAGATACTTAAGCCACAGGCAAAAGCAACTGACTCAGTGGATCCCTGGCTTGTCTCCAGCTGCAAAGAATCAAATTGTTTTCATTAAATTACTGGTTGAGTAAAGACATTCGAACATAGGTTCTGGAAAGCATGGATAAGTTCTCCTTCTTAATTAAACTAAAAGTGAATTTCCAGAGAAGTTTAGTGAGATATTAGTAACGAGACACATGTGATTGTAAATACAAAAGGGACACAAACACTGTGTCCGCAGTCCAGACACTTCTGGACTACAGAAGACACATATGTTTCCATTATGGAACATTAAAGACTAGCTTCATTAACAACTGCCAACATGTATATCTGTGAACAAATAGAAACATTCAAACATTCCTTTAGAACTGACATGTGCTGTTAGGCATTTGAAAGGCACGGCTCAAAGCTCTCAGAAGAACAAGTTTTTGCCATCTAACTTTATATATTGGCATTGTTTGATTGTTTAACTAATTTCTGCATTCATTGGATAATGTCTGTACTCACCTTTCCTTCTTCGTGCTTTACAAGGTCTTCCGGTTGTGGAGGGCTTATTTTACTATGGCTCCCTTTTGTAGATGGCAGGGATTTTCCTGCTTTCTGCTTGACAGACTTATGACTTTTTGCTGAAGTTGAAGTAGCAGAAGGAGAAACAACAGTCGGAGTATGAACAGAAGGAATGTTCAGAATTGTTGCTAAGTCAGGATCTGTTTCATCTTCTAGGGAATGGAAAAAAATATCTTTAAAACAACAAAGTGTCATATATATAGATGGCTCCATTCTGTTTGTGACAAAAATTGTATACACTATGTTTTATATTAGCAATAATAAAATCAATGGCATCAGATATAGGAACTGAGTACATGAAATTATTTGGAAAATCTTTCCTTACATGGACTACTCATCAATGAAAGGGTCTCTTAAAATGGTTGTTTCCTTTAGCTCATCATATGTCTTTCAAAAATAGAAAATAACTTTCTTGTTTGATTTACCTCCAGAATGCTTATGTAACTGGAGATACTTTAAGTGTAAGGACACTAGTAGTTTTCAGCTACATAGTTCCATTTATCTATAATGCAAGTTACTTTGTTAGAAGACTACTTCATCAGAAATCTTCTGATCAGTCTTGCTGAGCCTCTCCCAGTTTTTAAGTGCAGGAATTAGGCAGGAAATTAGTCATGTTGCCTTCCAAAATTCTATACTGAAATAGAATTAATCAAATTAAAATTTTCTATAAATCAGTTTAGTTTTGTTATTTATTCAGAAAAGCCAAGTCAGCTCTACAACCCTAATGCTTTCTTTTTTTTGATACATCTTTTCTTGCTTGAAGTTATCTTAAGTCCCACACCTACAAACTCATGAAATAACAACTTCTTTCTCATCCAGACAATTCAAACAATTGCATTCTTGTTTGTTTTGGAAAACTTTACCTGAGATGGAGCAACTTATTTTCCATATCTGAACCATATAGATTATAACCTGAAAATACCAGTGTGCAACACGTGAGGATCTCAGAAACCAGCTTCTGAATATCTTTTTAATTTAAATAAACGGCTTGACTTGCTTAGTGGTTCCTAAAAGTATGAAGCTTACCAAAAAGACAGTTCTTCACTAGAATGTTTTTAGGAAGACTTTCAAAAAGCCATTTTTGTTATGTTTCTTCCACTGAACAATGTTTTCTAATGTGAATATTAATCTCAGGCAAAAAAACCCCAAAACCCTCCCCCAAACTCATTGACAAATTATAAGCAAAACCACATTCAGATAAAGGAAGGAAATGCATAGAGAAGCATGATTATAGAACTAGTCTAGCATGAGATCACAGCATCTTCCATAATTCAGAGCAAATATTTATAAACCTTTGGCTGAACAAGAGAAGAGGCAGCGTTGAATCCATGTCCACTGTTTCCTGAAAGTTTGTTACATAAATTATCTCTTCAGGTAAGAAAATACAGAAGTCATGTGGACTGCATGTTACATGGTTCTCCATAAGGAATGGATGGCATGTGAGCGTGGCCTAAGACCAATGTTTTTTTGGTCACAATGGTTCAGTGTTCTTGTGATACAAACACCCACAAGAGGAGTGTAGGCATAAGCAAACAATCAAAATTGCAAACAGACAAAGAATACGAGTCAGCAGCGCTGCACTAAAAGTCAACATGGTGAAGATTATTCTAATGTAGAGTAGGAGGTTCTGAATATCACAGGTGATACACAGGTATTTAATAAAACATCTCTTATGCCATAATATAAGAGGTTTTACGGACCACTACAGTGAGCATACTCTTTGACAAAAGTCATTTTTTTCAGTAGGTCATTTGAAAATTTTATTTCAATAATTAAAACTGAGTGCATATTCAAATGGTTTACCACAGTTCTCACAAAGATGCATCTGATTACATGTTTTCATATTTTAAGAGCTGAAAAATGCTGGGATTATTTTCTGATCAGAGAGTAGTTTCACTTTTATCCGTATGAGGGTTTCAATGGCCTTTCAAATGTAATGGAAACAAAAACCTCTTGGTAAAAGCAGACACTATTTTCACTGTGGTTTTCTGAAGCAATTGCTTCCAGTTGCTCAATGTGTTTATTGAAAGGCTGAGAGAAATCCTTCATTATGTCTGCAGAACTAACCTAAAGTCCAAGTCCGAACATAAAATGAAATGTTCCATAATCACCTATATAAGTTAACAAAAATATTATTTCTTGGAAAGCCAAGAAAACTCCTTAGCAAATCACATTTTCTTTGGCTCCAGTTAATTGGCTGATTTTTCTGGGCTACTTCAAAACAATACTTCTGCACTGCTGTGTTTTCACAGTAAGTAAAAAAAGCATGAAGACCTCCCTCCTTTTTGAAATTCAAAACGTAAAATATTCTTGACAAAGTAATCTCATCTCAAGTCTTGCTAAGAATTCCCCACAATGTAGCAACAGCTGTTGAGAAAGGCAGAATTGTATGCAACAAATTACTGAGTAAAGGGTTTTTTAAAAAGAATCCTCTATGGTTCTCAAATATCCCAATCTTTTTGCTTACTTTACCTGCTGTCTTCCCTGTAGGTCCATAATAGCTCAAGGACAGTTGTATTCCATTTTCCAAGGTGGCTGAAAAGGATCCAAACTTGCTCACAGTTCTCTTTTGATTTTTCAATTTGCCTTTAAAAAATTAGTATTAATTTTAAAGATAGCAATGCACACCAGAACCACCTGACCTGCAAAACAATGACTGGTTCGAACAGTGGAATCTCAAGATGGATTAATAACTTCTAAAATGGATTAATAAGGGACTGGGGAAATCTTTATGAGGGTGATCCCTATGGTGCATTCCCATTCCACTCATGGGACAATATTTTGTGTAATACAGCTGTAGTTCTTCACCTACCAACTGTAAGAGCATGTATGTAAGAACTGCTTTAATAGCAACATCCAGAGAAAAGTCTTTCTCATTTTGAACAGTAAAAGTTTCTAGATCTGCATTCAATGATCCTTTGTTTCTTCTCCTATCTGCACTTGGTCAACAAGAATGCTAACCTGTTCTTTCCTTTCATTTACAGCCTATAGAATAATAAAGGTTATTGTCTCTTACTGTCACAGCAACTGTACATTGAGGAGAAGAAAGCAGAAAGGAGAAAAAGAATATTAGAAATTGGGTACAAAGGTATCTCAAGTACGAGAACAAGGCCTGTATTGGCATTAGTTCAAGCTCATCAGGAGAAATACTCACATGGAGTGGGGTAAGAAATGCCATAACATGAGTACTTGACCACTGAAAATCTCATGAACCCAACGGTTCAGAGATAGTGACACCGGATCCTACTTTACTTTAGCTAAAGCCTATTCCCCTTACTAGGGGAATCCCTGGTACTGAGAAGATGAAATCCTTCAGATTTCCAGTACAAAGAGTAGCTTATTGAAACTGCGAGTAGCAGTGGAGAAGATTCTCAAAAAACAAAACAAAAACACCCCAGAAAACTTGGACACTGAATTCCTACCTGCCTTCCAGTTCTTCCAGCAATAATGTTGAAGCCTTTGCTGTTCCTATTTACTGCTATTTATTGCTTGTCATTGCAAGCTTGTATTGCTTGCCATTATCACAGCATTTTGACCGACTAACAATGTACCATTCAATCACTGTCATGCATCAAACTAGAGTGGATTAAGTCTCTGCCTGCTAACTGCCTTTCTGTTCGAGATTTCTGTTCTATGTAGGAGGAAAGTCTGCCACTGGTACAAATGAATCCAACTTGCCTCAGACTGTGCCAGATTGTGATTGAAAGTGCTATCTGAAATACCTCAAAATGACACAGGACCACTTTCAGAAGGACAGTGAAGATATGTCTCATCTATAGAAGGAATGCACATTTTCTATTCATTCAATCTACTACTACTTCATTGGTTGCAACTGCTGCCAAGAAAAAGAGCAGCATCCTTTCAAAAATTAGAGATGTAAAGAAGCAACATGTACACCAGAAGTTACATTTTCTCATTATTTTTCATCATAAAATGGGCATTTACTTAGTGCTTTTGACCAAAAACATACACAAATTTCTTGCAAGCCTGCTTCCTTCTTGGATTCACTTCTCTCAGTTCAGAAGGAATATGACATTATGGCAACCAGCACGATGTCTTTTGATATTGCTGAAATGCAGAAAGATTTGCTTACATAGCAAAGTTCTTGATGAGGTTCTAATGCTACAATCATTTGGCTTCCAAAAGGAGGTTCAGTTCAAAGAAGACCTTCCCTTTCAAGGCAAAAAATTATGCCTTCCTAGGCCATATTAAGATCTGAAGGAGTGATCCACCACTGAGGAAAATTCCTTGAAACAAAACAGTCATTCTTTTTGGTGATTTGCTTACTTCAGAAAAGAGATTGATTTGGATTTTTTAATCTCAATGTCCTTGCTTCTACCACTACAAAAGATCTCTGGATGGTGTTCCAAGTCAGCCAATTGGATTTTTATTTAGTCTTGTGTTTCTCAATGACTGGGTCTTATTCTGATCTCAGCTATGGACACCTGTCTCCCCAGATAAGCTAGCATTTCACACAACACAGTTTGGAGTAATCCACCTTTTGCCTGACTCAGACAGCTCCAGCTTTAACAACTTGCAGTTGTTTGAAATCTGCAAGCCTTAAGACTCCTTAAAAGATTATTTTAATTGCAGGTGTGGTTACCTAAAAAAAAAATTTCTATCTAGTTAGGAAATTGTAATTGTAATTGTAATCTAGCTAGGAAATTGTAAAAGAAATGAGTGGCTAAAATAGTACACATTTACTTTTTTTTTGCTTTCTTGATGAATGGAAATAATACCTAACTAATTCACTTACATCTTACGGTGTAACAAAGCCATGCATTCACAGAGACTGCCATCTTTGTAATGTTGAGTTATGTTCAATAACATCAGTTCCTAACCATATTCTTCATTTGAAAGTATGCATCTATTTATTGCCAAACTTAATCCATATGGCTTCTGCAGTTAGTAGAAATTTAATTTATTTAATTTTACTTGATAATGTTTACATCCAAATACTGCATATATCAAACTATTATTTACGTATATCAATGATATTAACCCACTAACCTGTTTTAATTTTCTGTCTTTCATTCATATCTTGCACTTCAATTTCAGAAAAGTTTTTCTTGGGGTCTGTGATATGAATGAAGAAATTATGGTTGTCCTTTACCACCTTCACCTTTATCAAAGTTAGACCTGCAAAACAAAGGAATATTGTTCAAATATTGCTCCCACCAGGCTTCAGAACTCTCTCAAAAAACTGCACCTGCAACTATAAAATGTTAAAAAAAAATCATAGAGTCATAGAATGCGTTAGGTTGGAAGGGACCTCAAAGGTCATCTAGTCCAAACCCCCTGCACATGAAGGGTCACCTAGAGCGTGTGGCACAGGGCTGCATCCAAGCGGGTTTTAAAGGTCTCCAAAGAAGGAGACTCCACAACCTCTCTGGGCAACCTGTTCCAGTGCTCTGTCACCCTCACTGTTAAGAAACATTTTCTTAAGTTTCTGTGGAACTTCCGATGTTTCAGTTTGTAGCCATTTCCTCTAGTTCTATCGCTGGCCACCACTGAAAAGAAGCCGTCCTCTCCTCCTCACTCCCTCCCTTAAGGTACACACTGATCAGGTCCCCACTCAGCCTTCTCCAGGCTAAACAGTCCCAGTTCTCTCAGCCTTGAATAAATAACAAGCTTAAAAATGAACTGAATTGCTTAGCAGGAACACAAGAAGACAAAACTAAGGTTGAGTTTAATCTAAATATTAAAAAAAAACTACTGACAATGATTTATGCTAGTTTGTAGAATAACTGCCTTACTTAGATACACTGCATTAACTGGACAGATTATGGGAACATCAATTCACAGAACACCCTGTTTTGGTTCCCACTGAACAGATAAATAGGAATCAAATTTTCTCCATTTTGAATTTGTTGATACATTATTTACCAAATTTTACAATACCACAGCAAAACGCAAACTTTATTATTGATAAAGACTCATATGGAATTACATGGCACTGTCACAATGTCCCTAGTAAACTGGAACAGTAAACTGATTCAGTACTGAACAGTACTGAAATTACTGTTATTATTGTTACATTTACTGTTATTGAACTGTGAAAAAGCATTTATGGATAAGGAAATTATCCCATAAGTCAGTAAGAGTTAAAGCGCAGTATAAAGAATAAAAGAATCACCTTTTATATACTCTATCTTTTCTACTTGAATCTGTCCTCCATCAGATGGAAAAAGATATTGATTGGTTCCTGATACTTGAATGAGATCCTCGCCTGTATTGTAGCCAAGAAACTGGAAAAAGAAGTTTTAGACTATGGGTAAGTTATAAAGCCAGAAGATCTGAAAGCAGTAAAGAAAGGACAGATCATCAAGATCACGCTGTTCTAGTTAAAATTTTCCATAGATATTTGATAAATATTATCATCACTTTATTAAAAACTCCTAAGTTCTATGCTTTCCAGTTATTCTCATTGTTACAAACTGAAGCAACTTGTTACAAATGAGGACAGAATCTGGTCCTTCAGAAGTATATGGATCCACCAGGGGAAATGAAGAGTGACAAGCAGGCTGCTAGCTTAATATATCATAAAAATGAAAGAGAAAATATGTCTAAGCCCACTCAAAGAGATGAAGTATTATTCTACAGGATCTGTACACACTAAACAGCAAAAAGACATAACTATCTTTGCATTTATGTCACACACATAATAATAGTCTGATGTAGAGCAGATTTACACATCAGAAAGTATATTTCCAAAACTATTAGGGAAGGATCAGCAACTAAAATGAAAGAGTTAAACAAGATGTAGTTAGGCTTAATTTTCTTCCAAGTCCAGTTTCCAGTTATGGATGATAGTTCCACCGAAATCTTAACTGTATATAAATAGCTAGTCCCCTTCTAAAGTGGTGCAATAGTATGATTCTGTACCTTATAGACTTTCTCAGGACGTGGTTCTGGAATGCTGGAATCCTCATCTTGATCAAGGGTTTTTGCTGGCTCATCTTTCATATTCTCTTTGGAATGTTTCTTATTAGGACCTTTACTTTCTGCAGGTACTATTGTCTCCTGATGTTTCTTTTTACTTTCTGATTTTTCTTTTTTTGCTTTGTTCCCTTCCTTAAGTCGTTCTTGTAGTAATTGATCCTGATTCTCCACCCCAGCCTACACAAAATGTTAGGAACTTGAATGACTGATTCTGTTTATATTACACTTCAAAGGTGCATGCTGAAAAGAGTACAAGAAAACAAACTCAAAAGAACTTCATTTTCTTTGAACTGACTCACATGGTTTTACAATATTATGTAATTTTTTTTTTGCATAACAATGCTACTTTATTCAAGCCACAGGATCAGTCATTCTTGACTGCTGGAGAGGCATTAGATAATTATTTGTATTATAAACATTCAGTCATTAGTGAATTACTCAATTTGTTGTGCACTTTTCAACTATGCTTACTATCGCATCAAAATGCATCACTGAAATTATTTTTTTCCCAAAATACAACTGTGAGATGAAAGGCTTCTAATTTTTAAAGAAATAGAATGAGATATCAATGTCAGAATTATCAACTTATATCAGAAAGGCAACAAATATATCTGAGATTTTCCAGAGTATGTAGCATTCTGTAGTATTCTATGTTTAAACCACATGGTAAGTATTAGTGTAACTTGAGCTAGACCAGCTCAAGCTTAGTAGCCAGGGAATAACCAATGCCATTCAATATCTGCATTCCAATATCAGTATTTTAAATGTAGAATACTATATACAATAGTATATAGGGAAATACTGTGTTTGTGAGGAGACAGAAAAAGGCAGAAGGAGCTAGGTCACCAATTAAAATATATCTGCCTAGTATAACGCATAGTGCCCATAGTAATATTTAGAAGAGTTGTGCTTAACTCCTACCTCTAAGGGATCATATTTACATTCCTCAATTTCAAAAAGGTACAGATAGTGAATGTAGAAGCTGGATGCGTAAATACTTCCAAGAATCTGCATACTACGTTTTCATAGCTTATGACCAGAAAACTTCAAGGAAATTAGGATATTATCCATAACTGTGCTTTCCTTGTACTTCAATAATGAATTACTTGTGGAATATTTAGGAATATTCCACAACAGTGGAACAGGAAACACACAGTGTTTCCTTAAGAAAAGAAAATAGTACATCTCAATCAGTAAGGAACTAAATAAAGCAAACAAGAAATAAAGTAGAAGAACTGAAAGGCTATGGGGACTATTAGAAGCTTATGTGACAGTGAAATTGTGACTTCCTGAAAAAGCAGTGTTATTTAGTCCATTCAAGAAGCATATTTTTTTGCCTCACCTTAAGAGAACCTTCTCTGATAAAAAGTCTCTTTTCATTGTTGGATTCAGATTTTAGAGTGGTCTCTGTGATGTTCTCAAGTTTTGACGTGCTGTCTTTGAGACATGAGCAGGGAATAAGCATGGTTAAAAACATGGATAGAAAATTAATTTTAAAAGTAGGTAAATAAGAGTATACATGTAAAATTAGTAAACAGTAAAAGGCAAAAATGAAAAAGTAGAATATAGAAAATCTTAATCTTATTATGTTTAGAGATAAAAACAGTATTTTGACTTTCAAGTCAAAAGAGTTTTTTCTAGTAACTTAAATTTCATATTCTTAACTGGGGAGCAAGTATGCTAAACAAGATAACATATATAAAGACTGACTCCCCACTTTTTACTGTTGAAGTCTTTGCTCTTACAAGCTGTTTTTTTTTTTATAATGTAGATGAGCAGTGCTGAAAAATCATTAAACAGTATTTGTTAATATTACTGCTATTAACATTATTTCAGGATTCAGATTTAGTTCTCTACCAGCTCACTAAACCTCAGAACAACCCCAATAGCAGACTCACAATATCACAGTCTTTAAAGTCAAAAACATGAATAAATACTGTCTGACACTTCACAGAATCAGTCACTAAAGAAATACTTAAAATATCCTCTGTTTATTATTATGACTTTGCAACAAACTGAAAAAGAAAATAAGTAGTTTGACAATGGTAATTAGGTACCACAGAAAACACAACGGAAAAAATATATGAATGCAAAAGGCTTATGGTTTAAGTCTTTACAAGCTTTCCCTATCTGTGAGGCTATCTATTTATCCAGGTTAACTCAAATATGACTCATAAAAAGGGTATCTCTCTGGGCTTGGTTTTTTACAGCATGTTTGAATGTAAAATATTTACCTGAACGAAAAGTAAAGAACACTATCAGAAACTTCTGATTAAATTACTTTGCATTAAAGCAGAAGAAATTACAGTGAGGGCTACATTACTGCCAGTAAAATTTAAATCTCTCAAAAACATTGGTGCCCATCTTCATATTCCAGCCAAAGAAAACTATCTCTTCCTTAAGTGAATTTCCTTACAAACCATATCTGGAATGAGTCCCCAGATGGGTAAGACCCACTCTAGCTCCTGTGACAGCTAGAGGGTAGAAGTATGACTTGAAAGTCTTACAAACCTTTCTCATTTCCAAACTATAATTTAAATGGCTTGAGAAATGACAGTGGCTTGAGAAATTTAAGTATTAAGCGGCTTGCGAAAGACATTTCTACGACATTTCTATGTAAATGCTAAAACTAAAAGAAGGTTGAAAGTAGAGCCTAAAAGAGAAAAATCATTATTAATTCTACATATAAACGTACTATAGAATTTTGACAAATGTTCTCTTTTATTATAAGCAGTTTTCAGATTTTGATGCCTGTTCAAAAGTTTCGGTATGAACTTCTTACGATTTCCATCATCCAAAATGATGCTTGTAATTAAAGTTTACTCTGCAGTCTAATAAATTCCAGATCACAGTTTTAGCTTCTAGTCTACAACTTCTTATGCTTTAAAAAACAGAATTTTCTGTAAGGTGGTACCAGCTCTGACTACTGCTTATCTCTTACGTTCACTCATCTAAAATATGGATTCAAATTTGCATGTAATACAGATAGCAATACTAGTAAATAAAATACAGCAATTTTAAATATAAAATGTTACCATCACTATCAATTTGTAAAACTGAGGTTGAGGCAAGAATATTTATATACAATTATGCAACAATATTTATATACAGATATTTAACTCATCTGTCAAACCTCTTTATGTCTGTAGAGATCACATGGCATGGTAATCCCCTGAAAAATATTAAAGATTCTGCTCCTGGAAAAGATTGGAGGCTCAGCATTCAATATGAAAAAATAATTTTCTATGTTAAAAGAGGAAAGTTACCCACTCCTGGTTTTCTTAGGGAAGCTGCTTTTTTTGACAGCAGATGCAGGAAATTGAGGAGCTCCTTCTGCCATGACTTTTGCCAGTGTAAGAGCCTCCATTTTCTTAGCCATCTTCTCTTGGTATTTGGCCTCCTCTTCTTTCACCCAATCTTCAACTGAGCTGGCCACCAACTCAAGATAGTTCCTGAAAAGGGCAATATTCCTCTATTTACAATAATAGAATTCTCATTAATATGGTGCCAGATCAAACAAGATTGCTTGCTTTCTCATTTTCTTAGACAAATATTATCCCATAATCTTTGAGAGAAGGGCTGCATTTATCAGAATTTCTCCTTTTTTAAAAAAATTATTTTTACAGATAAATGACTGATATTTGCTTAATATACCTTACATTTTGGATTTTGTTTCTCCTTCCTACAAAGAAATTCTAGCAACTTGTCCTCCAAAGAACTCCTGCCATCAAAGAAAGTCCAGACAGTCAGAAAACATAGAAATGTTCAGTTTAAGAAAGGCTGAGACTAATTCTTTTCCTCATTGTTTTGCCATTTAGGTAACTTCTCTTAGCTGCTTCTAGAACACACTTCATTTGTGCATTCCTTTCAGAATAACAGCACTTGAGGAGGTGTTAGTCTAAATTTTAGCTCTGTTCCATTACTATGATGAGAAAAGTGGTTGGTAATTGTCATCCAAACCCAGATTATAGAAATGTGCCATTATCTTGGCATAAATTAAGAATATTTAAAAGCAAAAACTGAAGTTAGTATTAACTGATAAACTGACAACAAAACAGTTGTATTGTCTTATCTTCCTAAGGTAACTGAAATGACCTTTAAAACAGTTAATCGCAGTCAACGGCTTCCAAAGCAGGATGTTGCCTGAAAGTTTTAAATGCAGTTGCCTTTCAGTCCCTTGTTTGGAATATCAACATAACTATTTAGAGTAAAATTAGCAGGCATCATACATAATTCTACATTGTGATCTCAAAACTAGAAGAGGCTCTTAAAAATGCATGAGATTCAGTTGTATTTGTATAATGGTTTGCATTTATAAGCTCCAGATGATTGAATTATATTCAACGGCTCTATATGCATTTGATGTTTTTTGGTTGGAAACATGTATTCAGGGAATTTATGCAAATCTTGACCTCTTAAGGATTTTAAAGTTCTTTTTGCAAAATTACGTTGTATGCTTAAGATCCTATGTATGATAACTATACAGACTGGAATTATATACATTTTATGTTCAGCTTAAAGACACACAGTCTTTCCCAATTTCTTTAATGTATGTGGAACTTACTTTGAGAAACTTGCACTGAGAAACTGTTGGTCATATACTCAGTATAATACTCTGCTTGTATCTCAAATGTACATTCCACAGAAATGAAAGTGTTGAAATCAAAAGGGAAAACTAGACTGGAGCTTGGAGTTGTCAGTGCTGGAATAACCTGGAGATGAATATATGTTCTAAATAAAAATTGGACTAGTTATGTGGAAAATACGTTAGGCCAGTCAGTTGTCATGAAACAACCATTCAAAGACAAAAATACATGCTCTATTAATATGTATTCTGATGTCACTACTGCAAAAATATGACTCAGAAAAATTTCTCAGAAAAGATTGTTCTTTCTTTTTTTTTTTTTCCAGGAACTTGTGTAATGTGTTTACTATGAAAGAATAAACAAATGTCATATTGAGTAATTTCGACTAAAAAAAAATGTTTGGATATTGTCTGAATTAATTTGGCTTCCTGAGACAGTGGACGCTTATTGCAACCCCAGCAGCTCTTTCATGTTTTGTACACATGTGACTGTACATATATGTGCCCCAGCCTTTGGCCTCCCTTGGTCATTAGTGTCCACCTGTTTTCACAAACCTCCTCCTGCCCACCCTTCAAAAGGCACATAGAGGAGATTCTAATTCTTGATTTTTTTGGATGTTCTACATGAATATCTTGATATTGATATCTTGAAGTATTACTGGAAACTCCAGGAACAAAAATAACAACAACAAAAACCCTCCAAAAAGTCAAGTTACTATGATAAATGAAATTTAATATCCTTGCATGAGAATTTGTTGTGACAGGCCCTATTGTAACCAACTGATCGGAAATCATCCCTCATTGAGTTGACAGGAGCTTCTATTATGTATACCTCTCCTATAGTGACACTGTGACTCTTAATAATGAACTAAACATTTGAATAATAGTAATAATAATAAAAACAAATAAAACAAAAAATTACTGGCCACTGAACTCATCAGCCAGTACTTTACACAAAGGTAGAATACTACTGCTTAATTAACAAGTAGGATTTCACTCTCTATGTGTGGCAGCTCATTAGGATCTAGAAGATGATGCAGGCAATAGCTTGAAGCACTCCAGTTATTTAAGGCCTTCCACAGAGTAGTTATGTTGCTTGGAGACATACACTAATAAATATTTTACTTTGAAAATCTGAAATGATCTTTGGAAAAAAAGGTTAAGCAAAGTCTCTGCAAACTATACTCATTATGCAGAGAAAAGGCAGGTACAAATGCCACATGGCATAAACAAATGGGAGTCAGTAGCTTTTCAAAGATACTACAGAGCAGAAATATCACTGAAGTTGAACATTCTTCTGAACCATGGGTAAAAACAAATGTTCTGCTGAATATCACCTTGTTGAGGAAGACCTTTTTGTTTTGAACCAAAACCCTGTGAACTATCACTGAACAAAGCTGGCACACTCAAGGCAGAAACCATCTTTAATGTCTAGGTCTTTTTTTGCAGTATATCTGCGGGAAAAAAAAATAAAGAGCGAGAGAAAGGAAGCACATAGTCAAATCATCCTTCACTGAATTATAATCATCATCATCTTTGAAAGGTCCTGGAGAACAGGGGAGGGGCCTGAGCACTGGAAGAAAGCCAATGACACGCCAGTCTTCAAAAAGGGCAAGAACAAAGACCCAGGCAACTACAGGCCAGTCAGGCTCACCTCCATCCCTGGAAAAGCGATGGAACAGCTCATCCTGGCTGTTGTCTCTAAGTGCATGGAGGACAAGAAGGTGCTCAGGAATAGTCAGCATGCATTCACCAAGGGGAAATCATGCTTAACCAACCCGACATCCTTCTATGATGGAATGACTAGCTGGATAGACGAGGTAAGAGTGGTGGATGTCATCTACCTGGACTTGAGCAGGGCTTTTGATATCGTCCCTCACAACATCATCCTGGGCAAGCTCTGGAGGTGTGGGACAGATGAGTGGACGATGAGGTGGATTGAGAACTGGCTGCATGGCAGAGCTCAGAGGGTGGTGATCAGTGGTGCGGAGTCCAGTTAGAGGCCTGTAGTTAGTGGTGTCCTCCAGGGGTCAGTCCTCAGTCCAGTCCTATTCAATTAACTCACCAATGACCTGGATGAAGGGACGGAGTGCCCCCTCAGCAAATTTGGGGAGGAATAGTTGATACCCCAGAGGACTGAGCCGCAATCCAGGGGGACCTGGACAGACTGGACAACTGGGCAGAGAGAAACCTCATGAAGGTTTCATAAAGTTTTTTTTTGCAAGGGCAAGTGCAGGGTCCTGCACTTGGGGAGAAATAACCCCAGACAGCAACACAGGCTGGGGACTGACCTTCTGTAGAGCAGCTTCACAGAGAGGCACCTGGGCATCATGGTAGACAACAAGTGGACCATGAGGCAGCAGTGTGCCCTTGTGGTCAAGAAGGCCAATGGGATCCTGGGGTGCATTAAGAAGAGTGTCTCCAGCAGGTCAAGAGAGGTGATCGTCCCACACTACTCAGCCCTGGTGAGGCTACATCTGGAGACTGTGTCCAGTTCTTGGCTCCCCAGTACAAGATGGATGTGGAGCTGCTGGAGAGAGTCCAGCGCAGGGCTATGAGGATGATCAGGGACCTGGAACATCTGTCCTATGAGGAAAGTCTGAGAGAACTGAGCATGTACAGCCTGAAGAAGAGAAGGCTGTGGAGAGATCTAATAAGAGTCTAAAAATACCTCAAGGGAGGGAGTGAGGAGGATGGAGTCGGCAAGCCCGAAGTGCAAGCCTGAAGTTTATTTGAATACAGTATACTATATTTCACCATCTTTGGGGGAGACAGCAGGTGATAATTTGCACACCAACACACACAGACATACATATGCATATACACTTACATCTTTACATGTATAAAATACGTAAAAATTATCTATAAAAATATAGTTAAAAAACAATCAGTAGAATTGTTCCACAACCACAAAACAGAAAGCATTTCTCCAAGGAACTCTAGGATTTTGCTGGTAAATCTCTTCTGCCTTGTTTGATGACACTGGTCCAAATCACTGCTAATCCTAAAAGCCTTTTTTTCTTGACAAATAACTCAAGTCCATATGCCTAGAAAATTGAGACAAACTCATGTAGACTTCCTTCACTGAGGACAAAAGCTTGAAAAAGGACTCAAGGCAGGCATGTTTTGCCTATTTAACATTCAAGCTTATTTACACATGCAGGTACAAATTTCTCATAAAAGATTTGAATTTTAGGGCACTTCACTTAGAAAGCAAAGTTTGTGGGAAAAAAATGGAAAATGATCTAGTTGGTCAACTGGTAATTTACTTTAATTCTATTTGATAAAACAAATCTAATTAATCCACATATGTGTCCAGACATCTGTGTGGCTTTGTAGCTTTGTAGCATTTATGTACTAGTATGTAGACATAAATTCCACTTTTTATCAATAAGCTGCAGTAGTATTTGGATCCACATCATCGTTTACACATCTGTTTCAGTGCAAAGATCTACTGTAAAATGAACAGATCTATTGGCAAAAGCACAAGCAGTGCACATATCCAGAACTCATATACTTATAACTGGAAAGTAGACAGTGACAAACAAGAATTTGGTATTCTCAGAGAAAAAAAAAAAAAAGTCTTCTGAATATTGATAAGAGTCTCTTTCTCTAAACTTGCTCTAAAACTTTTCCCAGAGTGACACTTGACTAATCTATACATAGTCATGTATATATATAGTTTGTGAAAAATAGTCGCATAAGGTTACTATGTAGTTGTTATTTTGAAAAACTTCATCTCATCAGAATAGTTTTGATATAGCACTGCTATCCAACTGTGTGATTTGCTTTTTCAGAAATGTGTTATACTACAGTATTATTTTTTCATTTCCAAGCTTTGCTTCAAACTTTGCCATGCAAACTTTTAACTGAAAATGACTGTTGGTAAGATGTGAAAAATGAGATTAATTACCTGAATCCAACATTAGAGTGCAATGCCATATCCCAGGTCTCTTGGAACAGACGGTACTGATTCATAGGATTGTGAAGGACCATAAGCAAAGAGCTATCTTGATTATGATAGAAGGAATCAACACATCTATACTGTTGGGTTGCAGCATGAAGAACCTGAAAAGAAAAGAAATAAAGATCCCCCCTGCAGGCAGCAGTATGCACAGATACTATAGCGCTGATTTTAGCAAAGGATGTTCCAGGACTTCACCATTCTAGAAGATGTGTACAGGCTAGTACATAAAACATTTGGATTCCAATAATATGAAGTGTTCAGGCATGTGGAAGTTGAACTTCTGCTGCTATCTATATGAAGAAGAGATGCTCTCCATGCTCTCCAGGCTCTGTCATCTAGACAATCCTGATAGTGAGAGAGTAGGAGGCAAAGCCATAGAGCTATACTTTAGAATGATCTCCATCTGCTAAGACTGATAACGAATGAAAAATTTCATGAAAGATCAAGGTTTAATAAAAGAACTTTCTATACTTGTAATTGAGGTAGAAAAATGTCAAATTTCTTTTTCTTTTAGCTCACTTAAGATCACAAGGTACTCATTTGGCTGTACTCTGATGTGAATATCAGTAACATTTACTGTGTTTTATGTTGTTTCACTCTGTACTGTACATTATTTTTCAGTATTTACATTGTCTTAGAGTTGCAGTTAAAAAAGTCTTCTTTTAAACTACTATTTTTAAGTACTTCTGATGTGAAGTAAAGCTGATATAATTTACAGGTATATCATACAGCCTTGATTATTTTCTAAAAATAAATTCTATATCCAGAAATACTGTTTTTACATATGAAAACCTTATAAACAGCTGAGTGTAAAAATGTATTTGAATGTAATGAGAAGAAGCTGGTGAAGGGCCTGGAATACAAACCTTATGAGGAGCAATGGAGGAAGCTGGGATTATTTAGTCTGGAGAAGGAGAGGCTCAGGGGACACCTTATTGTTCTACACTACCAGAAAGGAAGTTGTAGTAAGGCTGGGCTCGATCTCTTCTTCAAAATTACTACCAACAGGACATGAGGAAATAGCCTCAAAGTTGCACCAGGGCATGTTCAGGTTAGATACTAGGAAAAATTTCTACATGGAAAGAATGGTGAAGCACTGAAACAGGCTGCCCAGGGTGGAGTGCATCTTTGGCAATGTTCAAGAAATGTGTAGGACTTAATGATCTTGGAGGTCTTTTCCAATCATAATGATTCTATAATTCTATGTAGCAATACAATATAAAAATTCTTACCAAAATGCTGTTACTTTCTGTTGCAGTTATTTCTCATCAACGTCTAGATCAACAATAGATCAACTAAATGTGTTAACTATTGACTGCTTAGGAGGAATTTCACATGTATTCAAACCTATGACCAGACTCTAAAGTGGCGGTGAAAAAGTGCAAGCAGCTTTTCCCTCACTGTTGTATAATATGTATTAGGATCAAACAAGAATTGCATCATGTGAAGCACAAGGTATGGGGAATAATCCACTTCTCCTAGCAGAATCCCTACCAGTTTATGACATCTACATTTAAAGTATTTTTTCCACATTTGTTTTCTGCCTTTCTGTAAGATAAATTTTGATGTTTGGCTGGCAAGACTTCTATACATAAAGATTGTAGTCACGAAAGTGTGAAGTATCATCATAACAAAATTTTCTATTTTCCATAACGCAGTTAACTGCAAAAAATGTTTTCACATATATTGGATTATTAAATACCATAAACTGAGAGAGGATCAACTCTAATGGTATGTTAATTATGTTTCCATCACACATTTGGTTTTAAGGCTCACCACCAAAAATGCCAGCTACAGTGTGGTCAAATCAGGAAATTAAAAGCAATTATAAGCTAAATACTGTATAATTACATACTAAATAACAGCTGATGAAAAACAGCTTAAGAACATTCTGATAAATATTTATCAGGGATTAAACTGAATCAATTACTTTGCACAGAAATATTCTTTATCTTATTATTAATTCTCTGTACACCATTTTGAGGAGAGACTCTATCTATATTATCATCAGTTAATAGATACCTGAAGAAGAACATGTGGTTGAAAATGTTCAGCAAAAATCCAGTCCGTCAAACAACGCTTCTGAGTCTTTTTTATTTCTGCTAAACTTGGTTCTGGACAGTAATTTTCTGGACTCACCTCAAAACACAGCAAAAGAAAATAATGTGAATCAATATTTCAGTGTCAGTTGCACTAAATTAAATATAATCTTGTCAACTTAATAGACAATATTCCATGTTGCATCACATTTAATTGTTCACATGTGCACATGTGTAGATCCAAATGGCAATATTTAATACAAAACACAATTGCTCCTAAATTTCTTTTTGCCTTTGAATTTTTATGTCAAACATAATCTAAATATTTTTATTATTAGGTTATATGTTTTTGAGTGCTGTAAGCAATTATGAATATTTAGACAGCTTCTATGAAGTCACTTTAAAATTGCTATATTTATCCAGATTTGTATGGCAAGCAGGTGTTTCTCAAGATGCCAAACTACATGGTCTATTAGTGTGACACAATTTGGCACTTTCTCTCAAACTATCATGCTAACATTTGAACTCTGGTATTCAGTGAAACCAGCATAGAATTGCCATTAGCCATTTCACCTAAATCCATCAACTTAGACATGAAAAAAAATGATTTTATAATGTTTATGGCACTATCTCTCAAATATCACAAAATTAACATTCACATAAAACATTGCAAAGGAATCTCCAGTAACATATTACTGCACTGAACAGTGTTTTCCATTGCTTCAAGTTATAGAGTGCTATTCAATTCATCACACTTGCCATTTCAGGAATAAAAACATCCCGGTTTTTGTTTAACATAGGATCAGCCAAACCATCTCTCCCATCTTTGTTATTTGTTTCCACTTGTCCTGGAAAATGAAAGCAGAAGATTAAAAAGAACTTCAGAAATTTCAGCCTTAAACACAAAGGTCAGAGTGATACAGTTTCCTTAACTTCCTTTGAAGAGATTATGTTCAGATTGAATCCCAGTCCACTAGCTTGCTAGCTACATGAACAACTCTGCCACGCTTACTTCCTAAATGAGTACTTAAAATTCTATGGGCAACACCTCCCAGGCAGTTCAGTAAAACAAAGACAAAAGAAAAAAAGATGAACTCTGAACCCTTTATTCCCTTTATAATTTTATCTAAGAAATAATATCCAGTGTTCATTTATAGATGAAAAAGAAAAATAATAATTAGTATTAATAATTATTACTGATGATCATTAATACATATATTAATGCATATACATATACATATATACAAATATACATATATGTATTAATATATACATTTAATTTGATATAAAAATTTTTGAACTCGTTAAATTCATTAGGCTTTTAGAGTTTTATAAATGACTGACAGAACATTACTTATGCTGAGTATCTTGCCAGTAAACTATTTGCATTACAGTGGCATTGGATAGCTGCTGTAAATAAATAGGATCGCACGGAAACTTTAGCTTCATCTTAAGTTCATCTTTTCAAGAAGACAAAACATATATTCTCAGTGATTTTATCTAGAAGTTTTCCACATATTTTTGGCCCAACATAAATGTGTCTGATCTAACTGTTAAAAATGTTTAAACTTCTAATCTAATCCCTTCCAACCGTAAGCATTCTATGATTCTATGATCTAGAATATCAATTCAACCATATGTTTGACTTATTCAGATATCATCAGTCTTGTATTTTTCATATTCTCATAACTTCTTGAGGTATTCTCCTATATTTTTATGGCCTGACTAAATGCAAAGGTCAATTATATTTTGATTATAATTCACATATACCAGAAAAATACTCTTCCTTTGTGAAAATATTATGGAAAGTATCTGTTCATATGTGGACTAGAGTCAGCTTAGCTTCTAGATGTAGATCTTTAGTCTCTGTTTTTATGGGAAATTAAGTCCATTTATTAATTGCTTTTAGAAGACATAAGGAATCTGAAAGATATTTAATCTGTCTTCAGTAAGCAATAAAGTAGTTTCCTAGAAGATATTATGCTTTTCTACAGACATTATTTTAAGGAGTTGCTTAAATAAAATGTTTTAATGTTATGATACAACCCCCCCTAACTTTTGGCACTATTTACTATACCCACAAAGATTTCCAAAATACAGACTACTAAAATATGTCTTGTACAATGAAGAAAAATCATAACCCTGGTTTACCAAATGACATGGTAAACAGCAGATACAAATTCTTCAGGAGTAATGTAAATGGAGGTTTTTTTACCAGAGCATTTTGAAGATTTCCCATTAAGCTTCTTTTCCACAAGGAAGAGTTGTCTTGCAAACCCAGCTGGATTATCCCAGGGGATATCAGACACTTCAGATTCACCTCCGGCCATGGACCCACAGCTCTCCAGGAGACCAGAGTCACTCAGCCCAGTCAGTCTCAGACTTTCAAAAGTAAACACTTTGAAGGCTCTTTCTACTTCCGCCCAACTCGTAAATTCTACAGAAGAATCATAATCATTCACTGAAAATACGCTTATGATTCAACAGAAGATAAATATAAGGCTATGGGAGCTTATTGTTTTGGGCAACTCTACAAAACCTGACTTACATTATGCAATTGGATCAAATTATGAGTACTACATTTTGCAATGTATTTGAAGTCTAATGTGTCTAAATTGCAAAATGATAAGCCTAACTATTAATCCATCTTAAATGAAGTGCTTGCTAGATGTGAATACCTCTTGGCTCATTAGCTTTTATATAAATGATGTTGATTTAAAAATACTGAGTACACTTTATTAAACCAGATTAGCAACTAGGTATTTAAGTTATATTTCAAGAAAAGGCTTCCATTAGTATTTTTATTATCTCATATAACTTCTCAAAGTATCAAGGGTTTTTTTTTCAGACAGAATTTTACAGGTAGTTTACATAGAATTATGCAAAGTGCAAAGGCAACAGTATTTGTGATTGAACACATTGCTGTCTATATAAAAACAATAATTATAAGAATTTTAAAGCAGGTAGTTCAATAGTCAAATTAAAAAGTAAGTATCAGTTTGACATGTTTGCTCTTTACACTAATTAGTGTAAACTAGTGTTTAGTAAACTAGTTTAGTAAACTATAGTTTAGTGTTTAACTAAACACTCAGGCACGCATCATACATGTTGAAAATGTTAGATATGTTAGTTCTTGTACAAATTAATCATCTCCTTGATAAATACAAAAGTGAAAAAAATACGAGTCAAGTTAATATCGGGAAAGTTTAGCTGTATAGTACAGTGCAATGAAGACCATCAAACTTAACACCCGCTAGTTGGCATGTTACAGTGACACAGAATACCTTAATAGCTAAGACATGCCTTCTAAAATGAACACACCAAAAACTAGAAACACTGCAGCCAATGTAAACTGACCCAACACATGGGATTTCAGAAATGAATAGGAAGGAAAGCAGCTTCAAATCATTGGCTCTATATGATGGCAGAAATGCAACCAAAGAGATTTGGATTAGATTTCTTAGTAGTCATAGGGTAAACTACCAAAATGTTTTTTTGCAATTTTTATGGTTTTTTTTTTCACTGTAGATATCACAGTTGCATCCATATTCCAAGAAAAGGTAACTGTAGAAGCAATTACAGCTCATGTACTGAGTGTATTCTGCTGACTGGATAAAGAGACTATTATAAAAGCCACTTTGCTATTAGCCTCCAGCAACTTACACAGAATACATTTTGAAAACCACTGTTATTTCCTAGTAAAAATCATGTACAACACGTGATCCTCCACAACAAGCCTGTTGCTAAATAAATACAGTGTTTATGTCACTGTGTCCCAAAATTCATTCTGTGTTCTAAGGTTAAAATGGTATTTTGTACAAAAACAAAGCAACAAACAAAACGTGTGTATTTATTGAAGAAATAAGAGTTCTGACATACTGCCATACACAAAACTGGTATAGCCTTGCACAATGACCATAAAACTGAGCTCTGAACTTAGCCTAACTTTTATGGTAGGCTAAGGTCTAACCAAGAAACTGAAAACAGGGAAATGCTGCACAGAGTTTTAGAAAACTGAAAACATTTGTCCACAGATTCCTGCTATGTAACCGGATCATCAGCCACAACAAAAAAGTAATATCAGTAAAAAGAAAATCAATTCACCGGTGGTACAATAATGCATGAGCTCGTGAACTCTAGCCAAGCGTTTAGTGTTGTCATCAGGTGAAGAAAGGGTGAATTGGAGAATTTTTGTAAGAGGTAGCTTGTTCAACATTTCACGCTCAATGTGTTCTGGATTAAAGTTGTCTTGGATCTGGAACAAAATTCAGAATATCAGAACTAAAGGAAATTTTCACAATAATGGACTTATAAAACTAGGTTGAATAAATGAGAGTCTTTATAGCAGAAGACATAAAAATATGCTTAAGACAGTGGGACTTAACTTTGGTCATGTGCTCAGACTGATTCTCTGAATCATGGGAATAAATATTTTGAAAAGAAAAATGAGAGGCAGAGGAAAATAACTGGAAGTAGTCATAGTCAGTGAATACTTGTCTAAAGATATTTGCCTTTGCAAATATCAGATAGGCATCAGGACACTTGCATACATCTTTAAGTTGGTCTGCACTAGAGCTCATAGAGATGAAGATCATAAACCCATTCTAATGTCACTACGGATTTTAAGGATCTTACTCTTGAGATTTCTTCGAGAATCCTTCAAGTTTGTTCTTTTTAACATTATCTTTCTGGGTTCTGCACGACTTCCTGCATGTTTTTCCTGGACCACATCTCCCAAATCTGTGTTTTCTCTACTTCTTTCTCAAACATTGTGCTATATCCTGATTTTATTTTCCAGCAAGCATAGGTCTGCTAAGAGTAACCTCTCACTGATTACTCAGTTTTGTCTTTTGCTTCAACACTGCCAATGTATCAAGCTCTATTTTTAAAATTGCAGTCCGGGAAACCAGGCAGATGGTCTGCAGTCTAGCTATGAAATCTAAAATTAAATTAATATTTTTATTGTCTTCAGAGTATTTTATATTCAATGTTTAATGGTAAAGCTATACCCTGACTTGAAGAAAATTTGAGGAATTTATTACTTTTTTTTTTTTTTTTTTTTTTTTTTTTCTATAGAAAGTCTCAGAACCTCTATCTTGAAAGAATTCTAAACCTTGTAAACCTTGCAGTGGACTCTGAACCAAATGAATGCACTTCTTGTATTAATTCACAAACTTAGTCCGTTTTCTTATATGTCTCTACCTCTTTCTGTTTATTCTAGTCTAGCTGCTATTTCAGTTATCAATGTAATAATTCAGTGTCTGTCTCAATTTCATCTGCATTAGACTAAACTAAACCAGAAGATCTGTAATATCGTTTAACTGTGCCAAAAGCTCAAATCTCTCACTAGCAGTGCAAACAGATCGCTGATGTCAATATAGTGCTCTGTACTTGGTGATCCATGTTCTCTGTCAATAACAGTCACCTGTTTCATCTTAAGCAGACTAAATACAAGTGTCAATGAGCCTATCCAGCAGGAAAAATCTAGGCTATCCTACTCTTCTTTGTAAAAATATCAATCCAGCATTCATAGTGCATTATGTATTTACTGCCTGTAGACTTTCGAACTGTTTAGATATTACAGATAATATTATACCTCCAGTAGTTGCAATCGCTGAGCCAGAGTATCATGGTAGTTTAGTAAGAGAGGGCCCCTGGGGGTCACAGCCTCTTTTTCATTGTATTTGGAAGAAAAGTAGTCATAGAGATTCTATTAAATAACAAAGAAAAAGATAACATTAACATCAATAATTAGAGTTATTTGTCAGTTTAAAAAATAAGGAAATGACAACACAAACCTTTCTTTCACTGTCAGAAAGTGGGAGAGAAGGAAGGATAGAGGTTATGTGATCTGCAATGGTGTGATCCAGTCCATCTGCCCGTGGCTCTGGTACCATCAGGCTTGGTGGTGTAAGGTCTTCCTCACTTGCAATAACCTAGCAGGCATGACACATACCTTTCATTACTGTATAGTTGCTACTCAGCTACACTAAAATTACAAAAGCAGACCTCACTATAAGCTACCTATAAGCTACACACGCACATATTCATAAATCTTCTCTGAAAAGGAAATCAAAATATTTTTGCACAAGCAGCAAAACTAAAATTCTTTGTGTTAGTTTGAAATATAGAAAGCATCAACCTAAATGTGTTCTCTTATTTTTCACTTTTGGAAGGATGAGAAGAAATTTATTTCCAAACTGAAAAGTTAAGAATTTTTAATGTACACACATAGTAAAAAACTGACTCTGTGTCAGATGTTGGATCTTATCCCGAGTAATTTTGCTTGAGTCACTTTCAGTGTATACTGCAAATAAACTAATAAACAGAAAGATTTAAAAAAGCATCAAAAGAAATGTTGAAGAGGAAATCTCATTCTAAATCATTCTGTGGATTGTTGCTAATTTGTGTCTGAACTTGACAGAAGTCAGATGTGTCAAGCCATAAATACACGCCACTTTTGTTGCTAGCCCTAGATGGGCATCTATGTATATCGATTAGAATACTAAACATCCAGTATCAAGATGATTGTTGCAGCATATAAAAACTTGTTAATGACTCAGCTAACAAATTACACCTTTTCTTCATATTGGATTTGCACTCTTGAAGAGATAACTTTGGGATAACACTGTATTTACAGGGTAAGCGTAGTAGATGAAAAGAGAAGAAGAACTCTGAGTCTTAATTCCTGTATATCAGGTCTGTATATTCCTGCGTACTGGTCAGTTCCTCTACGCATAGCATCTTACTTTAGGCTGAAACAGTATAATTTGTATTGTATTGTATTTTACTTTACTTTTTGTCGTTGATCAATTCGTAACAATAGTGCTCAGTAGAATAAACTACATGAATTAATAAATCACCTGCTCCAACATGCAGTTCAGGATTAAAGACACGGAAATGCATTCCTCAGGAACCTGACTCAGCAAGTCATTATAATACCTCAAGTCGACAGACAGAAAAGAAGTTTCTTCCTCTGTTGTAATAAGAGACAACATACTAAGATTTTTTTTTTTCAGAAATGTCAGTTTATATTAAAGTACAGTTCAACTTTTAGGCAACTTCTTAGAAACACTAAAAAATGTCCACATTTGCTCTAGCTTTTAAACTCAGTTGTAATTAGCAATAGCTAGACAGAGTGATTCTCTAAGGAATTTAGTTATCACCACTGCAGTTTCCAGAAAGTTTCACAACATTTTCACTCAGAAACTACCCACACAACATCAAATCACATCTTTGGTTTACTAACAAATAACTTTAGGGATTTGTGTTGTCAGATGAATGAATGGTGAAACAGAGTAAACAGCTACAGACCAACACTTTTATCTTTTGCACATACCCTGTGGCAAAACTACTTTCGATAGAACTTCTTCTGCTTGTCCTTTTTTCTTTGAAGATGTAGTTGGTGATGCTGTGTGTATCTAAAGGAAGAGAGAGTTTGAAAAATCCAGAACAACTAAGAATTGCCACATGTAAATGTATGTGCTCACCTAACTTTGGGAAGGAGTAGAAGGTAGTAAGTTGTAGTCTCATAAATGCTTTAATTAGCATGCATACAGGAGAACTGCTACAGAATGGAGTAATCCCATTTTTTCTTGTCACTAGCTTACATCTCACAAGCTTGTTTACTATAGACAGAGTAAGGGAAGTGATCTAAGATTGAACTAATACCCTTGGATAGTTGAGATCTATAAGAAGATAAAGTAGTTCTAGTAGTTCTGTGCAGGAATGTTTTTTCTAGACATGAGGATGTGCAGAACACCTTCATTAGAAATTAAGTAATTTGATATTTTATGCTAATAACCGCATGATCCTTCAAGATTTTTGTTTCCTCAATGATCTGCTATTTCTTCTGCTAAAGAAGTTTTAAATGCTGGAGACAAAAGTCCCAGTATCATTCCTAGCAAATTATGTATGGCATGATGGTCTAAACTGAATTTTTTGACTCACAAATTAAAATCAGGTAATTCACTCCATGCAATAGTTATTCTTTACAAGAAGCATGGTAAAGCATAAAAGAGAGATCCTTACCTCTGTTACAGAGGATTGTGTCAATTTGCTCTTTGATAATGTAGGCACATTAATCAACTTGGTGTTTTCCAAGTAGTTACAATGCTGTCTTTTCCAGTCCAGGCAATCGTACATTAAACAAGCAATGCTTTCAAACAGGGTAGTGCCAAATGCAAGCTATGAAAGAAAAATAAGATGCAAAGAATGAAGTTTGGATACAAGAGTGTCACGTAATTTAGCTGAGGGACTCTAGTTTTCCAACCAACAGCTGTTTAAAAATCTGCTAGGGGTCTTTTTCTCCACTATTTCAAAATGTTTTATAGAGTAATTCTAAGAAAAAGGGCATCATATTCACTTGTTTAATGATTATCATGCCACAGTAAAGACTGAGTGTTGTCCAATAGCTGTTTTTAATGAAGCCTATCTGAACTTAACAGCAGCCCTTCTACTCTCTTATAACAGGAAAGTAAGTCCTATTTTGGATGAGAAGAAACAGGGAAGATGTATCTTCTATATCATATACATACAAGTTTCTATTGGTGTATTTGCAATGTCAAATATTCCTCTGCCCTAGAAGGAAAAAAGTTTAAAAACAAAACCAAAAAACTCAGCGACACACTTCACTGTTGTTGCCCTTCCAAAATGAAGAAAAACCTCAAGACCTTGACTCTGCATTCTAAAGCAGTACAAGCAACAAAACATCACCATATAATCCTAACTTTAAAAGGCAGAAAGTTGTATTTGCAAAAAATTGTCAATGAAAGAGTCAAGGCAACTAAGATGTTATACTGTGGATAGCACTTAGGCTCAAAAGGAATAAAATTCAAATGCTAGCTACTATTTTGAATTTTAATTGTTTTACCTATGTACCAAAAACCTGCCTGGAGCCACATGCCTCAAATTTCAGTGGCCTTAACTGGCCGTATTCTTCTTTTGTACTTCCTTGACATTACAGGAAAGCTGTAATGATGGTAATTTTAGACAATTATTTTTGTTGCCTATTGTAACAGACCATTTTGCTTTCATGAAAGAAAGAGAAGCCTCTTGGATTAAGAAGGTTGCTCATACCTTGCACACTATGAAAACATTAGAGCAAGTCACACACACACAAAAAAATGCACAAGTCAGTATATTCTTCTACCATTTTCTTCTTGTTTGCTTACAACAATCACTGTAGTGCATGTTTTTCCTTCCTTTCCTCCCAAAGAGCTATGATAAAGACAAATACAAACATGAATGATTCTGTGTAAAATCTAATGAGAGTGACTGGAGAGCTGCTGCTTATGGTAGTAACAATCAGTTCAGTGAAATCCAACTGCTATCACAGGAGCAGCAGCTTAAAAAGCAGAAATCAAGACCCCAGAAGACAGAATAGAAATTATGAAACTTCAGAAGAAAAAAAGCTAGTCAGAGTATCTAATATCAATGACATCTGTGTAATTACAGATTTATGATCCAATTTGTTTGCTCGCTCCTCTGAACAGATACAGAGGCTCATCAAAAAGAAAGTTCTCTGAGTCTAACTATGAGCATGGCACTTGGACAAAGGAGATTGAAATGTGATTGAAATGTGATATGAAATGTGAAAAAAGAAATGACTTTTTATTTATAATATTATCTATACAATGTCTATACATGTCTAAAGGCATCATAAGAGTTCTCTGTATCTTGGACTTCAGAGATTCATCAAGCTAGGACTCAAAATGTCTCCAAAGCAGATCAGAACAGATGCACATGACAACTTCATGACCTATGCTCTTCTCATTTATTGCTTCCTTCATTTTTATTTGTAAATGTGCCTACTTTAGAAGTTTGTTGAATTCTGAGTTATGGAAGAATGTGAAGTCATAACTACAACCTGCTAGAAAAAAAAAAATCAGTGACAGATACGTTTTCTATTTCAGTAAGGATAATTGCTCAGAGGATACTTGTAACCTGCAGCAATTCCCTAGAAGTGATTCTGAAGAAGATAGGCAGGATTAAAGAACTTCTTTCCCAAAATAAACTTCATAACACCACATCAATATTACCATGGCAACTGTACATGCTTCTGCAACTGAGGCATGAATGAATGCCTTAGAAACCACTGTAGATTTAGACAAAATCGTTTTTGACCCCTTCAGGATTAAAGATACTTCCTAGCTCACAAGACTTTTATATGTAAGATTTAATATAGTATAAATAAATGCCCAGAGACAGTAGTCTCTCCTTTAAACCTATGACTAGAAACCAAAAATGCAGTAGGATAAATTATGGAATGTTGCTTTATTTTGTTTTAGCAATTTATGGTTTTTACTGCTGCCATCGTAGACCAGAAGACAGTGGGCCTTTTTATCTTGCTGCACTTCAGATTCAGATTCTGAAGTGCAGCAAGATAAAAGATCTGCTTCATAGATGACAAAGTCAAATTCTCACCTTTCCTAAATTGATGCTAAATCTTACAAACCTGAATACGTGATACAATTTGATACATTGTGATAAAGTAATCTACTGACCAGCATTTCACTGTCAGACCAAACAGTGGGAAAGGAGCTCTCCTTAACTAGGTGATGAAGTCTGGCAACATCAAAGAGACTTGATCCATGCTTTCCACTGTTTAGAATTGGCTCCAAGTATTTCCAAAACGTTTCCAGGTCTTTGATAGCTTCATCCCTCTTTCTTTTCTCTGTTTCTACAACTAAAATGTGTAAATATTAGATAAATTAGTGTACAAAGTCCTCCTTTTACAGAAAGCATAAATTATTAGTCTTCTGTAAGTACTGTTAAAATATTTCCATTCTCACAGACTCAGAAGAAAAAAAAAAAAAAACCAAACAAACAACTCCCCAACTTTAGGCTTAAAGAAGTCCAGGAAGAAAAAGCCTCAACAAAACATGGCAATTTTTTTAGGGAGGAAAAAATAAAAACCAAAGACAGAAAAAATCCTATGTTAAACATTTCAAAGAGGCCAGTAACTGGTCCAAATTGCTCTAGAAACATAAGCTTAAGCAAGCTGTATTATTACCACTATCCACCCCACACTCCATTCTTCCCTGTCCATTCTCTACCCCTTCTCCCCGCCCCCCCAAAAAAAGAACAAAAAAGACTAAGGTACAGCAGAACTATGAATAGTTAGATTAGCAACTGTATGGTTTCCATCTGTATTGTACTGTAATGCTGTAGCGATCAATTTTCAAAGGTGCTCTGACTATACAGAAACCTGAGGTCTCTCTTAATGCCACCACTAAGGCAAACCATGCTCTGGAATCAAAGAATCAACAATACTTTTAATAGCTTAAATTTAAGAGATATAGGGACAATAAACCTGCAGTATTCTGTTTTCATTTGGACCTGTGAGTTCTCAGCACAACTAATATCTGAGCATCATGGCCAAATGTATTGCTAGCATAATTTCAGTCTCCTCATGGGTTTAAAATAAAACAAATCCATAAGGCTGTAGAATCTTCTAAAAATACTTAGCCTCTTTATAGTTTTCAAAAATTATATATGCCTTCTGTAACAGCCATCAAAAATGATGGCTAATTAACTTATAAAATAGCTATATCTTTAAGTATATGTATCTTAAAGTGACTGCAGAAGGGCAGGCGGCCTGGGAAGTCTGCCAGAAGGTTCTATAGGTAGAAGAAATTCACATGAATTCAAGTGGAGACTAATTAGAAAATAAATAAAACAAATCCACTGAAGAGTACTAAAAAGACAAAAGACATCAGGAAAATCCCCTGACTTGAAAATACTTGGAAAATAAGTGAGGTGATAGTTGGGAGGGCACTTTCCTTTCTCCTATTGTTTTCTTGCCTTTCTTCTTTTCCTACTTTTCTTTTCCTTTTACTACTCTTTAGGCAACAGTTTATGGAGACAGAAATGTTGTCTAGATGCTCACTTGACTCTAGAGAGTTTTGTGCTGCTAATTGCTCATCACAGTCTCCACTTTTTTTTTTTTTTTTTTTTTTTTCCAGCTGCTCATGATTGATACCATGTAATTCAGGACATTATCTCTTCTGTGGTAACGTTCCCCTAGCAAGGTTGGTTTTCAAAGCTGGTCTTGGCAGTATCGAGGGCTGCTCAGTCATGGATCAACCTCTTTGCATTTTTGAATGAAACAAGAATGGCACTGTGCTACTAGCACTGTAGACAGAAAGTCCCATTTTACAGTAGAATAATAATATTTTACTATTTTTAGGTTTAAAAATTGTCTTTTCCACTTCACCAGACACTACAACTTCCCAGGATCAATCACTAGGATCAATTGGTCTTTGAATACTGTCCCAACCTCATTCTTATTCCTGCTTTTCGAAGGCATTTCTTTTCTAACGTACATTTTCTCAGTATAAAATCTCAGAACAAATAGAAGCTTTAGTAAATAACCCCAAGGAAGCTACAGGAGTTGGGAGATACTGTCAATGAAGAGGAGAGTTGGGACAGTTCCATAAAATAACTGAATAACCTTGAAGTCTGCAGTGACAGAAATGAGAAAGTATTTAACTCTACCTGATTTTGGATCAAAACTCCCTTTTTATAATCATATTAATTGAAAATGTTGGAAGAGAAGCATCTGGTGTATACTAATAAACTCCACAGCAATTTTCTACCATAAACATGAAAACAGGAATCCTAGGATCATTATGATGTATGTGTCAAATTAGTTACTTTCAGCAGATAGAAAAAAAAATCCATTTGGTCAGACTGAGAAAGTGCTCTTAGTTCCGAACAGTAACTCAGAAAGTTGAATTAATAGTGGAAAAGCTATGTGAGAGATCAGAGGAATACAAAACTAAGCATACAAAAGGATATAAACAGCAGTTGACAACACAAAATGAAAGCCATTAGACACCAAGAAAGGGGGGTGGAGGGGGGGGAAAGAAAGCTATGTTCCCTCCTCCATGGCCTGTGAGTATTCAGTCTCACCCACAGAAAATTTCTTCTTGATGAATTGGATTTTCTCAATTACAATTTAAATCCTTAACTTTCTATTCCTTTATATACATGAAAACTTGCCATGTTTGACCTGACTCCCTTCAGCCTTCTCTTAACTTAAGGATAACAACTATGTCATTTTTTTTCCCACAGATCACATTTTAAGGATCACTAATCATTTTATTTCTTGGAATCTTGTGATTGACACACACATCTTCTGAGGTCCGACCTCACTCTTGAGCAGTATAAGATTACTTCAGGTATTTTTTAGACCATATTCTCATGTATAACCTGCAGGTGATATTTTTTTTAGTGATACATATTTAGTGGTATAGATGTTTGACTGCTTATGTTTAATTTGCCAGTCTAACATAATAGCTTATTTAACAAACCTGTCATCCAGCCAGGTATTTCCTAGCCTGTATTTCTGCATTTTGTCATTCCTTTATAACTATACTACCTCATAGTTGTCCACATTAAACAGAATACTCTTTTGTTCAGATAATTTTTTTCCATTCTATCAAGATCTGTTCGCATTTGAATCACATACTCTTATTCCAGTATCAGAGAAAATATCAAATAAAACCAGCATAAATACCCTTACAACTCCTCTCCATGCATCATTCTATTTTCACAGTAAACTTTTGACAGCTATTCTGTAGGGGCTAAAGTTTTCCAAAGTGCACCTATTGTGTATTATTTTCAGCTGCATCTTCCCTGCCTACTGTAGATCACGTGCAATAACCTTAAAAGCCTTACTAAAATCCAAGTATATCACATATACTACTTCTCCTCTGCTCAACAGGATCAGTACTTTATTGTGTAAAGAAATTAAATTTATCTGATGTGATTTGTTCTTGAATAATGTAAGTTCTTACACCTCCTCCTTTTTCTTCTGAGTGGCTATAAATCATTTGTTCTAGCTGTGGTAGGTGCACTTCCACCCCTTTTTCCTGCAGAAGAAGGGTATTCTTATCAATGACTGTGCACACGCAACTGCAAGCCAGTTGTGAGAGAGGTGCAGCCCTTTTAACACACAACAGGTGCACTTCAACTGTATCGACACAGGGGGAGTGGTTACCTACAGTCTATCTAATCATGAACCGCAATCGTAGCACAGAAGAGGACCATGTTGATCACATTCTGATTTGACTAGGGCATAAAATTAACCAAAGGACTTCCAAATTTGAGCTAGGTTCTCCTTGGAAGTAGTGAATCTGCAGTGGAGAGCTCTTCCCTTGGGTTGGGATGCTATCTGGGAGAATTCTTGAGGATGAGGGTGAAAGATTATTGTGCACTTGTACATAAGAGCTAGCTAAAAGTTCAGTGTTGTAGTAGAGAAAATCCTTTACTGACATTTGACATTTGCTTAGCAAATGTTGCATTTGAATTAAATAGTGCTATTGGTGAACTTACCATTTTGGATGTGGCTGGACCTATAGTGAAAAGACTGGTCGCGAATCTGGTGCAGCCAGTCAGGCCTATAGCTACCACACTATTTGGCATCCCTTTTAAGAGATGAATTCAGCTGCCCCCAGTTCCTCTAGCCTACGGACATCAGCTGGTTCACATCTCTTACCGTATTTGCTCCCCTTCAAACGGTAACACCAGTATTTTTGCAGAAACAGAAATTAAGCTGATTACAGTCCCTTGTCTAGTTGTGATTCTTTTCCTGTTCTTCCCAACTCTTTTTCCACTGTCTCACTTGTTCTTACAAGTTCTTTAACATAAATGAGAATGGCAGACATCTTTAAATAGGATGCAGTAAGTTCATCTAAATCAGTTGATCTGAAAACTTCTCTACATTACTTAAGTGGTATTCAGATACTCTACTGGTTCCCACCCAGTTTGACATTGGTATCTTATTTCTCTGTTACCAGTATTACTTGTGTGTAATAATAGTCATTAGCTTTCTGCAACTGATATTTGTAGTGAAGAAATATTAAACTCCCCATTAAGCATATCAACTAGTTGTACAAACAACAAAGCTTGTCAAACAAATTCAAACATGACTTTGAGGCCATTAGCAGATTCTGGATGGCTTAAGTCTTAAAGACTAAATCCATATGATCTTGTCAGTTTACCTTCAATGGCACTTTAAGATCAAATTCCCTAGTGCCTGTACAATCCAACCTTTAGAATTTGCCGTAAAGCTATATCTGTTCTGGTCAACAGAAATGAGAGCAGAATCCTAATACAGTCTTCACAACACTCACATCACAGGTAGATGGTTTGCATACATCATGATCAGAATTGTACTTGTTCACAGCATCCTGTCCACGTCCATCAGCGCACATAAACTGTCCCTATAAGTCTTTCCTGACCAACATACCCAAGGGCACTATTCCTCCCCTGCAATCTTTACTGGATTGCCTGTGCCATCACAGCAGCATCAGAGTCTGTAATAAGGGATTTCCCAGGAAATCTTGCACAATGTTTTTAACACAAAAAGTCATAATGTACATTTACAATCAGAATCACAATTAATCAAACATTACTTGCATGGAGAATTATGGCTACCACACTCACTTTTCTCTCTTCCAGCTTTTTATCACCTCACTTGGATGTATAGCTAAAACAATTTAGGTTGGTCGGGATCTCAATTTTCTGCTCAAATCAGGTCATTACTGAATTGAGACCAGGTGTCTCAAGCTATTGTCCAGTTCACCTGGACCTACAAAGACAGACATTCCATAACCTCTCTGAATAACCTGTACCGGTGTTTAACTAGCCTCAGGGTAAATCTTTCTTTATGTCTCATCAGAACCTTCCATTTTAATTCATGACCATTACTTCTTTTTGTCTTTCCATAAATCTCAGTGAAGTCTTGCTCTGTTCTTGATAATCCTCCCATAGGTATCAGAAGAATAGTATGAGTTGTCCCATAAACCTTTCCCAGGTTAAACAAGCTCAAGTCTTTAAGCCTCTCCTCACAGGGCAAGTGCTCCAAGTCCCCTGACTATCTCAGTGACTGCTGGTCTCATTCAATTTTATCTTTACATTTCTTCTACTGTGGAGTCCAAAACTCTCATGAGTGCCAAGTAATAGGGAATAATCATTTCCCTTGATCTACTGGCTATGTTACCCAGAAAAATAGCCCAGTATGATTAGCTTTAATCAATAACTCACATTTAGCTCGCTGTCCACCAGTATCACAGGTCTTTTTCAACAGTGGCACTATGCAGTTAACCAGCCCCAGGCTGTATCATTGCAAAGTGATAATCTGCGGCAACTTCTTCTGTTGGGGGCTGGGGCAACAGTCCCAACACGGCTAGCTAGGCACTTACCTTGAAATGATCAAATGACCCAAGTTTTCTTAACAACAAACATTCCTGGCTAATGATGTATAAAAGTATGGATATTTGGTAAAGTGTTAGTCCTTGTTCTCTGCTGATTACTGCACAGAGAGATAACTGCTGCCACTGACTTGCCTTGACAAGCCTCAGTCCTTGTTACTGCCATCCTTGTTAATGCTATCTAGCAAAGGCAAGCCTGGTTACCTATATCATTTTTGCATTGCTGCTCACAAGTAGTATGTGCAAGCACAAAGCACAGAGAGAGGTAAAAATATATCAGAAATAGTCTTGGCAAGAAATAAAATAGTCCTCTTTCTACACAATTTTTCAAGACACATGTTCTTATTACAATATTACCTTCAGGTGAAAGTAAAGATTCTTCTTGAAGTTTAGCCTCTTCCAAGTATGTCTGCAGCGGTTCATAATTCTCAGAAGAAATCCTAATCACACTTGAAACATTGACCCCAAGCTCAGATAGCACTGGCAATAACTGAGGGTTGTGGAAATCCAAAATTATGAAGTAGTGATGGGCACCATCATCTGGTTCATCATCTGTCCAAAACAAAACAAAAGCAGTTTAGAGCAGAGGATTTTACACCTACACAAAATTCTGTTTTGTCTTGATCATATAGGTATAGTATAAACTAAGATCACAGAAACAGTTCTTTCATAAATTCATTCAGATAATTACACACCCTTAAAAATATACTTACAATATTCATATATTAAGATTTAATATATTTATATTTATTATTAAATTTACTACTACTGATTTACAGAATTCTTCTGTAGCAACTCACATAGAACTAAGCAGAAAAATTACAAGTTGGAATGAAAACTTGTTTGAAGAAGCACCAGGAAATAATGTGTACCTATCGAGGCAAAAACGCTAGTGGTTGTTGCAGCATTTTTTGCAGTTGGTTCTCTTTAAGAAAATTACAATATGCTCTAGTTTAAGCTTTCCTATTTCATCTGGAATATTTCATCTCATACATAAAAGCATGCACCCACATACACAGAGCAAGTCAGTGCATCGTAGCTGAGAGATGGTGTCATCTATGACAGTTTTGAAGGACTGTCTGAATTATGATTTGTTTCACTGCTAACTGCTCTCCATCGAATAGATTCATGTTTGCTAGGTGGCTTTCTGCCAAAACCCCAGAGTTGATAATACCAACTTATGATTGTTTTTCTGTTTGGCAAGAGACATACCAAAATTTATCCTCATGTAAAGATGAGAAGTTTCATGGAGTGGCCACTTTCTTTACGTTTATTATTTTTGTAGAAATATACACAGCAAGTTGAAAATATTTTAAGTTTTAGCTATCAAAGTAAAAGATTAAACATTTTATCATGTAAAAAAAATCTACTAAAAGCTTGACTGTAGTCAAAGTTAATTGGTAGATTCCCTTTACAGTTCATGAAAAACAGATATAAAACAGGTATGCAGGTAAGTATCAGGCATTTCTACTTGAATATCTATTTCAAGACAATGGAGACTGCTTACTGCAGTTCCCGTATCACTCTACTGACTGTGGAACATTTATAATTAATACAGAGTATCCTGAGGAGATAAATGTATTTTAATGCAGCTCACCCTTCAACCACTGCTCAGCTCATGGTACTTATTTGTTCAGAAATTATTGCTTCTTGCTGCAGAAAGCTTATTCTGGATTACAATATCAAAATATATCTGTGGGTTCCCTAATTCAACTTGAATGCAAAGAAAAACTTTTACAGGCTACTTTTGTTGAAGGGATAATCACAATATTTCCAGGGAACTTTCCTCCCTTATATGTTCAAAACTTTGGGAAAAAAAAAAAGCATTAACACACATAATAACTGAATATTCATGATTTTTAACAAAAGAGGATATCTGTGTAGTAGTAGAGATGAGAGACATGAGGAGATCCAAAACTCCTGCATACATGATGATTGCCAGCCATTCAACAGTGATAGTTATGATTATGCTAATAATAATGACCTGTTCAGAATAGTCAAACAGTTCTTTTAATCAATGACTAATTCAAATTCAAGTGGATCAAAAGATCAATGCAAATAATCCAAAACCAGACCATCAATGCAAAAATTATCCAAGACGAGAAATATTCGATTTCAGAAATGTAATAATGAACTAGGGATGAAGGATAAAAGCTGTTCTTTACCACCAGAAGGAGATAAAGATTGTCCTTGGGTTCTAGATACAGACATAAGTAATAACTCAAACTTCTCTGAAATAAAAATAGAGGAGTTTTCTCTTTTGCTTTTGCTTGAAATAGCTGCATTAAAACAGTAAAGAATACTGAAAAGAATTTCCACTGTTATCAACTTTTAAGGAACATAGTTCTTTGCAAATATGGAATACATGTGTTATTAAGGTCTTTGAAAGTACTGTTGCCCTGGGTAGAAAATTTTTAGGGATCTACAGGCTTTTGACACTGAGAAGTGCATCTGGCACCACTTTGTCTACAGACAAAATACAACTTTAGCATAAGGTCCTTGAGAACCTTAACTGCTGTGGACTTGAAGAAATAGACACAGTAGTTTTACAATACTTAATGTTTGTTTAGAGTTATCTCCAGAAGCTTCAGCAATACTTTCATGATCTTCTCTTTGAAGGGACTTTTAAGTCTTCCTATGCATTTTGTAAAATTCTTTGGGACCAATGACATAAATTCCAGTTAACAGAGATCACAGTTTAATAGCAATGCTGGTCATTCATAACAAAAAATCTGAAGACTTGATATTGTGTATGCTAAACAAAGATACTTTTCATGGAGTGCATATCTGTTCATTATCTGCAACTAACAAAGCAGCAAGGTCTGGATATGGGGGAAAAATCTCATAACTTATAGAGACACCTGTCTTTTTCTGCCCGCTAATCAGGCAGCAGGAAGAAGCAAAATTGTTGCAGCTGGCCAAATTGCCTCTGTAGGGACGAGCAGAGCCTCATTACTACTACCCAAAGCCATTCTGTGCAGTATATTTGCTACTGATTTCACAAAGCCACGAGTTTTCCAGATAATTTTAGCTTGGATTTCTACAGGCATTAAGGCATTTTTTACACTTATCAGTTTCTGAAAATCATTAAAATAATCAAAATAATGATGATTACAGTCATGTTTCAGCTAGGAAAATGAGAAGCTCTGATCAGAAAGCTGCTGTTCTGTTCCTGTACAGCTGAGCAAGAGCAATTAAGATTCCTATCTGTTCTACTACCTGTACTGATGTATTTTAGATGCTTGAAGAGTATCATCGATCTAGAATAAGATACAAATAAAGGTCTGATTAAAGAGTACAGAAAGTCAGAAGTGGTTTAATTGGAGATTATTACACATAATGAATCTAAAATCAGCGAATACTTCCCCAGCAGATGAGATCCAGTATATTTAAACATAGCTAAATATCTTATGCTCCAAATTAAAAATATTCCTGCTCTAATGAGAAGAGCTAAGTATATTCTCCAATATTTTGGGTTCCAGTGACATTTACAAACATTGGTGGCATGTATTAGGAATTTTTTTTAGGACTTCTTTTTTTTCTCAGCACTGATTGGCATACTATTCCTTACCTTGTATAGATCACTTTCGGAGTAAATTTCTTCAGGTCTCAGTTCTACACATTTTTATAGCAAATGAAATCATATGGCCCTTTGTACAGCACCTGGCTTTACAATCAAACAATGGTGCAGTTTTGCTACGCTCTATGACACTAGGAGAAAGATGTCCTTTGGATACTGTCACAAATGCATTTAGTTCTGAAATTTTTATGAAAAGATAAGTAGGATTTGTTAGCTTTTTTCTTTTTTTAAGTCTTGCATATGCCAAAACATTTCGTCATTCTACATATATGCACACATATATACATTCTACATATATATACCTCGTCTGGATTTTATTCCTTGGATTGCATAATCTATCCTACTTCTGAGCAGGACACTATGCCCTACTCAAATGAAGAGTGGCAATGATGTAATATTATGAAATATATCTCCATATTCCAACATAGATCAATGTGAAATGCCAAATGAGATGCAGGGCTTGAAGCATTTTAGCATATTAATCAGAATCTTATCTGCTCTTTTTCTTACATACCAATATATTTGACTTCCTGTTCCTCTTCTCCGCGTCTTTTTAATTTAGTGTCCTTTTTGACAGTAATTGCTGCTTGAGGGGCCACTTCAATTTTTTTTCCTTTCATTTCTTTCTCAGCTAGCTTTGCATTGGCTTTTTTTTCCTTTTTGCCAGGAGTTTTAGTTTTCTCTTTCACTTTGTCTTTTTCCATTTTTCGTTCTTCTTCTGCCTAATGAGATGAAAAAGAAAGTTCTTGTCATAGCCTTTGTACAAAACAGGCAAAATGACATGAAATTTTGATGGCTGAGTATATTATTTGAGTAGTTTTTTCTGTCAGCCATTAAAATGCTATTAAGGTACAGCTGTCTTAAACATTCTGCTTTATCCTTCTGAAGCACATTGTTCAGTTTATTATATTCCTATTAAATCTTTGTGTTAAAACTTCAAATTAAAAATGAACTATTTGGGGTTGCAATTAGTAGATTATTGCATATTAGTAGGAGGGGAGGGGAGGGGAAGAGGGAGGAGAGAGAGTTTCCTGTGCTTCACTTGGACTACCACTACAGCACTTGTGTTATGAGGAAACTTTCACTGAACTGCAAGAAAATAAGGCCAAAAAAAAAAATTCTGTTTTGTTGTTACCATCTTTGTTAATGCTCTTGAGTATAGCATAAATAGTACTAACATTGTTTTGTCTTTGATATAGATATCAAGTTATTACTCAACCATTCTCGTTTTTTACAAACTACATTAAGTTCTACTCAGAAATATAAGGGTAAAAAATGAAAAATGAATGGTGTAAGGATCCCAAAGCATTACATTATAAATCCAGGAAATGCAGAGCTGCTCTAAAATTAAAAGAAATCACAATATACTGAGGCAAAGAGAGGTGCTGAGAGGGTAAGAAAATCTCCACCTTATTCTACCCAGGCGCATGACAGCGCAATAACTATACAAGAACAGCATTTAAGGACTTCAAAGCTAAATCAAGCATTTTAAAAGACATTAGCTTAACTTTCTGTTGCCACCCCTACTACTGTCACATTAAAAGCAATGAGAAAAGCTCCCTGTACAAATGAGATAGATTAGTTGAAACTATACATTTTTTTTCCTAGACCCATATGGAAGAACAGACTTTTTGGCTGCAGAAGGTGACTCCAGTTTAAATTTAATACCAAAGCAAAACCAAAGCTCAATTCTTTCCCTCCCTCATTCATGCATTTCATTTTTGTACCATTCAGAAATACCTTCAAGAGATTCTTAAACTTTTTATACTGTGGAGTGGTGGATTTTGATCACTTTTCATATTTTTTTCATAAATTATTCAAATTTATTCCCTTTGACACTGTTCCCCTGAAAACTGAACACCAGAGATTTTGATATTATTTTGAGTTCTAAACTAGTTAATGTATCAAATCACATTACACAATCAACAGTCTATAATGCTCAAAACAGATTTATTGCATTTGAAATACTTCACGTAATTAAATCCCAAACAAGCAAAGTCACCTCTGTTAAGATACAGCTGAAAAGGGCCAGCTGCCATCAATACCTCTCCTCTTCAATACTTTTGATTTTCTCACCCTCAGTGTAATATTTCTCTTTCCCTATAGGGTGAAGCTTTCTGTTGCGCTTTTCATCTTCCATTTGTTTTCTGTTCTAGAGTTTTGCTATTTTAAACTATATATTACACAAACATAATATCTGAAACAATTTTCCATTTCAGATGCATTTCTGCTTTTCTGAATATTAATTTACATGCATACACTTGTCAATCTGTGACAAGCTTCTGCTTTTACAGAAATACATAAATTTTAGAGATTAAATAATGTTTTATTTTTATTTTTCTGCTGCTGTTTTCATTTTGCCAATCTGTTTTATTAACTGTATTTCAAAGAACAATGGACAGTTAGTTTTCAGACATCTCCTTGTTACAACCCTTGAGTCGTCAATGGAATGTGTACTGTAAAGGTAGTCAGAAAAGACTAAATATTTTATTGTAGACAATTTAGAAATAGAATTCTAAAATAAAAGCCATTTTTTGTTTATTCCCTACTGCAGAACATCCTTATAACCTCTTGCCAATTCTTGACTTCGCCTTGGTCTTTCGGCGGCTGCTGCTGCTACGTTTATCTGTCACATATAAATAGAATCCAATGAGAGCAAAAAAATGTGTCTGGACTGTGTTTTGAAAACTGAGAAGAAACTGTACATTTCAGAGACTCTTCTGCCTTCAATATTGATTATTCTCTGATTCTCCAGGAAAATAAAATTATAGTTAAAATTACAGTAATCTTGCCAAACCAGCAACAGTAATCTTGCCAAAGTCACAGATAAAAGTTTTATTTTAATAATGAAGTGTCTAATGTTTAAACTTTAAAATGTTATTTTCCAGTTCACACATCAGCACTGACTGATATCTAAGTGAAAAGCCATTTCTTCCACATCTATTATGAACTATCCGCTCTTCACCTTGATACTTTCAATTCTTCTTCAGGTTGAGAATGCTTTTTTTTTCCCACAGATTCTTTATATGCTTCTGTGGTTTACATTACCATCTGCTACCATCTGTTAAATAGTTTTGCAATTAACTTCAGTATTATATATTCAGATATATATTCCACTAAAGCTAGTTTTCAGCTATGTTTTCTACTAGTGTCGTGAGTTAGCTAGGACATTATTTCTTCTCACTATTCTAGCCCTGCGACAATATTTTAGTACCCCCTGGACAATACTTTTTCTTTCCTAATTTTTTATTTTTTCCTCAAGTGCTATATTTGGGTAACTGGGAGTTTCTTCCCCAAATCTAATTAACTGAAAATTTCCATTTCTATTTAGGTGCTTCTTTAATTATGGACACAGAAACTTAAACATGAGGAGGAAGATGAATTTATGCAAACAGCACTTGAATGGAAGTGCCTTGATGAAGTTAATTAGCCATCCACCTTAAGGCATACTCTTGTACCTTCTTTTCAGCTTCTCTTCTCTGAAGGTCCTTCTGCTTGAAGCAAAGCAGCTGAAATTTCAGTAGCTTTCCGATTAGTGTTATAGGAATTTGTTCTCCACTTTCCATAACAGCTTTAGCTACTTCAGTCACCTTCAGAGAAAGAAAGAAAACAAATTACTCATAGTTTTAATAAAATGCACAGTTATTCTTTGGTTTCCAAGATCCTCTGGTTAGACACGTGATGTTATACCTGCTGTGGCATGAGATAAATCTAGAATGGAAAAACAAAAAGAACTCATATAATTAATGTAAAGGTCAACAGATTCACAGTGTTTACTATAAAAGTAGTTTTTTTTTTAAAGCATAGTAAATATGAAATCAACAGGAATAGCTTGGAGCACTATTTACAAAGTAGCTGGTGGCTGAGGCATTAGCCATGAATGAAAGACAAAAACTTTGTAAAGGGAACTTGAGAGGGTCTGTCTTGGTGTAAAGACATCCCCTCCTCGTGTAATGCTGATTCTGCTGGTATGCAGCCTAATTGGGGTGAAATAAGGCTATTGAGTTTTCTTAGGGTGATGACAGTAGCAGGAACATACAGCTGCATTGTCCAGATGTGTGGCATTGACAGGCTGTTTTATGACTATGTTTTTTACAGCTTGTTTCCACTAAATTTCATACAACTCACTAACATCTGGGCCATTCTCCTTGGAGCCTCATAACCACTTTATTTACTGTGAAAAAAATAAAATAACATAAAAATAACATTAAAAGTTGTTCTGTGTTTCTTTTCACTTGTGTTGTCTCTGTCATAAACTTCACCTATGTAGGAAGCGTTGTTGAGGAATAATATAACCACAATATTTTCCTACTTTTGTTTTTAAGCAACCATCAGCTTTATTTATAACCATGAACTGAATTAGGTGTTACTCAAGTGCTCTGACATGTTTCTCTTTTCCCCTCTCAGAGCAATTACAGTTGGGCACATATGGTGTCAATTTTGCCTGCTAACATTCAGACAATGTAGGTGCACACTGCATCTCACTGAACTGTGTCTTGTCTGATGCAAACAACACAGTTAATGTTGAGCTGTCATAGTTTCTTGTCCATCTTCTTAGGAATTTTCACTAACCACGTAAAATCTGGAGTAAGAAATGCAGACACTAAAAATGGTTCTCTGGATAAAACAAAAGCCAAAATAGAATCCAGACTTTTCTGAATGAAAATACTGTCCCATAGAAATTGAAGAAAAACATAGAAAAGAATCTCTTAATATTCAGATTTTTCCATATCACATAATAGGGAGACAAACCCACCAAAATAATTGCATTTATAAATCCTTCCTGACTTTTCAGCACTAATAAACCTCACAATCTGCTTATTCTACATACAATAAAATACATCATGGTTTTGCTTTACCATCATTCATATCGTGAACTAGAATACTTTCTGCTCACTATCTCAACTAGCCAGCTGTGAAAGGATTCCACAAAGATTCTGAGTGACTTCAGTGTTAGAACATCAACGATATGTTAAGAACAGATTTTAAAACATCCAAAGTCACAGTAATCTTAAGAACTACTAGTTATTCCAATAATAACATCACCTAAAACTAGCCACATCGAGAATCTGAGTTGTGACAGAGAGATTTCAATAGAAATAGCACAGCCGCTTCCCTTAGAAAGAAAAATTGTCATATACTTCTTTGTAGAAATACTGTTAAAAGGCAATGGAGAGATGCAACCCAATTGCCTAATCCAGATGAGTTGGTCATATAAAGCACATTTCTTGATACATAATAGAATGTAAATTGGGGGGATGCTGGAAGGTTTCCCAAAGGGTATATACAACATCAGGCTTGGTGGCAGTTGCTCATTTATTATTCATGCAAGAAGGAATGCTTATACAATTTTACAACACATTATTCCTGAGAAGCTCAAAGCTCATTGCAGGTAAATGCAATGCTTCTGACTATTTGCATTTTGTAGATAGAGAATGCAGAAATGAAGAGACTTATCCAAAGTCTAAAATGAGCTGAATCACTCTGTGAGTGGAAAAATAATTCACTTAGAATATTTTCTAAGTGAAGTGTTTGGCAGGTATAAACCAAACCCTACTTTACAAGAGTACATTATAAGACTATGGAAAGGGGTCAGACAAATAAGTCAAAGATAACGTGAGCACACTATTTTTTATTATGCACAATTATTGCACAATTTCTATTCTGCACAATTACTTTCACAATTTCACAAATGTACAATATCTAAGCTAATAATAGCTTTGTATGTAGGAATGTAAAATCTGCTTCATGCATAAGCAAATAAAATAATAGTCCTTCACTACTGCTAGCTGTAAAGACAAAGGATAGATAAATTCATGCAGAGTAGATAAAAGAAATTCGTTACTCAGTTTATTACACTGATGCATGTTTACGCACTTTGCAGCCCTGGGACTTATGCAGGCACCTGACATAAGCATCTTATAATCCAGAGATAAATAAATAAAACAAAGACAAGGACTTGGGTAGGAATACAAATAGATGTATCTGTACATGTAGAAATCTATCTACACAAAGATTTTTCTACTATGGAGTGGATTTAGATTTCACTTCATCATGAAAACGACGACCTTTTTTTTATGTGAGAAACCATGGAAACGTGGACAGGCAAACTTGCTTAGATAGGGCCTCTTTTCCTTTAAAGGAAGAGGAAAGTCAGCATTCCCCACACAGCAGGAGTCATGCTTGTGAAGTGCAGAAAGGCTGCAGTGATACAAGATTTGATCTCAGATGGCAGCATTATGAAGCATACAGCAATTTAGCTGCCTGGTGCAGAAACTATGGATTTCAAGTCATTCAAATACTGTACAAGCACTTGTAGTAGATGCTGTATTATTGGGATATAGTGGTATCACTAAGGTAGGAGACGGATCTTAAAAATTAGGGAAACATTTAAAGTATTTACGGTATTCTTCTTGGAAGAAGCAGCGTGGCTGCTAAATCATAAATCAGGAAAGATTTCAAAGTGATAAATAGGTTTATCAATTTTGACTGCTCAATTGTTACTTGGAAGCAGCTAGCATAACTTGTTACGAACAGTGGGGAACCCATTTCATTGTGTAGTTCTCTCCATTCAAATGGAGTTTTCTCCCACTCTTGAAACTATAAAGAATCCAGGCCATCACCTATCTCTGACTTGCATTCCTAATGATTCCTAGAAGACTCCTTACTAATTCAAATCTCTTAATAGATGACACAGTTGAAATCGATTTGAAGCAGGCAATGTATCTTTTACAGCAGAGCCATTTGTCAAAAAGTTCAATAGATTACAGATACCAAGTTCTTCTTTACTATTCAAATGTACTTTCTTGAGCAACATAATAAAAGCAGAAAAATAGTTTCAATGTCTAGTAACTGTCATGAACTCCTCACAAGGAACTTTGAGGACAGATTATGGAATATAAAACTGCATGAACCATACCAAGGGGTAAATTTATTTTGTCCAAAGAGGGCTTCTCTACACATATTACTATTTTTTTTTTCTGCATCTGCTGATGTAATTTCTTTGACTATTATACCTTACTGAAAGAAGATGTACCTTCCTGTACTCAGTACCTGGAAGGCACTGAGCTGACAGAAATGATTTATTTGAAATCATACCTGCAATGTGCTGATAGGCAATTAAGTCTCTATTAGACTATTTGCCTCATTTCAATTTTGTTTCTCAGAATCTCTTCCCACCTATCCTGTCAAAAGAGCATCTGCTTATTTCAGCATCCTTCACTAGTGAATTCAAATTTGAAGACTAACCTAAATTACTAAGTGTCATATCCAAAAAGAACTCCATATAAAGTTTAGGTAGAGTCAAGGGAGTCTGTGAAACTTAAACTAGTAAGCCATTTTCATTAATTAACAAAGGCTTTGCCACCATGCACTCCAGAGAATTTTAAAAATGAATTTTATTGAAGTAGATTTTATGCCTTCTTCTGCCTCTCTGAGTTTCTGTCTAAACCCTCATTTTCATATAAACTAAAATGAGCCTGGGATGCTTTCAAGTATTCAGCATTATTCAGCAAACATATACTTTGCTCATGCGCTAAACATCTGCCTTTCTATTACTTCTCAAAGCAGCAGCACTGGAAAGATAAGCAGTCCCTCATGCGAGCAAATCTGTTTTGCCAATTAATTATACAGCTTAACCTGGTTAACACAAACTTTGAAATAAACATTTTAAATTGTCCTTTCTATGCATCTTGCTATAGAAACAATACGCAACTTGAGAGGCTACTTTACTTGGTTTAATCCCAGCTGTCGGAAAGAGAACTTTCTAAAGATATACAGCACATCGTACTTAAAATTGCAAGTACCTGAATATCATATTAAGGCAATGCACACAAGCAAATAGCCTAATTTAAACAAAAATAAGAAAATATATTACATAAAAATTAAGATTAATTTTTACTTTGGCTTTATTAAAGAACTCATGCAAGAGCTCTCACTATCTCCCATGCTTTCCCGAGCACCTAACTGCTAACAAGACAGGTTGATATAAGGGAAGGAAATACAAGATATGAGTATCTGGTAGTTCAAAAGATCAGGCCTTAGCATGGAGTTTTCCTAAGTGTAAGGGAGATTCTCTCTTATGCTCCTTCAACTACCTGTCCAATTATTACCTTTTAACTGAGGAAAGGGCTGAAATGCTAAGTGATTCCTTAATGGCTTCCTACAAAACCCAGTGCTCTTTCAAAGAGATGACAGGCCAGGTTGCTGTGATTTGTGAGCAGGAGGGGCAAATTAGTGCTCTGATCTAATCTATTTACATTTAAATGGTGTAAATCTGCCGAGCAAGTCTTTTCTATTATAGAAGCAAAATATTTTGCACTTCTAAGAATGAAATTACCTCCACTATTTCAGCCAAGTAGTTCCACATAATGAACCTTATAGGGCTGAATGATTTAGTCATGTTTTGTTAATATTATATGTGGCTAGGAAGAGAACCCAATCAGTGACAGAAGTTTAAAAGGTAGAGTTGTATTTAAGTTGAAAAAGAAAAGTAAGAAAAAATATTTAAGCAGCAAAGCTGTCTCATTAACACTTGTGTTGGCACAATCATTCTAGCTACATCTTGCCTGATTTTCCTCAGAACTGTTGG